AAGAACAGGGGAACTTGATAAAAGGCTAACAAGAGAGTCTTCGTCTTTGTACACCACGTTCATAAGCATCAGATACAAGAGAGATGGTAGGCGAGCCTGGGAAGAAACATCCACTAGAATCTGGTTGGACAGAGTTAAATCAACGAGCGTGTCGCATGTGTAAAGAATCTTAGGAAGCCTTGTTGGCACTCCGATCAAGTTGTACTCGAATTCTACCACTTCTACACCGCGTTTAACTGCGTTCTCAACGAACTTCCGGACATCCACATGAACCGAACAAAGTATGAAAAGCAAGCACTCTAGTTTCGGTGCCTTGTGAAGTTGCAATGCCTGCTCAAGGCTCTCGCTGCCTTCGTCTTTGAAGGAGATTTGAGGCATCATCGTCCAGATATGACGCCATCGTTTAGACAAGACTGCAGTGGCGGCTGCGACTTTTGTCGGGACGAAGTAGAAGATCCGTAAGAGCATATCGTCGGGTAAATCACAGCTTCTATTTTCGATTCTCTCATCCGCTTCGGTTGATAGATGCCTAGTATCCGACATAATATCCCACAAAAAAAAAACAAAGACCAAGCCCTATCCCGTCTCTACTTAAAACCCTAATTTATTTCACGCAAAAGTTCTATGAGACTTGACTACAGTAATCAACTATATATATACACACACGCAACATGTTGGAAAACCCTAATCTTTTATTTATGTAAGTATTGGGAATTGGACACTTTTGACCCTTTCTATCTTGCTCATCAAACAGCATGTTGTAAAGAGACTGGGACCAGTCGTTTTCCCAAAATATACGATGACTTATTCACCTGTCCATGTACATTCTGTTAAATGCTAAACTATCACCTATTCACCTGTCCGAACGAAAAATTGTCATAAGACTGAAATGAGTAAATAACTTAATATACAAAGGAAAGAGAAAGAGCTGTTTCTACATAAGTGATGCAAAGTTTATAAGTAAAGTAAGTGCATATTCACAGAGACTAGCAATGGAGAAAAGCTGGAAATTTCAGTCCCTTTGGTCTGAATACTGACCTCACTTTGGTTGTCATCATTTCATAATGCCACCAAAGTGAGGATTATGAGCAACTGGGCTCATGATATATATGCCTTAACTAAGTCCGCGTAGTTGCAGACAAACCCTGTCCTTGGACATGTTATTTTACCTCCGTTCTTTTCCGCCATTTCCTTAAGAGCCTGCATTTACATCACCCATCAATGTCACTCATCTAGCTCAAAACTGTAGATTCCAAAGAGAAAGAGAACAGAATCAACAGAAAAGCAGAAGTTGTACAAGAACAGAAGCGAACCTTGGTGCTGTAGACGTAGCCATTGGGCAACACTTGTGGTGGGTTCTCCGTGTCCATTAGCTCCTTGGAAATATAGCAAACAAGCTTTGAATGGTGCTGCTTGGAGTACGGCAAAGGCATAGCTAGCTTCCGGAAGCTCTCTTGTGAGAGCGGATCCTCCTTGGTACAACCCTCTTCAAAACCATACCTGGGGTCATGTTAAGGTACAAACTCATACTACAATACGAATCAACTTTCTTATAGATGCAGAGCAAAACACAATTGAAAACATCAAATTTAATAGAGTTTGGTGGATACGGAGTTTTCAGAGCAGACAGGCCTGCTTGTAAATAGATGTTCAATAACGGCTCCATTGTCATTCCATATAACTTGCAAAACTCATATTTGAACTGATGAACTAAAACATCCCACTGCCGTAGTTCAAATAAAACCTGAAAATAGCAAACATGTCAGTTGATTAGGCTAAGCAATGCATTCAACAGTCAATACAGTCATATCATCAAAAGAGGGAATAATTCACCTTGTATTTTGCGCATTCCGTAGTACTTTTAACAGCCAAAGTGGCCAGAACATGCTGTAGTTCTTTCATATGGGTTGCTCCCCATGGTACCAGATGCTTTCGAGCATAAAGGATTGCTTGTTTGTAGCTGTCAGCTGTATCAGCTCGCACCAACTCGATGAACTCTTGCAGCCTTAGTTGGAACTCAAATTTGCTCTGTAATGAAAACAACCAATATAATCAGCAGTGACACCATATTTTTTCATGATATGAAAAGAAGAGTGAGTAGTAAGCAATCTTCTGAAAAAATTAACTAAGCAAGTATATGTGCATTCATGAGATGCCTTGTAACCAGAACGAGAATTGCCTCTATCAATCATGCGACTTTGGACAAACCCAAGAAATCGTGTGGATTTTCATACACAAATGAAAGTAAATCTAAACCATGGAAGTACACAGAGAATGAGCACCACACACCTTTGACTTCTTCAACCTGGTTTTATTATCAGCACACCATGCCAGTGCAGAAGCTGCCTCCCTATTTTTAAGGGCGTCAATCACCTTCTTAGCTTCTCGAAATATGTCAATGTCGACAAGGTCCTGAGAAGATGAGACGTTTGTTATTGGCAATTCATAGAGATGCAGATGCAGTACAAACCGATAAATCATTTTCACTGCTTATAAAAAAGGAACAGACACAGATCTATAGACTAATCATGCTGCAGGGAATTACAAGCGGCTAGAAGTCTCCATAATCATTGGCGTTTCAAAGAGATGCAGTTCAAAAGGAAAAAAACATTTTCGCTACTAGATTAACCGTTGCTCGAGACGTAGAAAAATAGCATGATCATGCTCCAAGGAATCACAAGTGCTTAGAAATGTTATATCATCAGTGTCAAGAGAGAGTGAGAGAGATACCAGAATATTGCTGCTTTCTGAAAGCTTTGAAGCAGTCTCGAAATATGACATCCGCAGCATGTAGTCCACAAGAATCCGTTTCAATTTTGTGTTGTTCCACTCAGTAATATTTTCCACATCTGCTGAATCCAAATGATCGATGCGAGCACGGCATCTCTGGGCTTGCAAATTCTCCACATTGTTCCCTTCTTCCAACTGAATCACAAGACGAATAAAGCATGTTAGCTATATCACAACCCCGTTACTGCATTGAATAGAAACCAATCCAGAGAAATGAAAATTTAGAAGAAGATGCAAATGATCTAAGTTTCGATAAGATAAATTTCCCAGATCAAACGAGATCCAAGGTTAAGTGGCAATCGCTCAATTATCGTGTTCTTAATTCAGATATGTGGAATCACTTGACAAAATCGGAAACTTTGTTTACCATCAATTAGGGAGCAAATCAAATAGATGCAACACCGATCAATGAGAGAGACGAGAAATCAACCTTTCTTTTCAGGCCTTGCAATCGAGATACAAGGCTAGTAAGACGGGAAACGGTTACGTCTTTGGACCAATTGTTATCAGCCAAATCTCCGACGCCGGACACAACGGAGGAGACATCCTTCTCGAAACAACGGTGATTAGCGCGGATCGTCTTCTTATAATGCTCGAATGGTACACGGAGAAGCTGGTGCTCAAGCTTGAGCGATTCCGTCAATTGACTCAATCTCGACGACGGCACGGGGGGCGACGGAGTGATCGTAGCAGCGGTTTCCGTCATCACGGCGTCGGTGTTTCCGTTGGTTACGGGATCGATTTCCATGGCGAAGAAAATGGGAGAGAAAAGAGAAGTTGCAGAAACTACGGAAGAAAATTGTTTGGATTTTGCCTTGTGGTAATCCTCTTAAAATGATCTTGTGAGAAACTGACTGACCATCAGAGATGAGAGAAGAAATAGTGCTCGGTGAAATTATAAACGACGTCGTTGCTCTATGCCACTCTCTCTCTCCAGTTAAAACGACACCGTGGGAATAGGAATTAGAGACATAAAACCGTCCGGTCTGATCCACCCCGAACCGAGAGTGGTTTTTGCAAGTGAATCCGGTACGGGAAATAAAAAATGGGTAAGTAAACGGTAAACCAAACAAATTTAGCCTCTTCAAAGTTCAAACGATCGTAACTATTTTATTAAAGTGAAAACCTAACAAGTATTCCAACTCCCATTTTTTTTTGCTTGGAATCTAATCCGGGAGCTCATAATACTGCATGTTTTCAGATAAATTTTGATAGTTTATTTTTATGAATTACGATACAAGTGAATATTTTCGTGACATGGTACGTAGTTTATTTAAACATGTATTGTTATTGGGTTTTGTTATTTTGTTATGGTTATTGGTTAATGCAAAGTTAACTAGTGTGATCAACTACACTTGTGAGATCCATATGATCTATTTTTATAAAGTTTCATCGTTTAATATTTGAATGCTGCCTCGATTAGCTAGATTCACGTATGATTAACGGGGAAAAACAGTCAAATGTTGTGGAAACTGGAAAGCACAACGAGTTAACTTATTTTCTCGATAAAAGTTGCATCGACCAACTTTTCAAAAATTTAGGAACATATATGTCATCAAATTCAAAACTACCTATAAGATTTTGAGATAAGGTGATATTCGATCGGAAAAGTGACCATCAATAAGAGAATTAGGAGCGTCATGTTTTTTCTTTTTGGGTTTTAAAGATAAACACCATGGATTCATGTTACACCACACGGTCCACACTCCACACATACTGACATACGAGAGAATCGAACCAAAAGAGCTCAATTTAGCATAATCACATGAAGATTGAAAACAATTGGTTAACATCTTAAATGTTTAGTTAGTGTTTATATCAACGATACATATTACATATATGGTATATCAACGTATCGTTGGTCATTTTGAAGCTCAAGTTCTTGTTTTGCGCTAAAAATCTTTGATAGTAGATTAGTAGATCTTTTTTTCTTCTTTCATGATAGCGATACAACACATCAGGTATGGTCACATTGTTGATAACACCACGTGTAAAAATATATAAAGAAATATGCAATCTTTGTCATATATTTATGTTGAAATAACACATTACTTCTTTTGATTGTCAGTTCAATTGGTTGATGTAAAATACGTGTCAAAACAATGTACTATACTCCTTTTAATTAGCCTTTCTACAACTGTCAAACCAAAACAGGGAAAAAGAACAAAGCAAAATGAGAAACAATTTTATCATTTTCAGTTTCTGTTACTTCCATATCACATTATGCTCGTTTAGATATTTTATATGCATTGGTTTAAACAAAAAGAAATTGAATTCCTTTTTTTTTTTAACATAAATTGAATTCCCCTTTGACAAAAAAAAAAAAAAAAAAAGAATTCCCTTTTTAATTAAATAAAGTATAAACAAAATAATTAGCCCCGCTCCTGCAAATTTGCAATGGCTTTATCCGCGCAAGGAAAATATTTCAAAATGTGACATAAATACCCTCCACTGATACTCTATTTTACATTCCACACCATCAAATCCAAAAGCAGGGAGCCGTTTTGTTTTCCTTTCGATTCTTCCTCGTCATATTCGTCAACGGCACTCTCTCTCTCACACACTCCTTTGCTAACTTCATTTAGATCAAATCGACGTTATCTAACGCTATTAATAAATCGGCGTTTCAGTTTCTTCCCCGTTCGAATTTCGGATTAACCGTTTTCCGATTTGGCCAATCGCTGTTTATGGTAAGTTCATAAATCCTGGAGATCTTCTCTTTTGAATTTTGAATTTGGTTTTTGAAAAACCTGAGTGGATTCTTTTGCTTTCTTTAAAGCAAATTAAATCGGCAAAAAAGAGTTGTTTCGTTTCAGATTTTTTTTGTTTATTTCTTTCAATTTTCCCTACGAGGAGAAGAGAGTAGAGAGTACCTAGAGTAGAGAGATTGGAGTTAGGTTTTCTCTTGTTGAGGCGATTGTTTGGTTGGCGACGAAATCGATTAGATAATTCAAGAGAGAAAACTTGTTTAATTTTGTACTGTTCGAGTAATCTCGCCGAACATTTACTTCATCATTCTCTCCGTAACTAAGATTCAGGTTCGATTCATCACTTAATTGTCCATTTCTATGGTAATCCTTGATCAGTCCCCGTCTCTAGGGTTTTTGGTAGCTTTGAAGATGTTAATTAGGCCTGACTCGATGCTTACTATGATCAAAGTCTTGAGTTTTTGAATCTCTGAGTAGTAGTACTTTATCATCTCGATTCTAAAATCATCTGTAATGCCGTTTTTCACCTTTTTTCTGTTGAAAGGGATAACTTTCATTGAGTAAGTTGTCTGTAAGATTCACTTGAAAGAGTCTCTTTTTGGTGATTTACATGAATCTTATCTCTAGGAGAGACTTATGCTGCGAAATGTGAACTTTTCTTATCTTTCAATCTATTGATTTGTTTTTATATGCTTTGATTTCAGCTGCAGTTGTACCAATGAAGAAGCTATTCTTTTTTAGATCTTCTGGTAATGGAGCTGATAAACAGGTTCACTGCGAAAAACTAGCAGAAAGTAAGATGAAAACCCAAGCTAGTACTCAGGCTGAACAACAACTCAATAGTCCCAAGTCACATGGTGAAGTTTCTGGTGGTAGTCCAGCTCTTAGACGCAGCGTTTCATTGTCCTCGGCTGGTTTCCTTTTTGATAAGTTTGGAGAAACTTCTACGAATGATCTACCTGGTTCTGCTAAAAGCCAGGATCGTCACCGGAATCACTCATCTCGGTATGCTTTTTGGCCTTCTTATAATTCTCATTGTTCTGGTGATGTTAATAAGATTGTTGCTTTCTTGGTTCGCTGCTAACGAACAATTGAAATGTATTCTATGTGACAGGTGCTTTACTCCAGAAAGACAAGTCAGAGAAAGGCAGTGTGAAGCAGACAAGTTTCAACATGATTCATCTGCGAGTTCGTCATCTTGCTCTAGTAATGTCTCAAGTAAAGTTCTGGACCGTTACATTGATGGAGAAGAGCATATAGAGCGGTGCAAGAAAAAGAGTAGTTCTTCACAAAGCGATGTCTCTGGGAGTGTAAAGCAAAGGAGGCTTCCACCTCGAGTCCAGTCGACAGTCCCTACGTCTCCATCAGACACTTTGAATGACAAGAGAAAGTCCCACTCATTTAGAGAATCTAAAGGAACCCGCCTTCGTTTCTCAACTAATGATTGCGTGGAAGATGGATCCAGGCGTGGATCGCCTCGTTCGCTTGCAAGAAATGTCATCGAAAGACTCTCTCAGACTAATGGCAAGTCAAAGGGATCGTCAAACCATGAGCCCATCACTATTCAAGATATCTACGGTGGATCCCTTGATAGAACTTTTGACTCGAGCTCAGATGTCACGGCCAATGTTTCACTGGCTGAACACTATGAACCTGTGAACGAATTCTATGCGCATGACTACGGAAAGCACCAGCAAAATCACATACATGGCAAGAGCATGTATAGGTGTATGGAAGAGGGTATCGACTCAGAGCTGGAAATGAAGATCAAAGAAGCTGAGAAGAGAGTGAGATTGTTTTCTGAAGAATTGAAGCAGCAGAGATGCCTTTCTGACTGTGACTTTGATGTTTCATCTTTGGTTGGGGCGGTTAGAAAACTCGAAGACGAGAGGATCAACTTAGCATTTGAGAACGTAAATCTTCTGCGCTCCCAATTGGCTGAGAGAACTTCTGCTAGGGAAGAAAACAGACGGGTGAAGTCAGATTGGGACTTGCATATACAAAGACTAGAGAAGGAGAGGAGCGAGTTGCAGGCTGGACTGGAGAAAGAGCTTGATAGAAGGTCAGGTGAGTGGACTTCAAAGCTCGAAAAGTTCCATTTTGAAGAGAAGAAGCTCCGAGAGCGTGTCAGAGAGCTTGCTGAGCAAAATGTCTCACTCCAGAGAGAACTATCTGTTTTCAACGAAAGTGAGACAGAGAACAAAGATCTGATAACACATTTGGAGAGAAGAGTAGCGGAGCTGACCACGACAGCAGATGAATTGCATGATGAGAACTCTTATCTTAAGCAAACTCTCTCCCAGTTACAAGAGACTTACGCAGGTGCTACAGAAGATCTTGATTTCTTAAGAAGAAACTTTGAAGAGAAGGATCAAGAATGCAAGGAGTTGCACAAATCTGTTACAAAGTTTCTGAGAACCTGCAAAGAACAAGGGAAGACAATCGAGGGTCTTCGAGATGGGGTTTCCGAGGAGAGCAAAAAGCAGCCGTCAGAGAAACTGGACCAGCTGGTGAAGAAATTGCAGGTGGAGCAAGTAAGGTTGACAGGGATCGAGCTTTCACTTAGAAAGGAAGTCGAATCAATGAAGCTCGAAACTGACTCTCTTCGCCATGAGAATGTCTGTCTGCTGAATCGATTGAAAGGAAATGGCGAAGAGACAGACATTACAACCTTGAAGCTAGAGAATGAGTTGAAGATGCGTATCTGCTACTTGCAAGACCAAGGACTGTCAATGTTAAACGAGAGCAGCCAGCTGTGTTACAAGTTGCTCAAGTTCATCAAAGGGAAATTAACTCAGTTTCCGCAAACCTCTCAGGATGCAGTATCAGCTAAGGACGGACTAAGTGAGCAGTTTATGATTGAGTCTGAAGTGAAACTCCATGGGATGAGGCGTGCAACTGAAAACCTGAAGAGAAGTTTGCAAACGGTAACCAATGTGGTGGCTTCAAATTCAGAATTATCTTGCTCAAGTAGGCCTAAAGAGCAAAGAAACCAGTCAATTGAAGTGAGTTTCCAATATTATGTTTCTGATGTATTCTCATTTCAGTTTCTAACGCTTTGCCCAATGTCATGTATCAGGAAACCTTGCGAGCCGAACTGAGAGCTGAGACACTAATCACAAGTCTATTACGTGAGAAGCTGTATTCCAAGGAACAAGAAATCGAACAGCTGCAAGCAGAACTATCAGCTGCAGTACGAGGTAACGAGATTCTGAGATGTGAGGTCCAAAGCACTCTAGACAACCTCTCCGTTAAGACCCACGAGTTAAAAGACCTCAAGCTCCAGGTATGATAATAACACATCCCATGTATGTATAAGTAACTTGTTCCAAATTATGTATGTAACTTTACACTGATCGTTGTGAAATCAGATGTTGAAGAAGGAAGAAAACATAAACCGGCTTGAAAGCAGTCTACAGGAAGCAGCGAAAGACATGGCGAGCTTGAAAACAGTATTACCAAAAGTTTCTGACGAAAGAGACCAGATATGGAGAGAGCTGAGGCAATGCTGTGAGAAAAACATGCTTTTGAACGGAGAGAACGAGACGTTGAAAGGGATGCTAGAGAAACTGGAGGAGAAAGTGTTGGAGAAAGAAGGAGAGATCACAATACTACAAGACACAATCGGAAGCAAGCGTCTCCACCTCCTCTCAAGTCCTGATTTCTTGGTATAAAGAGTCTTCTTTTTCTTTTTCTGTTCATACATACTTTTATCAGAGTTTTCCAGAATTTAGTTTTCTTTCACACCTTAATGATGGGGTCATTCTTTGGGGGTTATAGGATATGATTTATATTTTCTTCTTTTCGATTGCTTATCTTAAAGCTACTTCTCCAGTTTCTGATGTACTTGCTACACAGAGGGATTATATAATCTTAGTCTTAGGAGTGAAAAAGCTGAAGTAAAAATTAAAACAACACCATATTCTTTGCCTTAAATAAAAATGACTAACAGAAAAAAAACTGAAGCTAAAAAACTAAACCAATATAGAAAAACACTTTCCTCCTCTAGGGTTTGTTTGTCTCTTCTAATTCCACAATGCAGAACAATCAGTGGGCTTAAAAGAAACCAGCAGTGAAGAAGGATCATAACCCACCAAAAAATTGTTCTGCGCTCTGTTCCCAAACGTCCCCTCCACATCCGTCGGATCAGCACACAAAATCGCCAGACAATACATTCCTCCATCACTCAAGTACGTATTGTACTTGTCCAAGACAAGATCCGCACCGCCGGAGAAATGCATTGTGATCACCGGAAAGATGTCTATGCTGTCCGAATTGTAACAAAGCTTGTCGCCCATGAAATCTACTCGATCCGTTATGACAGCGCTATCCACTGCCTCCTTCACTAGTTCCCAGTAGCTCCCGGGCAAGTAGGTGAAAGTGGTTCCAGAGTCTATGACCATGTTCCCCTCCAAGGCGTGAAACGGTGTCCCCAACGTCTCGATGCGGTTATCTCCAACGCTGACCGCTTCTAGGTTTAGGTAGTAGAGACCTTGCTTCTCTGTCTTTATAAACATATTGGCTGCTACAGTCCCATCTCCTGCCACTATAGCATTGCTTCCAAAGTTGAGCTTGCTAGTTCCCTTACCGGAGAAGCAGTAAGACAAAAGACATAAGAATCTTTCTCCCATCTGAGAGATGAGCGATGAAGCTCCCCAGCCTAGACCAACCATGCCTGAACCGGTCGGTAAAAAGCCTGAGTTGTTGTGGCCACAACCAATTATTGTTTCGGTCATCACAAAAGGCTGGCCTGAAGTGGACTGGAGCGAGACCGTCTCGGTCGCTAACGTCCCCATGGAATAGCTGTCGTCCATATAGGTGATTGCGTAAGGACAAGAGTGGTCAGGGCCGTCGTGGCATATTTTGGGTTTGTAGCTTGAGGATTTCGAAGGGTCGAAGATGGGAGAGTCTTGTTTGAAGCAGTTGACACAAGGCAGACATTGTGTCCATATGAGGTTGCTTCCTGTGTCTAGCTCAACTTCGAACTCGACAGGAGGAGTACCGATTTGTAGTTTCATTAGATAGCTCATGGTTTCGAAGATGGTATCGGCGTAAGGAGATGAACCATCATCACCGAGACGAGAAGAAGAAGAGTTAGAGCGACGTTGGATTAACTCGATGGTGAAGCCCGCGCCGGGAGGTGGTGATGATGAGGCAGTTGCGGTGATTAAGAGAAAACAAGTGATAATGATTCGAAGAGAAAGAGCCATGATCATTGCGGTTGCAACTTGCAAGAGACAATGATCGGCTAATATTGTGGGTTTTTGAGACAATGCTACATGTTTTCATTCATGCACATATATATACTCTTAGGTTATTTTGTCCAATTTGTAAATTTGTCTTATTTTGTCATCTTCGTCCATTTTTGTTATTTACATTTTGGTCTCGTAGCATGGGAAATTTTACTTATTTTCATTTTTCTTTTGAACAAGAGTCCTTTTTCTGTTCATACATACCCTTTTCAGAGTTTTCAAGAATTTGGATTCTTTACCATCAATCTTGTTCTGGTTTCTTTCTTCGATGATGGGATCATTCTTTGGGGATTAATTATAGGATATGATCTGACTTTTTCTTTTGGATTGCTTCTCTCAAAGTTGACTTCTTCAGTTTCTGATGTACTTGCTACATGATAGAGGGATTATATATAATCCCAGGGGTGAAGTTTATGAAAATTAAAGTTTGCCAAATCTAGCCAATACAATCACGATTAAGTCGTTACAGAAAAAAAAAAAAAAAAAAAAAAAAAAAAAAAAAACTTTACAGCAACTTTAGTTACAAACCATATGCTAAATATTTTATACTTATACATAATTGGTATTGGTTTGTATAATTATAAAATAAAATCATAATAATGTTATTGTATTTTTACTGAACCTGTAGCACAACAAGAACCAGATTCTAAAGAGATTTCATATGAAAAGAAATGGTAGTTAAATGTTGGAGAAAAGGTAATACTGTTAAATAATAAAAGGTCAAACCGTTAAACAAGTCAAAAATAAATAGCGAGAGACAGATACTTTAAATTAAAAAAGAAAAGACAATAAACAGGACGGCCGCGACTCTCGGCTTATTAACTCTCTCTCTCTCTCTCTAAAACCAAATCCAACGTCTCCGTCTCTTCTTCGAACGCGTCTTCTTCTCTATATTAACCCTTTCCTCCTTTTTTTCTGCTTTTTTTTTGTATCACGAATCTTTCTATTCTCTTTGTCTCCCTCATTGATCTTCAATCGAATGATGGATTATTTCTCTACGCCAAGTTTCTGAAATCAAAAGGAACCCTATTATCTCCATCTATCCTCGATCTTCATCAGGTATTCAATTTCAATTTCTTCCAGAGACTCGTTGATCGGATTGATTGATTCTATTTGAAAATCCCTTTTCCCGAATCGTCGATTACTAAATTTTTTTTTGTGAAATTTTGCGGAATGCAGATTAATGTTGTTTACATATGTGAATGCGTGTTTGAATTCTGAATCCTGGGTTTGTGGAGTTGGAATCGACGAGAAGATTGGGTCACACAACATAGTCATAAGCACCGATTTGATGAACGATTTGATAGCTGGTTCTTTTGGTTAGAGATCGCTTAACATGTGAATTATGGTATCTACAACATTTAGGAGAATTGTATCCCCTTGTTGGAGACCTTTTGGTATTGGTGAAGGTTCGGTTCCAGGCAGTAGCGATGACCCCAACGGCCGTCTCGACGGCCTCCTGTGGTACAAAGACTCCGGCCACCACATCTCCGGCGAGTTCTCGATGGCCGTTGTTCAAGCCAACTCCCTTCTCGAGGACCATAGCCAGCTGGAGTCGGGTCCTATCAGCTTGCACGATCCAGGACCCGAAGCGACTTTTGTTGGTGTTTATGATGGTCATGGAGGTCCCGAAGCGGCTAGGTTCGTGAACGAGAGGCTGTTTTACCACATGAGGAGGTGTACGTCGGAGCAGAGAGGGATCTCTCCGGACGTGATCACGAGAGCGTTTGTGGCGACGGAGGAGGAGTTTCTTGGTTTGGTGAAGGAGCAGTGGAAGGAGAAGCCGCAGATTGCTTCTGTTGGGGCTTGTTGCTTGGTTGGTGTCGTTTGCAATGGGCTGTTGTATGTAGCGAACGCTGGAGATTCGAGGGTTGTGTTGGGGAAGGTGGAGAGTCCGTTTAAGGAGATGAAGGCTGTGCAGCTGTCTACAGAGCATAACGCGAGCATGGAGTCGGTGAGGGAGGAGCTGCGTCTGCTGCATCCGAATGATCCGAACATTGTGGTGTTGAAGCATAAAGTGTGGCGTGTGAAAGGGATCATACAGGTGTCGAGGTCTATTGGCGACGCGTACTTGAAGAGGGCAGAGTTTAACGAGGAGCCGCTGCTGCCGAAGTTTAGAGTCTCGGAGCGGTTTGAGAAGCCGATTATGAGAGCTGAGCCGACGATAACGGTTCATAAGATTCACCCGGAGGATCAGTTTCTTATATTTGCGTCGGATGGTTTGTGGGAGCATTTGAGCAACCAAGAAGCTGTTGATATCGTGAATTCTTGTCCACGCAATGTAAGGAACTTTAATTGAATCTACTCTTTTTGTTGTTAAGATTTTTGTGGTGATGTTTGTGGTTTTTGTTTTTAGGCTGTGGCTCGGAGGTTAGTGAAGGCTGCGTTGCAAGTAGCAGCGAAGAAGAGAGAGATGAGGTATTCGGATTTGGAGAAGATTGAGCGTGGCATCAGGAGACACTTTCACGATGACATTACTGTGATTGTCGTTTTTCTCCACACTGCGAATTATGGGATTCGAGCTCCGGTTTCTGTCAAAGGAGGTGGTCATCTCTCAGGGAATGCGTTTTTATAGTTTCTTTTTAACTCAATAATAATAATAACCAAAAAAAAAAAAATCTCATTTATTCTTTTTTTTTTGTTTCTGAACCAGAAATTTGATTTTGTTTGCTTTTTTTTTGTCTTTTACAAATGTTTCGTCTTTGTTTGTTTTGCTCAGAATTTCAGATTGTCTGATACTTGTCCATATTATTTTCTTAACTCAAATTTGTAAATTATATCTCTCTATTTCATTTTCATTTTCAGTTATACAAAAAAAAATCAAAACTTGTGGCAGTCAATAGTCAAATAAAGGAAGGTTCAACTGGAGAAGTTGAAATCAATTTGGCAAAGTGCAGCAGATGCAGAATTTTCTCATGGAAATCTCTAAAAGTTGTAGAAAATGTTGCAAAAAAACAAAAAAGATCAAAACTTGGGGCAGTCGTATAAAGGTTCAACTGGAGAAGTGGGAATCAATTTTCCGTGAAAAATCCTAATCGGAGCTGAGAGAACGGAAAGAAGAAAATGAGTGTCGGAGTGGGAGTTAGCGTCTCATACCCATCGATTTCGTTATCCTCGAGGAATCTCTCAGTTCCTTCATCGTCACTCTATGTTGGTCGGAAAGTTCTCCGACCAAGCTCCGATATTTACTTGAATCTGCGGTGCCGGAAAAGCAGAACCAAACCATTGTTGGCTGTTATTGGGTCAAGGTAATCAAAATTTGTGTTTCTTTCTCTGAGAAGCTTTGTGTGAATCCAAATTGAGAAATTCGATGTTTGTGCTTTGGTCTTTGTCTTAGTCGTGTACCGGAGCTTGATTCTTCTTCTGAACCACTTCAAGTCTTCGACGGAACGACAAGGTTGTTCGGTCTTAAAAACCATTATTTTGTTTCATTTCTGGAAAAATAACTATCGAGAGAGAGAGAGAGAAGTTGTTGATGAAGAGTATTGTTTTCTGCTATTTTTGAAGGTTGTACATATCTTACGGTTGCCCATTTGCTCAGCGAGCGTGGATTGCTCGGAATTACAAGGTTTTGATTTTAATAATCTTATCGCTATTCCCTTATTTTACGTAGATTCGAAAGTCGAAACTGCTCGGAGCTAGATCAGTTTTCTTTTGTTGTGTAGGGTCTGCAAGACAAGATAGAACTTGTACCGATTGATCTCAAGAACAGGCCTGCTTGGTATAAGGAGAAAGTTTACAAGGCTAACAAGGTGCCTGCATTAGAGCACAATAACAGAGTAATAGGAGAGAGCCTTGACCTGATCAAGTACATTGACGCCAATTTCGATGGGCCTTCACTTACACCCGATGTGAGTATATCAATATATTACTCAAAACTGAAGTGAACCTCTGCTTAGAAGAGAGACTGATAGACATATCCATGGAACAACAACAGGGTGTAGAGAAGCAAGCGTTTGCTGATGAGTTACTCTCCTACACTGCCACTTTCTCCAAGGTTGTGAGATCCACATTGTTTTCAGGCGCCGACATTGCTGCTGCAGGTGATTTAGAAGATGATCCTGTGTTTACAGAAACATTGTTTGCCGTGTGTATGATGAATCTTGTCTTTGCATTTCTTCAGATGTTGGGTTTGATTACATGGAGCAGGCTCTTTCCAAGTTCAAAGAAGGGCCTTTCTTCCTTGGCCAATTTAGCTTCGTATGTTTCGTTTATCTTCTTCTTCTCCACATATGAGCTTTTTGTTGCTGAGCTGAATCTACAATGGTGAAACGATTTTTGATTATACATTACAGGTTGATGTTGCATATGTTCCATTCATCGAGAGATTCCAGCTTATCTTCAAGGATGTGATGAATGTGGATATCACATCTGGCCGGCCTAACCTTGCCCTTTGGATTCAGGTTACGCCATTTCCATTGGATCTTAACTCTTAACACCAAATCTCTCTCAAACACACCTATGCTAATCTCTGCTTCTTCTTCTTCGCCTCTTTTTTTGCGCAGGAGATGAACAAAATAGAAGCTTACACAGAAACCCGTCATGATCCACAAGAGCTAGTTGAAAAATACAAGAAACTAGTCCAAGCCAAATAATCGGATGATATATTGTAACCATGCAAGATTTTATTTTTATATAGATGTAATGTAATAATAATTGTATTGTTTTCGGGAAAGGACGAACAAGCATCATCTACATGATAATAAGAACAGGCAACAACTGTTTTTCATTTATCTCGAGAGTTTCCATGATAATAAGACCAAGAAAAATCTCCAACTAGAATGAAACTGCACCTGCTTGCTTTTACCTTCATTGGCCAATAAGATCCTGCTTGCTGCTTCATTAAAAACCCAGTGCGCACCAAGGAGCAACGTGATTTCAGAGATATTATACAAAAATCAAACCAAGCTGAGTACGATCCCAAGTCCCCAAAGTTGAAAACAGAAGTAAAGCATCATAAGAGTCTAATACTGCTTGCCCAGCTAATTTTTTTTCATTTTTGTATCCAGAGAGAGAGAGAGAGATTAATCAGCTTTCTTCAAGATGAAGAGAGGTAAAATGTCGCTGGACAAGTCTTCCATTTCTATGTGTATATACTGAATGCAAATGCACGAGACGAAAGCTTTGCTACTTCTGCTTTAGCAGTACTCTCCATATGTTCTTCATATAAACAACCAAAGACCATATAGAGAGCCCTGCAGATACATATAGCAACCCAATACCCGACGGTAATAGTCTCTCAAAACTGCTATCCCGGCTTGCAAGAAGTATCGTTAGCGCTATCATCTGCGTTGCCGTTTTCCACTTCCCCAAGCTATTCACAGCAACAGCCTGAGAACGTCATCATCATCAATGCCGTTTATATGAATAGGAAAAAGGTCGAAGAGAAATGCATATGGATATGGTGGTGAAATGAAAACTTCACCTCTGAAAGCTTGCCGTTTTGAGATGCAGCCCATTCTCTTACTGCAGACATAGTAATCTACAGTGACAAGTAATAACGAATAGCTTAAGATCAGAGAGCCGATATGTGCACATGACTTAGTGATATCTAAGAATAAAGTAAAGTTTTTGTATCGTACCTCTCTACCAATAATGGCAATTGAAGGTACCGTCACTAACCATGGGGCTGGTCCTAAGACAATGGCGTCCATGGGTTTAGTGCACAGCAAAATCAATGTTGCTGCTACCATAAGCTGCACACACCATAACATCAATGAGAAGATAAATCTCTCAATTGATGAAAAATAAAGAAAAGTGGAGATGTAGCTAAGGAAGAGACTCCTTTACCTTATCTGCCACTGGATCCAAAAATGCACCAAACGCAGAACCTAGTCTCATCTGAAATGCACACACATATCACTGTTAAGTTTGTGATTCTGGAAAGAAACCAGAGAAGATTTATCGATCACAGAAGGATGAAAAATGAAGTACCTTCCGGGCGATATACCCATCAAGCCAATCTGTAATGGCTGCTGCAATAAAAATACTTGTTGTGGCAGTTTTCCCCCACCAGCAATCAACGTAAAAGGCTACATTTTGCAAAACAAAGAGATGAACATAATGCAATGAAATTACAATCAAAAACCAGGAATGCAGCAGCAGAAGATCCAATTCAGATTATTAATCAATCAAATACATACGAAAAGCTTCATAATTTTGGTGGTGGTAACAAGTGAAACTACTCATAGCAATAAGCTCAATTCAAAAGAGGAGAAGGAGAGAATCAGTATCCACTGTCAAATTCAAGCAATCAACAAAATTCTGATCTGAAAAACGGATTTGATTGAGCTAGAAAATTCACAATTGCCTTTCTTCGTTTAGATCTGATGATTAAATCCAATCGCACACTGAATAAGATATGCACGGGCAATGACTCAACGATAATTCAGAGTCGAAACAACGTACTTGCGACGAGAATCGGAACGGCAGCTACTCGGCCAAGGGTTAATACGGTAGGCAATGTAAGCACTTTAGAAGATAGCTGTTGCGGTGGAGGCAATGTCGACGAACGGCGATTACGGAGGAGAGAATCTTTGCCACCACCTGAACTGTTCTGATCCGCCGTCGCGGCGTCTTCTTCACCCATATCCGCCACAGAACCTGATCTGTGAATAAGACGATCCGACGAAGAGGAGGAAGAGAAGCAACGAAGGGCGGTGGCGAGTGGCGACACCTCCCCTGAATCCGGAACCCTAAGCCTTTATGGAACGCACAACGGCCAATAATAATGCAGCTTGTGGGGGAGCGACTAACGTGCGCCGATGAGGATGTAAACGTGCGCCGTAGATTGACGTCGACTCGCTGACGATTGTTATTGAAGCAAATGGCACTGATTTTTCCCTAATAAAGGAAAGTGGTCCAGTGGAGTAGTTTGGGCCTCGTTTTATTTCTCGAGGTGATTTGATTGCTAAATGTCATCCTCCAATTGCAATCTGCCGAATGTCAAAAATTTGTTGTTCCTTTGTTATATACGTGACATTTTTATTCATATGGAAATGATCAGCCGTTAGAGGAAAAAAATATGGAAATGATCCATTCTGATGATTCATGTAAACAAATAGTAACAAGGATTTTGGACTGTAATCCAAAGCACTAATGATATTGGAGTAGATAAAGTTGTATGTTTTTGATGATTAATTATACGTGTAGTTATGTTTTCTGCACCGACACTAGCTCCTTTGATGATATACATCAATCAAATTACAATTTTTTATTGTAGAGGTCAAGTAAACACAAGGAATGTTTAATATCAAATCAGTTTGGATGATGGGCGAGTTTGGGAATGTTTAATATGCCTTGGCCAACGGCAACATACACTAGAAATGTTTCTCTATAGCTAGTTTGCTACGTAGTTGCAATATACACATTATTGCTATCTTTTGGTTTTACAATGTTGCATTAACTTACGAAAAGTACTAATAATTTGGTTATACATTTCATTGTTGCACTGAAGTAGTTCATTGTCTCATAGGCTCATAGCTGTTATACTCTACATCTTTTAAAAACAAAATTTATTACAGTTACAAGTTACAACTGTCACATGCTATCCTTCTGCATGTGGACTGTTAGAGGAAATGGTGTTGTAGATTATGCTTTTAATCTCTTATCCTTCTCCGTTTTTAGGATCTAATTACTGTTTTTGTGAACTGACCATCACACTTTAATTTTCATAGATTCGAACATCTTCAATGATATATATGATAATAATAAGTTAATAACCGGCATGACACATAAAAGTGAGAGTATATTATGGGTTACAAATAGGAGCACTGACCCTATCAATGATAGAAATACATGTATTCTATACGTGAGAGTCGAATTTTATTCCAAGCATCATTTTGAAGCCTTCTTAATAGTTCGAAATCAATGACCAAAATTGATGAACCACCGCTTATATATGATTTGTGAATGCCAAAACTGAAACATCTCTTTTAACAAAGGATCGCCTCCTTGCGTGTACTATTTTTTTCTAACAAAATAATCGATTGCTAGGCCTATTTATTATGGATCGGTCCATTTTGTCGTCGTTAGTTCCAAAACCCTATATCACAAAGTGTATAAACTTACCTTAAGTTTGATTTTTTTTTTAAATAGAGGGAGAGCATATGAATATCTAAACCCTAATTACATACAGTTTGATTAAGTTTTCTCAACACAATAGTTATCAAAGCCAAATCTGAAAGTCCAGATGATATTTGAACAATTCGTAGTCAAAATAAGAAAGATTATGATATATTATCGTCTGATAAAATGTAACATGTGAAGCGCATTTTCATCGGTTATATGATAGATTATTAGATTTATACAAATCTAGGACAAACTAGCTTCTTCCTCTTTTTTTGCCAGATTTAGTTATCTACAAAAGTCCTTTACCAACTCCTAAAGCTATTGTCCTTTACCGACAAAGCGACAACCATTACAATCCCCACAATTATTATCTTGCATAATTTTTAAGTTTCAGTGAAAAAAATCAGTCAATCTCTTCAGATCGAAGATTTTCTTGAACACAAATATGATCTTTAGTTTTTTCTTTTCTTTTTTGATAAATATATGATCATTAGTTTTTGAAGTTCTGGAAAGTAGATGGAGAGTGCATGATCTCTTTACAAAATTATCATGATATGGATGTATAAGCAAGAAAATTATTTAATGGTAAAGACTTGAGAGAGAGATGAAATGAAAAATACTGTCTCAAAACTATTTGACCTCAATCATCACCGCAACGCAGGGGCAGATCTAGTGAATGAGCTAGGGTGTCAAATGACCCCCACTAATTCATAAATTTTTGATTTAATATAAATATATAACTGAAATATTGATTAGTTTTTATTAGTTTGACCCTGTTAATTGTAGATCTTCCAAATTTTGACCCCCATGAATAATATTTCTACCTCCGCCACTGCCGCTACGTAACATTATAAAGTGTTTCAACCCGAAAGATTATCTTTCTTATCGTTTGATGTGACATATACGATTGTAGAAGACTGTTTTTACCGCAAGTAATTCTTTTTGCAAACTCCAACTATACAAGTGCATGCATCCACCACTACTAAAACAACTAAATCCAAACTTGCATTTCAGGAATTTGTACACGACGTAGATATATTACTATTTATAACTCTGATATATTAATAGTTAACAATATACAGCCTAAATGTATTTTAGCTATGTTTTTTTTTTAACAAAGAACTATTAAATTAAATTAATTTAAATATTTTAAGGTTAAAATTTTGTTGATAAACCCGACACATAGCATAACTTTACTAGATATTTTTTTGACAAACTTCTAGTATAAGATATTGCAAACCAACTGTAAAATGTGAATTTCACATCCAAAATAAGCAAGTGGTTATATTATTATAGGAGTGAAAAAGTGAAAAAGGAAAAAAAATGTTTTTTCTAATGAGAGAAAAAAGAGAGACCTTTTGGACTCTGTGTCAAGGAAACGGAGTCGACGCAGTCAAATTTCACATGTAATAACCTCGTCGACAATCTCGCCCTTTCCATGTGATTTCTCCACTTCTCCCTCTCTCTAATCTCTCTCTCTCCTCTCTCTACTGCAACTTCCTCCTCCTCATCCTTCAACTTCAGTAGTCGCGGAATGATGATCAACTAGCCTGGATCTTCTCCTTCTTCTCACCAGGTTTCCCAACTCTTACCGTGCTAGATCTCTTTTTCCGGCCAACGAATGAGGATCGCCGCCGCCGCTTCCAAGCCTCTTAATCATCTCGTCGCTTTCGAGCACAAGAGGTTTCGCCTCCTTTCCCCTTCCTCTCTACATTTCCGTTTCTCTTTCTCCTTTTCTCCTTTCTGGTTTATTTGCTGTAATTTTTCATGAACTTGCGCTCTCTCTTTAGCTCCGGAGTAGAGCGATCTCCGATTTACCGGAGTTTAACATTTCTCAATCTGGCTAATTTTTGCGTGTAATTTGCATTTTCTTAACAAACTGGTCTGGATTTTGATGTTCGTTCGTCTTGATTTGGAGTACATTCTAGTGCGATTTTTTTCGAGTGAAACCATTGGTGACTATTGCTCTCAATGTGGCATTATCGTCAGTGTAGGTAGTCAATTGAGTATTAGGAACTGGGATTCAACTAATTTTTTCTCGTGCTGTTCAATTGCTTCACAATTTATCTGGGATGCAAATTTGTATTCACAGCTATAAAAATCTAGGAAATGTTGAGATTTCGTCTGAGTTATAGATGGGATTTAACATATCGGTGGAATTCATATGGCTATTGTTCTTATCAACAGGGATGCATATGGATTTCCTGTGAGACCTCAACATGTGCAGAGATACAGAGAATATTCTGATATTTACAAGGTTCTATCTCCATAACTCTTTTCATTCACATGATTTCTTGGAACAGCTTGTTTTTCCTTTTAATTTGCCTATTATGGTGAGAATGATGTTTCCTTTTAGAATTGTTGTTATGGGGAAAACCTGTGGGAAAGATATCAAACTGGACAAACTTAGAACTACACACGCCTTAATGTGCCTCTAGAACTACATACCTTAGCAACCAAATGCTTGTGATAAGTTCTTTTTATCTCTTGGAATGGTTGGAGTTTCTATATAAGTCCCCTAAACTTGTAAAGTCACTCTTTGGTTACGAACAGGAAGAAGAAGAAGAGAGGTCGGACAGGTGGAGCAGTTTCTTGGAAGATCATTCAGAATTAAATGAGTCGCTTGCAAATGGATCATCTGGAGATAGTCATGCACCGTCTAGTGAAAGTAAACAGGAAAAAGAAGAGGAAGCAAACAAGGGTGCTGGAGACAATCTGCGTACTGAAAAGTTAGGTTCTGATGTAACTCTTGATAATGCAAGTGAAGAAGAAGGAAGCTCCGATGCAGAGAAGAATGTTCATAGAGTGCAGCTATGGACTGAGATCAGACCATCTCTGCGATCAATTGAAGAATTGATGAGTATCCGTGTCAAGAGGAAGGGGGATTTATCAAAAGGCGAGCAAGAGGCTCCGAAGGTGAAATCTTTACTTTCATTTGATGATGCCAAATCTTCCAAGGGAGCATCTGAGAATGATTCTGAAGACGAATTCTATGATGTTGAGAGGTCGGATGTTCAGGATGGTTCTTCTTCAGATAGTACAAGTGTCTCTGGCATTCCTGTTTCTGTTGATGCATCTTCCGCAGTGTCTACATGTCCCTGGAAGGAAGAACTTGAAGTGCTTATCCGCGGTGGTGTACCTATGGCTCTGAGGGGGGAGGTAATAATTATTCTCATGTCTACATTGCTGCCTTCATCTACAGCTCGTTAGCCTTAGCTCTTCTTGAATCCTAATCGTCACATGTATCAACAACATTTCAGCTATGGCAAGCATTTGTGGGTGTGAGGAAACGACGAAGCAAGGATTATTACCAAAACCTTCTTGCTGCAGATAGTTTTGGAAACAGCATAGAGCAGGGGGATGTGCAGCATGTGGATGATAAAGGTTCAAATACAGACTCCCTTGCTGCTGTGGAAAAATGGAAAGGACAGATAGAAAAGGTAGTACTCGAAAATTTATTCAGTATTGACCCTCTCTATCTAGTGGTGCAGTGTCGGCTTATGCTGAAGTTGATCAGTTTTCTTACGCTGCTGCTTAATTCAAGTACAGGACTTGCCTCGGACATTTCCAGGCCATCCTGCCCTGGATGATGACGGAAGAAATGCTTTGCGGCGTTTGCTCACTGCTTATGCTAGACATAATCCTTCTGTTGGATACTGTCAGGTATTAGTTCTTAACCAATATCATTATTCCTTATTTTAGTACTGAGACATGGTAAACTAAGATCAATATCTAGCTAATATCTTGTGTTAATATACCATGTGCAGGCTATGAATTTCTTTGCTGCACTTTTATTACTTTTGATGCCCGAAGAGAATGCCTTTTGGTATGTTCACAAACTTGAGGAATCTGTCATCTCCAACTCCTAAGACTGTTTTTCTGTGAAATTCGAACTCATTAGCTCTGTGTTTAGTTAGTGTATCTATCACTTTCACTTATCCCGGTTGACTGTTGTTAGGTCATTCTTTTAAACCTTTGTTCTTTCCTAAACCGATGCTGTTTGAGTAATCTATTATTTCCTACTCCTAATCTTGTTTTCTGGGGAAAAAAAAACTCTTTGGCTCTATGTTTAGTTTTTATACCTATCACTTTCATTTTCTTCTTGTTGAATTACTGTTGTAAGGCTTTCTTATATCATTTCTATACCGATGTGCTGCTAACTAAACTACTTATTTTGTAGGGCACTGACAGGAATCATTGATGACTACTTTAATGGTTATTATTCAGAAGAAATGATTGAGTCCCAGGTGATAATATTAGTTGCTTGACATTTGCACAAATTTTGGGGCAGACTGGTGATAGCAAAGTTATGTTAGTTAATGTTACTATATTTTGTGCTCTTATTTTAGGTTGATCAACTAGTTCTGGAGGAGTTGGTTCGAGAAAGATTTCCTAAATTGGGTGAGTTCCTTCACAGATTTCTTGTTTCATCCTACAAAACGTTCACAGATAGTACTAATGCTATGCAATTTTTGTATGTCGACAGTTCATCATCTGGATTATCTTGGAGTACAAGTGGCTTGGGTTACAGGGCCATGGTTTCTTTCCATCTTCATGAATATGCTTCCTTGGGAAAGTGGTCAGATTTTAAACATTGGAATTAAATTTTTCTTTTTTGAAATTAGGAACTGAGTACTATAACTTTTCGACGGCAATTTGTTTATATTTTATCATCTTTCTCGTTAAAATTTGAGACTGAGAGTCCATGGTCTTTCTAAATGTTCGTCGTCTTGATTCCAGTTCTTAGAGTCTGGGATGTGCTTCTCTTTGAAGGGACGCGTGTTATGCTATTCAGAACAGCACTAGCATTGATGGAACTATATGGTACTTGACTGAAACTAGTAGTCTTTGGATTTAAGTGATATGTTATGTGGACCTTCTGAATGCAGCAGTGCCATCATCGAGACTGCTCTAACTCATGGTTTAATTCACCTCAGGCCCTGCATTAGTTACAACGAAGGATGCCGGAGACGCAGTTACTTTGCTACAATCACTAGCTGGATCAACATTTGATAGCAGCCAGCTCGTTTTAACTGCTTGCATGGGTTACCAAAATGTACATGAAATTAGATTACAGGAATTGCGTAGCAAGCATAGGCCAGCTGTGATAGCTGCACTTGAGGAAAGATCAAGGGGGCTTCAAGCTTTTCGAGATTCTAAGGGCATTGCCTCAAAACTATATAGTTTTAAGCAAGACCCAAAATCTGTTTTGGTGGATTCGAGCAAAGCCTCTTTGACTAATGGGAGTTTGTCTCGATCCGAATCAGGATCAAGTAATGCAGATGAAGTGTTAGTTAGCCTGACTGGGGATGGGGAGGTAGATTCTGTTCAAGATCTTCAGGCGCAGGTAATTTTTTATCGTCCTTTCTGTTGGCTTGGAGATGCTCTCCTTAGTACACTTGAATGCTAGATGATTATATCTGTCGAAAAGGTAGAAAAATCACTCGATACCTACAGGCTACGGTCATAAAGCCACTGCTGAAAAGTTCACTGATAACTTTTCCAGGTTCTGTGGTTGAAGGCTGAACTTTGCAAGTTGCTTGAGGACAAAAGATCAGCTCTACTTAGGTTGGTTTCTTTGCTCAATAAATAACTGGAGAATTAATGGTAGAGATTGCTTTCATATTATTCCTCAATATGTAATTTCCCCCAATCTTCCTATTTTGTGGTAGAGCTGAAGAGTTGGAGATAGCTCTCATGGAGATGGTCAAGCAAGACAATCGACGTCAATTGAGTGCCAAGGTATACCCATAAAGATTGCCATTTGACAGTTAATTTCCTAATAAAGCATATAAGCTCGTATTTCGTTACTTGTCTTTTTATCAATGTTCTGAATACGAACACTACTTTCTCCCACACTTGTGAACACCATCTCTGCGAAGTTAGTTTTGAGATGTAAAATGCTGCTTGTCATGAATGTGAACTTCAGGTCGAGCAGTTAGAACAAGAAATGGCCGAAGTTCAGAGACTCCTCTCTGATAAGCAGGAACAAGAGGGTGCAATGCTTCAGGTTTTGATGCGGGTGGAGCAAGAACAGAAGGTAACAGAAGATGCACGAAGATTTGCTGAGCAGGATGCAGCAGCACAGAGATATGCTGCTCAAGTCCTGCAGGTAAAAAAAACTTTACATTGACTATACAGTTTCAAAGAGCTTTTACTGTATCTGGTTACAGTAGTTTAGAAGTATAATCTCTCTTTTTCTCTATGGCCTGTATGTTTTTCATCCTTTTTTTTTGTTGCGAATATCATAACTGGTCTAGGAAAAATATGAGGAAGCTGTAGCAGCACTCGCTGAGATGGAGAAGAGAGCAGTGATGGCAGAGTCCATGCTCGAAGCGACTTTGCAGTATCAATCTGGGCAACTCAAAGCACAACCTTCACCACGGTGTGTTCTTTTTACCCTGAGGGAAATAAATTGTGTACCATAAGTTCATAACCATAGATATCTAATGCGTTTATGACTTATGTGACCTATGTGTATTCCAAATTCGTATATAGATCGGGGAACCAAGATTCGCCTGCCAAAAGCATTAATGATCAGTCGCCAGATCCTCCTCAAAGCAGGATCAGTTTGCTAGCTAGGCCATTTGGACTAGGGTGGCGCGACAAGAACAAGGTAAGAGTCTTCTTCTCGCACCTCATAGATTGTCTTCAAAACCCAAAGTAGCTTTTTCTGTTAATGCATCATCAAGTATTGTGATATTTAAAAAGTCAATGACCAACAATTGCAGAGCACAACACCCGAAAAGCTTCCGGAGAATGTTAGTGAGGAGAAGAAGCCGGCAGCAGAGGGAAAAGAGACAGACGCTGAACAAAAAGACGCCAAGGTCCAAGACACTTCCTAGTGTTCCCTTTATTATAGTAAACCTTGAAGCTCTCTTTCCCACTAAATCTTAGTAGTAAATTTGTCGTGCGTTTACCCTCGATAGCGTCTCTCAGTCACTTTTTATTAATTTCGGATTGAAGTTTTGAACATAAACTTTTTAAATATATTATTCATTTCGTTGTTGATCTCTTAAGCTTAAGCATATATAAAGATAATAATGAGGTTTGAGAAGGTATACAAGTTATGAATGGTGGTGAGTAGTCAATGGAACATGGTATTCTGTTTGAATAATTCATAAGATTAGAGCGATATCTCCTGGTTCTGTAACCCCACAAAAATGTATGTCAACGACAGCTTGAAGACAAAATTTTTTTAAAAAAATAGATCGAACAAAAATTCATTATAAACACAAAGTGGCAGTTAAACTTTAAGGGTAACAAAAATGGATTAAAATTCCGGAAATAAAGAGGTCGGCTAAGGCTAAACACAGGTTTTTTTACGATCACACTCTTTCCTTTTCCCATAATTACGATCAGTGATTGATGTGATCTGATCAGAACTTTAAATTTAATCAGTGACCCTCTTTTGCATTAGAGTCTATGATACAGCAATCAGACTTGGTGAACGTCAAGCTGGTTACAACTTACAAACAGATCCAGAAAGAATATGCACAGGAGAATCTCAAATTTGGTCTGGTGGAATTCGTTTATGAGTGTTACCAGAGAGCAAATATTTTCTTTTTTATTGCATTGCGTAATTCACGCATCTTATCGCACGAAGTGTATCTATGCTTGTTTATTATTATTTTTTTTTGTTGTAGGGGACTCCATTTACAGGCTGACAGATGTCCCAGAAGGTCTGATTGTTCGAACCATAGTGAGATTGGACGAGACGTGCCGTGAGTTCAAGAACGCAGCCGCCATAATGGGGAACTCGATCGGCGTTACACAAGAAAAAGGATTAGGCTTCAAATGCTATAAAACGTGACATCGTCTTTGCGGCTAGTCTGTATGTGACCGGAGTGTAAGTTATTGATTGTGAAACTGACCAGTGCAGAGACGCTTCTCACTTAGCCTGAAAATAATTTAATCCTTAAACACGACCCGAAGATGTTGTTACAATGGATAATTTTTTGTTTAGATTGGTTGTAGTTCTTCACTATCACTGTCAACCACCATCTGAACGAGGTGCACACAGCAACATCATATTGATTAATATTATCAACATTATCAACCATTATCAACATTCTTTTCATTATTATCAACCATTATCAATGTTTTTATTTTCTTGATTTTGATGCTTGCTGTAACCATGGTTAGCTCCATGTTTTTCTGGGATTCCTTCTTTGCTTAGCACCACATTCCGAGAATCGTGGTAACCACATTAGAAAAGTACTGGAACGTAGACCATCAGTTTCATAATTTGTAGTTACCGTAATTGAAATGATACTGGTAACTGGACCAACGTGTTTTCAGTTGTTCTTTTGGCGTGTTAGTGACATCTATTAATTATATATTTGGGAGGTGTCTGAAATGAGAAGGCTACGCTAAACCCGTGTCATATATGGTATGTCAATAGTGGCATTTATTGAAGTGAGGCGGCTACACTTAACCGAAATTGTCTGAATTTGTGAGACACCGATTTAAGCGGAGTTACTTTATAAGGCAAATTAGGGCAAGTCCCTCTTCCTGCTTCATCTTACACTCCAGTCTGCCACTTTGTGATTTCACTCTGATTTAGTCTCGGATAATCAGGTTTGCGTTTTCAAGCTTTGTTTTTTCTTTTCCATTTGCCACTTCTGGCCAAAGTTTTGGGTTTGGATCTAGCAATGAAGATTTTATGATGCTTGCAATAGTTGAATATCATATATTAGAAATTATTGAGCTTGTACTTGGAAAAGTTCCATATATTCCTTTTGGGTGGAAATTTCGTGCATAACATCCTTTGATATCTATCAATCATGCATGTGGACAACTGGAATTGAGAAAATATTGTTGTTTTATACATTTTTGGCCTAGCATGGGTTTATCTTTTTCCATATGTATGATATGATTTTTGTAAATCGTTTGATTGCAAGTTTTTGTCTTTGTATTTCTTCATTGCTTAGTTCCATGTTTCGCTGGATTGCAAACTGGACAGCTTAGCTCCATGTTTCGCTGGATTGAATCTATTCCTCTCATAGTTCCCGTAAATCTTACGGATGAACCTGCTCTAAGTTTGCTTTTTGTCTTTGACTTTTGGTTTAAGGCTCATTGGCTTTTGATGTGTTTGATCGTAAACTCATCAGTTGAATCAAAGTGGGTTTTGTGTTTACTTTATGTGCCCATATATGGTATCTCAGTGGTAGAGGTATGAAAAACATCTATGTCAAAATTTTAGAGATTCACAATTAACACAGGGTCAAACCATTAAAATCTAATCAGTATTTACAATTATATACCTATAAGAAATCAAAATATAAGAATTAGTGGGGGGTCAGCTGACCCCCAACTCCTTCATTGGCTCCGCCCCATTGGTCTTTATAGATGATGCAAAGCTAGTCCGAAATCCAATGATAGTTGATGATAACAAATTAACAATATAGTACTCTCCTTCTATTTGGCGCATATTCTCCAAGATACTCTTCTGCACTTTTACTAACAAATTGTTTACAAAAATTAACTCTTTCCTTCACTAGTCGACAAGTTCCAGCCGTTATGTCCATGCACAGATTACTGATTTCCCCTAAAAATTGCAAACAAGTCCTCATCATATTTGTAGAATTCAATACTAACACCTGAATTTTCTAATCGTACAAGCAGCCTACAACAAGCATTAGTATTACATATATGATGCGTTTCAGATAATTTCCCCTAAAAATTGCAAACAAGTCCTCATCATATCCCTAGAATTCAATACTAACACCTGAATTTTCTAATCGTACAAGCAGCCTACAACAAGCATTAGTATTACATATATGATGCGTTTCAGATAATTTCCCCTAAAAATTGCAAACAAGTCCTCATCATATCCCTAGAATTCAATACTAACACCTGAATTTTCTAATCGTACAAGCAGCCTACAAGAAAAAAAGAAAGAAAGTAACATGACACCAGGATTGTTATAGATTCAACCGTAAAAAGGCGACAGAGAACTCAAACAACAAAGACAGCATCTGTCTGAAACAACAATGTCAAGGCTTAGAATCCATGCCAATGGATTAATCTCTTCCTTGACAGATTTCATTTCTTTTTTTGGTCTTCTAAACTCAATGACCTGTCTTCCTTTTTATATTTGATGAATCAAAATAAGTCTCTTGCTCATCCCCGGAAACCCTCCATTGAGAATGTTAACGAGGAGAAGAAGCCGGCAGCAGAGGGAAAAGAGACTGACTCTGAACAGAAAGACGCCAAGGTCCAAGACACTTCCTAGTGTTGCCGTTATTATAGTAAACCTTGAAGCTCTCTTTTCCACTAAATCTTAGTATTAAATTTGTCGTGCGTTTACCCTCACTAGCGTTTCTCAGTCACCTTTTTAATTTCGGATTGAAGTTTTGAACATAAACTTTTTAAATATATTATTCATTTTGATGATGGTCTGTTAAGCTCAAGCATATAAAAAGATAATAATGAGGTTTGGAGAAGGTATACAAGCTATGAATGGTGAGTAGTTAATTGAACGTGGTATCCTGTTTGACTAATTCATAAGATTAGAGCGATATCTCCTGGTTTGTATGCAAAACCACACAAAATGTGACAATTACAGCTTCAAGACAAAAATGAAACACAAAGAAGAAACCAAATTTCATTATAAACCCAAAGTGGCGCAAAACCGACCAGGGTAACAAAAATGGATTAAAACTCCGGAAACAAAGAGGTCCTCTCTCTCTCTCTCTCTCTGACTTAAAAGCACAACACATTGAGTCCCTATCAAATCACATTGGTCGTACACACACAGACATGTTCTACTGATAGGTAACGCCTTCACCATCTATAACCTCTCCAATGCGGTAAGCAACATAGTCTCCATTCTCAGCTTCTCCAAGTATTCTCGAAGCTGCCTCCGGAGTAACCACCATTACCATCCCTATCCCCAGGTTAAACGTTCTTCGCATCTCACTGTCTTCTATACTCCCAGACTATATATACAATCATCAAAAAAAACAAATCAAATATTCAAGTATATGCATCTTTTCACTCACTGTATCACGAATGATGATTAAGTACAGTTGATATCACACCTGTTGGATCCATTTGAACAATGGTGGAAGTTCCCAAGCATCAGTGTGAATAACAGCGCCCAAACCATCCGGCAAAACTCGGGGAATGTTGTCTGTGAAACCTCCACCGGTTATATGAGCTAACCCCTTAACACCTCCTTTGCTTATAAAGTCAAGTACCTGAAAATCCATAGCACTGGTTAATAAAATGTGACAGACTTTTGGCTGAGAAAGAACAAAAACACAAACCAACCTGATTCACGTAAATGACAGTGGGTTCCATTAAAGCTCCACCAACAGTACCAGACCCACCTGGAAGCTCATCTTTCAGTGAAAGACCGCTTCGAGCCACGACCCTGCAACAAACAATTGTGGTCTTTTAAGCTTCACTCATTGAAGTGACAACAGACTACATTCTTCTTTGAATCATATCATCACTAACTTACTTCCTTACTAAAGAGAACCCATTGGAGTGAACTCCGCTAGAAGGGAGGCCAATAAGAACATCTCCAGCAACAATGTTTTTCCCGTTAATCACAGCTTCTTTCTTTACTATGCCTACTGCAAACCCGCTTAGATCGTACTCGCCCTCTGCATAAAAATCAGGCATCTCTGCAGTCTAAAAACAACCAAACGAGACAAGATTAACTACATTGACAAAAAGCTAAGAAATGTGTCTCTAAGTGTGTAAATTACATACCTCTCCACCTAAGAGAGCACAGTTCGACTGTCCACAACCATCAACAATACCTTTAATAACCTGGAAACAAAACCATAACGTTTTCTACATCAATACCAAGCAAGCTCAAAAGGAGAGGGAAAAGAGATGAAGCAAGAATGATATACCTTTTCTGCAAGGTCTACATCGAGACGGCTAGTAGCAAAGTAATCCAGGAAAAACAGAGGCTTCGCACCGGAGGTAATAATATCATTCACACTCATAGCAACCTGAAAACGAAAACAAAACCATGAGAGCTTTGTGTTGAGGAAGCCAGAACAAACAAAGTAGCAACTTTTATGTTATGTTATTTTACCAAGTCGATTCCTATGGTGTCATGAATTCCGGTCTCAAATGCTAACTTAAGCTTAGTCCCTACACCATCCGTACCAGCTACCAGAAATGAATCACCTGCACTCAAACAAAGCTTGTCTAAGAGTAATCAAAAGTAAATAAAAACGAAAACTTTGAACATTAATTTTGCAGGTCTTTATATTATAGATACCTAGTGGGAAGAGACCACCGAATCCGCCGATTCCAGGAGCCATCTTTGCGATTCGTCTAACGAGCTCGGTTCCAGCATCGATATCAACACCAGAATCTTTGTAAGTGAGACTCTCGGTGTCGTCATCTTTCTTGATGTCGTCATTTTTATCGGTGCCGTCATCTTTCTTCGACATGGATAAAACAAAAGGAGCCCTTGTTGTTCTCGTCCTCTGAGGAAAGCTGATCGAGAGAGGTTTCGGGGATGATGCAATGGAGGAGAAACGGTATCGATTGACGGAACCGGAGGAGAAAGCAGTGTTGAGAGATGAAAAGCAGCAAGAAGAAGATTGCAAAATCCGAGCTTCCATGGCTTAAACAGTAACAACATAAAACACAAGAGTTGAGTGGTTATTAACACAGGTTAGGCGAACAAGATAAAGAGCTAAAGAGGTCGAAAATTCGCGAGGCAATAATGTTCGGCTTAAGGTTATAGACTGAACAGAGGAAAAAAATCAGCAATGAAAGAGTAGAGAGAATTCGCGAAGATTGAAAGAGACGGAAAGTAAAGAGAGAAATCTCGTAAAGCCTTACCGGAGAGAGAGAGACTGAGATTGAGGCGACGCCGGGAAGGTGACTGAGCAGAGTGTTTTGAGTCCGAGTGAGAGGAGAAGCCAAAAGTAAATTAAACAAAATGTTTTAAAACCCTAAAACACCCTGAACCTCAAGGAGCCAGCAAAATAATATAGTTTTTTCATTAGATAATTAAATAAAAAGTAAAAAAAAAAAATTGTAGCTTTTTTCATTAGTAAAAAATTTGTAGCTAGAGCAACCATAAAATATAAGAAAATATTTAATATAAATGTTATACTACGAACTATTTTTCAAAGCCTAATTTTGTTTTTACTAATGAAAATGATAAAATCATATTCAAAGTATTCATGGTGTAGTAACTTTAGTTATTGCTGTGTTAGGAAAGAAGACGCATTAAGCTTTTTCATTTCTTTGGTTTATTTGCTTTGTTTGAGGCTTAAAACAAAAAAATCAACATTGGGACATGTTCATGCTCTTAGAGGGCAGAGATATGATCTTTACATCCAAACAACTTCTTTTTTGCAATGGCAAAACAAAAAGCTAAAGAAACCCAGTTGCAACATTTAAAACCAACCATAAATCAAGAAACACACACACACACACACACACATATATATATATATATATATATATATATATATATATATATAAATCAACGTACTAATTCACATCAAAAGCCTTCATCAATCTTTCCCTTCCTCTTCACTTGTTCCATCCCTCACATTCCTGTATCACAATTCACAACCAAACCAATTTGGATCAGATTATTCACAACTTGCAACTTGTAAGGTTGCATGATATAAGGAGAGTCTTGAAGCTTTACCTCCATGAAGATGTTAGGTTCCGAGTTTTCCTATCCAGCTGAAGATTTTCCAGCGCTGTTGAAGCTCTCATTACCTCTTCAGTCGCATCTTCACTGTCATATCTCCAATTATGTTCGTCTTTACTGTACTCAGAGGTAGCTGCTTTTCCGTCTGAACAATCTCAATGAAGTGAATATTCAAATATCATGAAACATAGATATTTCAACAAGAGACTTAGGTAAAAAAAATAATGACTCACCAGATGCTTGAGATGCAGAAACCGACCTGCTCATTCATTTGAAGATTAAGTAAACGAAGCATGTCACAAACTAAGAAGCAAAATGAAAGAGTAGGGATCTTTGATTTGGCATAACATGGTGCTGGAGATATGTGTACCTTCGTTGAGGAGGTAAGATATCAGAAGTAGATGATCTGCGAGGAGGGTTTTTGGACTCAAGGCTTGATGAGGACTCGGCTTCAGTCGCATCTTCACCGTCATATTTCTGAAGAGAAATTCATAAAAAGAAAAGAAAAGGTTGACAACTAAACCTGGGGAAAACACAGTAAGACAAATGTTGATGGAATGATCCTTGGATGCGAAGAGAACTTTAGTTTTAGAATTCGCAAACATGTTACTCAAATCTCTGAAGAAGTCTACTCTAGAACTATGACACTCTATTCACGTACTGCAGGTGGAACAATGTGATTTCTTTGAAGTTTCATTGTAAAGCTTGTGAACAGAGAGCAAAAGTAGTACAATGAAATACCTCAAACTTCAAGAATCCTTCAAGAACATCGAGAAGGAGCGGTCCGCTATCTCCATTTCTGTTGAGCTCATAGCCGTTCTTGCTACTAAAATCGCGTAACTCCGACTTCCAAGAATCTTTTGGCTTTGCATAGGTTTCCAGGTGGAATGCAGAATCACCACATTAGTAAGAATACTTCATCTACGATCTACTTAATGAAATAAGTAAAAAGGAATTCAGTTGAATACCAAATTGCATTCTGGTTGATAAACTTTGAGCGTGTGCTTTAGCTGCGCCCAGTCCAAATATTCACAAATAAACGCAGACAGCAACCTGCCTGCATTGCAACGTTTCAAAAGGTGATCAACATGCAATTTCACCAGTCAAGCAACTTCACAAAGCCTCAATGTATATATTGCTAAAACATACAAACAAGCAAGCAAGTGAATCCAAACACAGACATGCCATTTAGATCAAAACCCATTTCATAGAGAAAAGATCTGAATGATAATAGTGAAGAGAGAGAGAGAAATAAAGGCAAAACTTGAGAAAGACCTGAAGGAGAAGCATGAAGCTGCCTTGCACGATCATTGCAGCTTCCCAACAAAGCTGGAGGAAGCCCTTCGTTGCTCTCTATCACTCTATCTTCTTCTTCGATTGCCTCAAACACACTCGCACGGAGCTCAGCCTGTAGAGCAACTGAATTATCAGCAGAAAATACCAAAAAAAATACCAAATAATCTTCAATCTCCAAACCAAATGTTAAAGATATCAACTTTGGCTGACAATTAAGATTACAGTTCGATCCCCTAGCGAAGGATCTGGACGAAGGAAACCTAATGTATGATTTTGAAGCGAATTTCTTATCCGTTCTCAATTCCATCACAAATCTTCACGAAATATGAAGCGACAGAGTAATGTATCGCAAGGAAATGAAAAATTTACCCGGATCTTAGCGAGAACGCCTTTCTTCTCTAGGGTTCGAGTGACCAAGGTCTTGAGATCCATCATCTCTCTAGTATAATCGTCCATTGTTTCCACCGCCGATTCAAGTCAGATCAATTACCAAATTCCTTGGTGGTCCAATCGGGTTTTGGTCACCGGAGAATTCGACAATGCCGATCGGAGAGAGAGAGAGAGACGCTGCGTAGGCCAAAGTGGCTCCTCCTTCTCGTTCGGTGCTTTTAGTTTAAAGTTTAAACGAACAAAGAGAAGAGAGAGAGACGACGTTGAAAAATCCGAAATACACAAATTTCAAAAATATTTTACCATATTTACTTAACTTCACTTCAACCTTAAAGTAAGTAAAAAAGCATACATAACACTTCTTTTGACCAGCAACCTTAGATTGATGTTGATTGGTTGATGTTACATACAATACCAAACATTGCTTTATCCAATGGCCAAATGATTTTTCAGCATGGTGTTTGAAGAAGGGATCTCTTGAAAAACTCAAGCAAATGATAGAAAACCATCACTTCTTAGTTTCAAATCTTTCTACTGTTACATGATTTATTTACTAAGAGTATGAAGAAAACATTAACCATTTCATATGTTTTTTCTCAAAGTTCTTAGAAGAGACAGAGAGGTTCGGATGGGAAAAACAAGAAGCTAACGAAAAAAAAATAAACAGTTTGCAAATGAAGAACATACATTAGATCAACGTACACAAAACCATACACTAAGTCCAGAAGCTGCATTTTTATCCAAGCCCTAAAATCAATCCCTCCCATCGTCTTCTTCATTTGTTCCATCCCTCACATTCCTACAACACACCAACACAAACAAACCATCATGGATCAGACTCTCACAATTTTCATTTCAATGATAATAAGAGCCTTGAAAAAGCTTACCTCCAGGACGATGTTAAGTTCCGAGTTTTCCTATCAAGCTGAAGATTTTCCAGCGCCGCGGAAGCTCTCATTACCTCTTCATGTGCATCTTGATTACCTTGTCTCCAGTTGAATTCATCTTTTCTGTATCCGGAAGTAGACATTCCCGCTCTTCTATCTGAAACAACAATTCAGTATCAAAATATCATGAAACATTCAAATTTTTAACCAATAGTTCACAAAGTTAAGGCGAATGACTGATTACTCACCTGATCCTTGGGATGCAGAACCTGGCCTGCACATTCACTAAACATCAGCATGAAAAGAGTAGAGATCTTTGATTAAGCATAACATGGAGTTGGAGATGTGTGTGTACCTTCGTAGAGGAGGCAAGCTATCAGAAGCAGATGACCTACGTGGAGGATTTCTGGAGTCGAGGCTTGATGAGGACTCAGTTTCTGACTCTCTCCTTGAATTAACACCCATGGTCGTCTCTGTCATGGTCTGAACAAAAAACAAAAATGTTGATCACTAAAACCTGAGAGCAGAATACAGCAAGACTAGTGATACAGATTTTACTGTGAATCATGATTGTAGAGAAAAAAAGATACCTCGAACTGCAAGAAACCTTGAAGAACATCGAGAAGGAGAGGCCTATCTCCATTTCTGTTGATCTCATAACCATGGTTGCTACTAAAGTAGCCTAGCTCAGACTTCCAAGAGTCTTTTTGCTGTGCACAATGCATATCACAGATTAGTAAGAAAGTAAAATTACTCAGTGAAACAAACAGAAAAAAAAAAAAAAAAAAAAAGAGAAGAAGTTACTTGATTACCAAATTGCATTCGGGTTGATAAACTTTGAGCGTGTGATTGAGTTGTGCCCATTCCAAGTATTCACAAATTAACGCAGACAGCAACCTCCCTGCATTTCATTCAACACTTCAGAGTGAGAACCTAGTCATTGTTCATATGCCAAGGGCACACAGTAAATTACTGTGCACAGTCTATTCAAATCAAACCGTGGAGAAAGGACTCAGAAATGGAAAAAATCAGGGAGAAATGATGTGAAAATTACACAGCAGCCTCAAAGGTTTGAAGAAAAGAATCAGAAAGCACAAAACAACGATATAAACAGAGAGAGAGATATAGGAAAAAAATTGAGGAAGACCTGAAGGTAAAGCATGAAGCTCCCTTGCACGATCATTGCAGCTTCCCAGCAAAGCTGGAGGAAGACCTTCGTTGCTCTCTACCACTCTATCTTCTTCTTCGATTGCCTCGAACACACTCGCACGGAGCTCAGCCTGTAGAGAAACTCAACTCTCAGCAGAAAATACAAAATTGAAGACCAAATGTGAAACAATCCAATTCAGATTTTAATCTTTTCGCATTCACTTTAAGGAAATTGATTAACGAACAGACCTAATTTTGAAATACAACTGAAATTCGGAATCGAAATGAACAACATTAGACTAACTAAGGATCTGAAACCCAGAAACCCTAGAAAGAAAGAACAAAAAAGCTAAATTTGAGTTTTTTTTTGTTTGTTTCTGAACTGAAAGGCTGGAACTTTGGAAATTTCCTTCTCCGATTCAATTTCCAAACAAATGAATTGCGAGTTTTGAAGCGAACTAATCAATAAACCGAGAGAAGTAGAGAAATCGGAAGAAAAAAAAGTTACCCGGATCTTAGCGAGGACACCCTTCTTCTCTAGGGTTCGAGTGACTAAGGTCTTGAGATCCATCATCTCTCTAGTGTAATCGTCCATTGTTCCACCGCCGAATCGAATCGAAGAACAAAAATTGGTTCGATGTGTCAATTGGAATTTTGTGATAATTGTTGCGCCAAGCCGGAGAGTGGTCCGATCTTAAGGAAAAATGGGAGAAAGACGTTAAAAATTTACGAACAGTACAGTAATAAAACACTGATCTCGTCCTTTTTTTAATATTCCCCTGAAAGATCGATAGATTCCATTCTCGTCCGAAATTTTAAATTTTGAGATATTGCCCCCAATTAATGTGGAATTTTTATTTTAAAAACGTTTTATTTTTGGTTTAAATATTTGGAACGAAAATGTGAAGATAAAACACATTGGGATTTGTCTCGATCAAAACTTTTGTGGTATTGGAAACAAAAAAAAAAGGAAAAGAAAAAGGTGTTCGCCAAATTCGGTTGGATCGTTGCAAAGGAAACTTAACACATTTGCGTTAAAGGTTCCTGATCCCCTCTAGGCTCTAGCTAGCGAGATCATTACCAGTGGGAAGTTCGGTCCAGTTTAGACAAAAGCAAAGCCGACAAAAGAATGCGTTGAAAGTTGAAACTGCTTTTGTCGGAATCACACAAGGTTATGCTTGCTACTTGTTCTTTTAGACGGTTGAGGAGGTCGATCACATTCACATGTTACCAAAGAGTAAAAAGAATCATATATACAAGTAATTGTTGTTTGAGTACATAATTAAGTTGCTCTAACTCAGAACTACTATGAATTTCTGATGATAATAGACAAGTATGAAATGTATCGTTACTTTTTCCTTCTTTGTGAGAATGATTATAATTCTTCTTAACAGTGAGAAGAGAATGAGTCTTACTATGAACCTTCGTTGACATCATTGTGTCCATAACCAGAGCGCACACAATTCATTTGTTCATTCCGGCTTGCCAAAATTCATTGTTTCAGTCGAAAGTATATCAAAATCATTTATACTAAGGTAAAATACTATATGATGGGATATTTTGGTTGAAGTTTCCACCAGTCCTACTTAGAGGGTACCCTTGAATTTTATTTTTGCATCCCTGTTTGAAGTGAGGTATATGTCTAAACTAAGGCAGTAATTACGTGGATGAGAACAGTATAAAGATAACAAATACAGTAACGTGGAACCACACAACAACCAAAAAAAAAAAAAAAACAGGATTCAAGATTAATAAGGTTGTTCTTGAAACTAATGATTAGATTTGTTTAGATCTCAGAGACGGATGAACTATTAATAAGTTTCTTTTGAGTATATCCAAATACGGGGAAGTATGTTGTGATTTTCAGTATTGCATTTTAATCTAGTACATCGTTAAAATATAATACACATATATGTTTCTTTTTTGTAGGTCTTAATACACATATATGTTCATATCTATATTTAAAAGGAATATGATAGTAGAACACGTGTGTATGTTGTAGTACTTTAAATATCAGCTTCTACAAAGAGATCCATCGCGCTGAATTGGCACAAAAGTTATATAAACTAAGACGATCTATAGTGGATAATTGACAGACACATGTATATGATCCTATATATATGGTCGATGAATGATTCTACGTTGCCATATTTCATTTTCCTGCTAATTGGGTTGAGTTTTGCTCAAAAAATGTGGCGCAGTGTCACTCTGATATGATTCTCATATGCGGCAGTTGCGTAGGCACCAACGCTACACTGTGACAGTTACCAATTGTTTCATAAATGTGAGGCAAAATTGGGAGGGGTTGTGAGTTAGGTAGAACATGTTTTCAATGAAAAGCAACATGATTACATGAACAATTTTTTTTTTTTTTTTTTTTTGGCGTTGTTGGGTTTGTCACAAAACCATCACTAAATCATCAAAAATCACAATTGTTGCAAATCCATAGCAGCTTATCTTAAGTTCTCTAACAAACATAGCTAAAATTCGCAATACTAACCACATACAAAACATAGCTAAAAACTCATTTTGGAATTAGAAAACTTTGTAATACAAAATATACACAACAATACATGCACAAAGATGTAACGAACTGTTTAGTGACGAAAAATGCTACGATGGTCTATGCATATTCATGTCCTTTTATAAGACCCCAAGGTCTGGGCGACAAGCTAACTCTGTCAATATCTTTCCCTATCTTAGTCCGATGGTTGTGCTGTTCAATTGATTAGTGACCCCATGGCTCGACTTATGTGTGCCACTCTATCGCAGACAACAAAATCTGAATACTCAAACGAATCAGACTTGAACACAAATGTAAGACTTAAGAGCGCACGTTTATTTCAAGAGGGGCATTGTCATCAATTTAATGGCAACAAAATGGGGACTCAGCCTTTAACTCCATCTCTCTTTTTTTTTATAGTCGAAAGATAACAACACCTTTGGCTTTGGCTTTGGGAAACAAGGAGGGAAAGTCACCACGTCGCCCAAAACTGTTCCCACATCATCATATTTATATGCGTCAAACATTAAAACCAAATTCATTATTTTTGTAGATTGACAAAAAAAAAACCATTTAATTTTTAAAAGAATGTGGTTGAATCCTCAATTATTTAACGTTATATTACGTGCGTCATGCGTTTCCACAAGTTTCTCTATCGCGCTTTTATACATCTACCTCTACCAACAAACCACATATATTTATTAGTATGAGCAATCCATTCTCGCTCGCATACTTTGTTAAATTCACAAAATGGATACTGTAATCAAACTACAACTGTATGTGGTTTAGTAATCATTGATGATGGTAAAAAACAATTTATGGGCATAAATGACAATCTTTATTAAAAATAAGACTACATTGAACATTCAAAATGTGTACAGGTAAAAAAATTGCAGTGAAAGTTTCCAGCCAGAGTTGCAACCAATAAACCCTTTTTAATTAATAAAATTGTATTGTCTAGTTGTAAAACTTATTAACAGAGGAGCACAAGCAAAAGGTTATCAATGAAATCAACCTCAATACTAGTAGAATTTTTCAAGCCAGCTAAAAATCAACGGTAGAGAACGTTTTATTTCCCTTTTGAGTTGATTTAAGGATAATATATATAGTGACAAACAAATCGTGTTTGCATATACTATGCGTTTACTTATAATAATAATAATAACATTAATGATCATGCAACCATTGAAAGAAGTAAGGGCCGTAGATAACATTTGAAATTCTGCTAAAGGTTATACTTTCAACTGTAGATTACATGGATTATCATGATGAAATGGAAATGATTAAGGTTGTTTAGTTACTGCGCACTGCAAGTTATAAGAAATGTAAGATAAAAAGGTTACTTTACTTTTACCTACAATCTAGAACAAAGTAGATATTTTGTGGTGGGATAGAAAAATACCAATACTATATAGTCTTACCAAATAAGGAAAGGCCAGATTCCTTAAAAATTAGCTTTTCTTGCAAATCTGGATAAATTGAACGGCTGAGAATTGTAAACCAACTTATCATCAAATCTATCATAATTATTGAATAAGAGATATTAGATTTTGGAGTGATCGTTGAGTGGTTGAATATGTGACAATTGACGTAACCCCACTGTCCCTCTGTCTCCATTAAGGTTTCTCTCTCTTGCTCTCCTCAATACATAGAGAAATAGTAGTTGGCATATTGGACCCATCCTTGATTTGGGCCCCAACGTGTAACCATCACACCCTCTCTCTTATTCTTTATTTCATTGACTATACACACATTTATCATTTTTTAAGTATAGTTTATGTTGTGGTCTATATTATCTTTCTGTTCCTACAATTATTTGGAATTGAAGATGCAATCTCGTTATCTCGCTACAAAATATATATATATAAATAATTCTTTATCAAAATTACTAAAGGCAAATAGTTATAATTTTTTTTTTTCTTTTTCTTTTTCAAATAGTTATAATTTCTTGAAATAAAAGCTAGCACATCACAAGAAACCTGTCGGTCTCTTCTAATCTGTTTACGATGATTTATTTTTTTTGCCAGAGATAGTAATATTTAGTTTCAAAGACTAAAAACTAAAAAGACATGGCAACAATCCATGGTTAAAGAAAGAGATAAATGATCAACTGTCGTGATTCTTTAAATGACACATAGAGAAACAAAATCACATGTGCCTTTTTTTCACACGTTGTAGGTATGTGCGACGGGATCCAAGAAACCCAAAGTACAAAAAAAAATCCCTGACCGTTTGATTTTTGTCATATCTTTGACACGTTGGAATCACACGAGGGACCTATCAATAATTGCTGTCGCTAAATGCCAAATGAAATTAATTAGAGTAAAGAAAATATCATTGGTACTGACCTAATTTACTTTTACGATCCAATAGTGACCGTAAGTCGGTAAATATATCATTGCTTTTTCATCATCAACCACACGCACGATTCACGAACATCAGTAAGTACATCACGATAGCTAAGCTAATGTACCAACGACTGCATAATTACATTAAAAAGACAAAAATGCAGCTAATGTATCAACGACTGCATAAATACATTTAAAAACAAAAAAAAATCGACATTGGATGGTCTGGATGAGGATCTATATTCATATCCACATTTGATTCTTTTTGTATTAGATAATTTAAGGAGCTAGTAAATACATTTTCTTATGTAGTTTTAAACTAACATACATTATATGAATCGGCTAATTCCGAATGTTGAAAATTTCATATATTGACCTTTTTTATTGAATTTATAATTGACGGAACTATCTTATTTACTAGTTTCTTTTTTTGGTCGACATTGCTCTCGTATTTAACTACGTACACTTGGGCAATTAAGAAGAAAATTATAATCTTATATATATGGACAATTCTACATTCGAGCATGCATTAACAAATTATTTCGACAATAGAAACTATAATAATCGAAAGAAATAGAAAAACCTAGAAACTACTCTTCAACCAATCGAAATAAAATAGTTCATTAAGGTTTGACTTTTGGTTTTATTGATATTAAAACATCATTAAAAATAATTTCCTTAAGATCTCTTCATGATGTTTTTTGTTTTCTTAAACTTGTTGATGAATTGATCCAAAGCTGTATATTTCACGGGAAAAACAAAATCTTTAATCTATATTCACGAGGTCTGTACCTAACATATCTGATATCTCCCATGTTTTTACTCCTCTCTTTTAACTTCCTTTTTACCTTTTTGATGGCATTTTGTTATGATTTGAAGTAGATCGAGTTCATTAAATGGAAACAACAAGATAACAAATAAAATATATTTACATCATACTAAACACGCCCAATTTACAAAATTAAAGTGTAAAACTCATCGTACAGCCACTCTACGGCTCCAATATTTTTTTAATTAACAAATTGAAAACTAATATATAGTACTACATATATTCGATACATCGGCAAGGCAAGTACATTTATATAAATTTTAAAATCTCTAATTAAAAAAAGGAGACTTGAAAAGGTAATAAAGGGCAAGTGTATCCAATGCAACCTTCACAGTGAACACGTCCCACGTTCTTTTTCTTCCCTCTTTTAGAACCCTCTCTCTCTCTCCCCATTTTGCCACTTATCCTCTCTCTCTCTCTATCTCTCGCCGGAAAAAGAAAATCACGAGAGAGATATATATACACAACACGGCGCCGTTTGCACAAAAAGAAGACGATCATGTTGGATCTCAGTCTTGGTATCTTCTCTACCTATAACGAAGATCAAGATCGGAAAGTTCCATTTTCAACCGCCGGCGGAGAAGAATCTAATCTCTCATCCTCTTCATCCTCCACAGCTTCTGCCACCGGAGACGCTTTCATCACCTTTGGAATCCTCAAACGTGACGATGACGTCGTTCCTCCTCCTCCTCATCAACATCAAGAAACCGGAGATCTGTTCCCGGTGGCTGATGCTCGCCGGAATATTGAATTCTCCGTCGAAGACAGCCACTGGTTGAATCTGTCTTCTTTGCAGCGGAACAAACCGCAAATGGTAAAGAAGAGCAGAAGAGGACCAAGGTCCCGAAGCTCCCAGTATCGTGGCGTCACTTTTTACCGTCGCACCGGTCGTTGGGAGTCTCATATTTGGTATAACAAAAAAAAAATTATACTATCTTTTTAAAATATTGATGATTTATTGTATACATATCTAATTTTTGGTTTTGGGATTGATGATGATGATATGTAGGGATTGTGGAAAGCAAGTTTATTTGGGTAAGTTTTTTTTTAATCATTGGGTGGTCTTAATTATGTGTGTCCATTTATAGGCATAAACGATGAATTTATAACCATCATATTTTTGACACAAATTTTATATTTTAGATCTTGCCTGACAACATATGTTAACTAGTAATGCTAAAACAAAAAATTATTTTAGAAAAGAAAAACGTCAACTACCGCTAAAAAGTTAAAAGACAAACATTAATAAAATATTACAGCTCACTACCATGTTTGTTTCTTTTATCTTTCACGTTTTATTGAACGCAGTTTGTTGATTATACTCTTTTTTCTTTTCTTAACAAGACTATTAATCTAACCTTTGTACCTAATGTTTTGTTTTAACAGGCGGATTTGACACTGCCTACGCAGCAGCAAGGTAAAAGAAATTTCAATAGACATAAACACATATATGCGTTTAAATTCTCGTCAGCATATGTACAATATAGTTCGTTAAAATGAAAATATTAATTGACTTATTAATTAATGGATACATAAATACCAGGGCGTACGACCGAGCTGCTATCAAATTCCGTGGTCTTGACGCAGATATCAATTTCGTCGTGGATGATTATAGACAAGACATCGATAAGGTTAGACATACAATATTGTTTTATGTGATAAACGTGTAATTAATTCCGCCCACTGTGTAGGTATATTTGCTATTTGGATTGTCAAAACTAAATTATGGATATTAATTAAACTACCAATGACCTAAATATATAGATGAAGAATCTAAACAAGGTGGAGTTCGTCCAAACACTTAGGCGAGAGAGTGCGAGTTTTGGAAGAGGAAGTTCCAAATACAAAGGCTTGACTCTTCAAAAATGCACTCAATTCAAAGCTCATCATGATCAGATTCATCTCTTCCAAAACAGGTAACGTTATAGTCTATATATACTCTCGTATATTAACTAATCACTTCATTACGTTTCATTAAACACGCAATCTTACTTTAAAAAATCCGTAACAAATTTAAAATGCAAATTGTTGTCTGATCACATGTAAAAAAAAAGTTGGGCTGAACTTTACTGACAATTTGAATCACGGAAAACACTTTTCACTCGGTAGATGGAATGGCAATATTCTCAGTCACTTATCTTTTGTTCATCCATATATATTCCATTTGTTTTTATTCTTATATATTCCTCTCAGTGCTTACCATTCAAAAGCCTAACCCTCACTTTTTTGTCAGAAATAATATGTAGTTCTACAAAATCTTACACTAGCTAAGAATTAAGCTATAACCATAACATATCTGTAGTTCGAACCAGTCATATTTTTTAGTAGAATATTTGCACTTGAAAGCACAACAATCTTATCTTATCAAGATATTTTCCTTTAATATATTACAACACAACAATCTTATCACTCATATTTTCTAACTGAATGGTAAATGGTGTTCATTCTAGTAGAATATTTTAAAAAAGAAAGAGAAAAAAAAAATCTACTAGAATATGGAGGGTGTTATTTTTCACAAATTCGTTGTTTGTTTACAGGTTTCATATTCACACTAATAATTTGGAAATATTTTATATATGTGTTAAATATTCACAGGGGATGGGATGCAGCAGCAGCAATCAAATACAATGAGTTAGGAAAGGGAGAAGGAGCCATGAAGTTTGGTTCCCACATTAAAGGTAATTGATAAATGTGGTTCACAGTGTAAAAAATTATTTACTGTAAGGCCGCTGGTTGATGAATTTAAGTGAAAATTACCAGTCTATATAACACTAACCACAAACTTCACATTTACAAATCAAGCAAACCCTAGCTAGCTAACCTTTTCTCTTCAAGCAACTTAGGGAAGAACATGGATCTTCATCTGATCCATTAACAATGTTATTTTGTTTGTTTATCAGGAAATGGTCACAATGATCTTGATCTAAGTCTTGGTATTTCATCATCATCGGAAAATAGAAAGTTGACAACGGGCGATTACTATAACAAAGGTATCAACCGATCCACAATGGGTTTGTTCGGTACGCAACCACCGATTTATTTACCGGTGACGACCATGAAACCTTTGAAGACAGTTGCAGCATCATCAGGATTCCCTTTTATCACCATGACCACTTCCTCTTCCTCCATGTCCACTTGTTTTGATCCATAGGATCGATCTACACAATTTTAACTAATATCTTTTGTTTCTCTCTGATTTTTGTATATTGACCATATATTTGATTCTTTCCTTAATGAGTGAGAAATATTAAAAGTATTTGTCCTTACTTCAACTCGATTGTGTGCCAAACTTCGTGATCACGAAGATATGTGACTATAAGGTTATAAAAAAACTACAATGGTAAAATGCAATGTAACGAGTGGTTTAATATTACTATCTTGGTCGTGTCTTTTTATTATGAAAATGGGGATAATTTGAAAACATGTTTTTAAGTCGGAAATCATAATACATTTTGAATGGTAAAATCCGATAAATTACAAAAATAATGTATCACTTCACAATAAAGGCTATTTATTATGTGCATCGAATTTATTTCACCAATATATATTTCGATATTATACGTATACAATTGTGGTAGGTGCAAATATTCTTTACATTATTTAATGTTTTTACAGAGATTGCTTTGTCAATGCTTACATGAAAGGAGGAAGGCAAGAGTGTTAAAAGTTCAAGAACCACAAGGTCAAAGCATGACCTTCATTATCATAGGCACAACTAAGACTACGTCATAAACATGACAAAACCAAAACCATTGCTTATGAGCAGGCAAAAGAAAAGACTATCCAAATCTTGTAACTCAAAAGCTTTTAACTGTGACCCAGCAAGATTCATAAATGCATCATCATTTAAATCCTTTCACTCATCTCCTTCTATACTTACATAAGAAGCTGGTCGTTACTATTCACAGTGTTAGTTAAAAAAAAAAGTATTATAGCTACCTATCTCAGGTTTTGAATCTAGCAGATTCCAAACAGGGCTTCTCCTTTTCCTGTTCCAGCTCCCATCGAACAGACGCTATGTTAGGAGGATCATATTTGCAACCTGGTTTAAATTAGGCAATAAACAAGCTCAGTAGTATAAGAACACAGTGCCAACTATTCTGCTTTGAAGTTGGTTATGTTCTCTAAAATTGACCAAAACAGTAGTTTCTTTACAGAAAGTGTTAACATCTATAATAAAAAGTCAAGAACCATGCCAAATGAAAAGTGCACACCTTAGATCAGCTAGATTATCAGGTCTTAAGAGGAAGCCAAAGCTAACTCATAGTCAATAACGTGGCACGGCCGTTTTGCCAGACTACAAACTTGCTACACCAATAGGTTGAGATTTTCCGACTTTCCCATTCACGAGAATATCAAATGTAACTCCATCAGGTACAAGACCCTTGTCAAGCATCTCATCATGTAGTCCAAAAGCCTCGTCGAGATTCCCTTCTTTAAAATGTCCTGCAATCACCGCGTTGTAGATAAAAACATTTGGTGTCACATCTTTCTTCTTCATCTCCTCAAACATCTCAACCACTTCCACAAACAGTACATTCTTGCTAAGACCGTTTACAGTTACCGTGCACATGACTTCATCAGCGACAATACCCGCTGCCTGCATTTCTGTGTACAAATTAGAGGCGAGGATGAAATTCCCTTCTTTCAGCAATCCATCAATCAGTGTTGTGTACGTGAGCAGATTACATCTTAGACCGACTCTCAACATTTTCTCGTGCAAAACAAGCGCTGCTCCCATGTTTCCAAGGTTACGGTATCCAGAAATCATGCTGTTGTAAACAGCCACGTTCGGAGTCAGCCCTTCTTCAAGGAGTTGAGAGAACAGAGCAGATGCACTTTCCATGTCACGCTTTTTGCAGCACCCATCGATAAGAGCACCGTAAGCTGTAATGTCGAGTTTAATACCTTTGTTCTCCATTTCGTTCCTCATCTCCAGTGCTTGATCCATTCTGTTGTTTTTGCATAACCCATCCATCATGCTGGTATACGTTACGACGTTTGGGGAAATACCATTGCCACACATCTCTCGGTAAGCTTCAACCGCAGAATCCACATCCCCCTCTTTGATAAACCCATCTATGATGCTATTGTAACTCATGCAACTAACACAAAACCGCTTTTCTTTCATCAGATTTGCCAGCATATCTCTTGCTTTAAACGTCTTACCAACTTTGCATAAACCATTGATAAACGTTTGGTATGTGACCTCATTGACTTCAATACCGGAACAAGTCATTTGCTCGTAGACTTTCCAAGCGTTCTCTTCATCATGATTCTTGAAATACCCATCGATCAAAATTGAATACGTGTGGTTGCTCGGCTTAATACCCTTCCCCAGCATATTTGAAGAAACAGTACGAGCCAAGTCCATGTTCTTCCTTCTGCAGAGGGCAAACATAACATTATTGTACGAAACTACATTAGGTTCAATACCTCTACTTTCCATCTTGCTCAACAACTCTGTGGCTTCATCTATCTTCTCTTGCTTGCATAACCAGGACAACACACTGTTACATATGAAAATGTTTGCAAGACCGGAATCAAAGGACTCGTCAAAGAGTTTCACCGCCGCTTCCGTTTTCCCATCTCTCAAACACCCTCGGATGATCGAATGAACATCAAAGACCGAAGGAGTAACACCTAACCTTTCCATCTTCTCGTAAAACTCAACCGCCTTTCCCATCTCCCCGTTCTTGCTAAACCACTCTATCAGCACAGCAAGCGTAACGCGGTTCGGAGACGGGCCTTCCGCTTCCATCTTACGAAACATATCCAAAGCACTACCCAAGTCATTGTTCTCGCAGTGTCCCTTGATCAGGCTCGTTGCAGCAATGACATTCATCGGTATCCCATCAATCACCATCTCATCCTTCAACCTAACCGCCTCCTCCATGTTCCCTTGCTTCACCGAAGCCACAATCACAGACGTATAAGTCTCCTGCGACGGCACGCACACCTTCCTCTCCTTCATCTCTCTCAACAACTCAAAAGCCATAACCAAATTGAGCGTCTTGCAGCAAGCCTGAACAGCGATGCTGTAAAGTAACGCATCCGGTTCTACTCCTCTCTCGATAGCTCTGCTAAAAAGCTCCAAAGCCTTCTCAGGCTTTCCTTCTCTCAACCTCGCCCGCATTAACACGTGCGTTGTGACAATGTCACCAGCAAAACCTATGGCAAGCAGCTTGCTATACAGTTCATGAGCTTCACTTATCGAATTCCTCCGAATCAAAGCAGTTAAGGTGCTGTTTACATAACGAGCAAATGGAATCACGCCTAGTTCTATCATTAGATTGATGCAATCTACAGCAAAATCCGTTTTCCTCTCTTTGATGTAAGCATTCAAGAAGTAGTTAAAAGCTCGTGAATTGACTTGAAACCCAAATGATTTCGCCGAATCCACAAATTTACTGACCATTACGCTTGGCATTGCCGTTGGATTGCTGGAAGCGACGTACCGTATGAGCAACTCGTTTGCGCGGCCGTAGGTCTTAGGAGAAGCGACCAGAATATGAATGAGTACCCAGAAGGCGTCATCGTCTTCAAAACTTCGAGGCCGTGGTCTAGCCCAAATGTAGAACTTAAGAGCGGATATTGGGTTGCCCCTGCGATTCAGAAGAACGTCAATTACATTCGCGTCGTCCTCCTGTTCAGGCTTTGCAGTCAATGGATGCAGTTCAGAGGTGATTTGAGAAGAGGATCCGTAGAATTGACTTGGACTCTCAGATTGTTTGGGAAATCGAGACTGTGAACAAAAGGGTTTATTGTTTCTCAAGAAACGAAGAAGAAGTGGTGCTGGGATTTTTCTGAAAGCCAATAAAAACCTCATTTTTTTTTTCCTGTTCTCTTCAGCAGAGAAAGAGATGATCGGAGAAGAAAGGAAGAGAAGATCGAAAAGGCTTAAACCCTAATTTCGTTCCCCCAAAACCCAGAATAAATTCACGACGTCGTTTTGGGCTTTTCCTTAATTATAAAACCTCATTAAATCCATTTATCTAAAATCTGGCACTCATTTTTCAAAGCACAAGAGAGAAGAAAAATGTCGAATTGCAGGTTTCTCTATCACAACGGCGTCGTTTTGGATGCTCCTCCCGTCACCACTTTCCTTGAATCGCTCTCGGGTACGCAAACAAAACTATGGCTAATGATCGGAACATATGGCAGAGACTGCGAAAAAGTTTGAGACTTTTTTTTGATTAATAACTTTTGAGAATCTTACAGGTGCTTATACAACGACGAGAACGATAAACAGCGCCACTAGTATCTTGTTCTGGGAGAGGCATATGAAGAGACTTTCAAGCTCGATTCGTATCATTTTGAATTCAAAGCCCGAGCTTTTGTTCAGTTCCGGGTCATCACCATCGCGGTTTTGGACGAACCAACCAGTTCCTGAATCGAGCATTTACGATCTAGTCAATAGTTCAATGAACAAGGCTCTGAAATCTGTCGTCGCGAAGGAAAGGGAGATCATTTACGGAGAAGAATTAGCGGTAACGGTTCTTGTAACTGGGAACGTGGAGAAATTGAGTAGATTAGTCGATGACAATCGTGATCAGGAGAGAAAAGTTCTGGATTTGCTCGATGTGTGGTTGCATATCGGTGGATACTCTCCTTGCCCGTTAGGTGTTCGAGGAAATGCCGCGAGTTTGGCTTTGGTTGGCCGTGGACGAGATGTTGCTGCTGCTAAATACTCAGACTGGGTAAGGTATTGTGCTTCTGCTCATTCAACTGATCTCTTTAAGGATTCTGATAGCTGAATTTTCATGGAATTCGCTTGTGGATTACTCTGGATTTTTGTTGTTTAGGCAGGCTGAGGAAGCCTCTGGAGAAGTTTAGACCTCTTTCGACTACTGAGCTTCTTTTGTCAAACGATGGTGATCATTTGCTTGAGGGCTGCATCACAAACTTTTTCGTAGTTTGCCGCAGGGTACAGAGAAAAAAAAGTTTTTTTTTTTTGTTTCCTTAATATTTTGTTTCACCGATGATTTTTGACTCTGGATCTCATTGTAGAAGTCAGCTTCTGGTGGGAGTTTTAGGGATTTTGAAGTGCAGACTGCACCTATAACCGATGGTGTGCTTCCAGGAGTTATAAGAGAGGTTATCATCGAGTAAGATAACTCTAAAGATCTGTGTGTGAATGTTTAATTCTGTTTATGATCAAGACTAAATTTTGGTTTTTCTTGTCATCAGTGTGTGCTTGAGCAAGGGAATTCCATACCGGGAGAGAGCACCTTCGTGGTCTGAGCGTGAGCTTTGGGAGGAAGCCTTCATTACAAGTTAACCTCTTCTCGCTTGTACTGTTTTTGCCAAACACATTATGTGTTGTGTATATTAACATATCAAGAACTGTTTGGGTGTGCAGGTAGTCTGAGGATTTTGCAGCACGTAGGGGCGATTAAAGTACCAGTTGGTTCACTGGAAGCATTGGCTTGTACGAAAACAGAGGAGATTCAATGGAAGGAGAAAACTTTTCAGGAAGGACCTGGAATGATCACTGAGTTAATCCAGGTAAAGCTTGTTGTTGGTCTAGTTACTCTTAAATCATTGATTTTAGTCCAGTTTTTGGTCTTGTCTTTGAAGTTAATCGAAGATAGAAACCACTGAAAGTGAGATACAATTTGTTGTTGTTGTTGCTATGTTTGGGGGTGCAGAGAGCGATAATGGAAAGAGGAGTTGAAGAAGGGTTCCCATTGAAGGACTTCCAAGGCGCTCTTGCCAAATAGCTGAAATGTTTATCATTGGTCTATGGTTTATTGCTGATGCCAATATCTTCAAATGTAATCATCAACCTGAAAAACGCGTTTGCGATTTGAGCTAGAATCATTTATAGCCGTTCAGGAATAATCCCTCCAATTTGAGTAGCTATGAATCATAGTTTTAACTCTTGACATAACAACCATCAAATTTAAAATTTTCCCAGAGTCTTTTGCAACCAATTCTTTTATATTTGATATCTTGTATGACGCACAAAAAAACAACCTCTTGTATGGCCATTGGTGTTAAATTATCAATGCATACCGTCGATGAAAATATTCACCATTGCAAAAAATGCATCAAATAGTATCCACAAAGATGTTAAAATCAGAAATAATTTAGATTACTAAGATGAGATCTTCCTTTGTTTGCAGTTATGATTGATTGATAAAAAAAAAAGAGAGAGAGTCCGATCGATGACTTTCTCTTCACTCGGATATGCACGTACAGAACATTAACTCCGTATAAAAATAGATCAACCAGACTGGATAGATCTGATCGACACATGTTATCAAAGTGAGTACTGTTAAGGTCAAATAGCCCATGTGTTAATATGCTGCTAAACCACGATATTAAAAGCCAAAGGGGTACTTGTTTTAAATATATCAGTTAAAAAAAAAAAAAAATTATTGCAGTTTTTGTCACCCAAAAATCTGTCATTTTAGGAGACAAAATTTTCTTAACGAAAATCACGAATGACATGTACTTACTCTTTTTTGCTGGTCAACAAATTACATGTCCGCATTGAGCATAACCACGACCAGCGACCAAGTTCTAATGTCGTCGTTTGTCAAATTTTTGTACATGTAAAGTAATTAACACTCTCTAGTCACTAGTCATAAAATTATTTCTTAAAACATAAAAATATTAACACTCTCTCGTTTGCATTACGCACGTCTCGCCTCTGAAATCTGAATCCACCGGACCCGGAGCATGACGCTTCCACGTCCTGCTAAACTCTAAGTCAACGGTGACTCAAAGTGGCCACGTGTCGCTGATTCATTTGACACCTCCTTCCTCGTCATCAAATACGGCTCCTCCACGTGACTTGTTTACACTCTGACTCAAAAAGATTATAAAAACCCGAAATCCTCTCTGCTTCAATTTTCACTTTTCACTTTTCAGCTCTCTCACTCGAGCTCGACTCTCGAAATTCGAATTCGTGATCACTTTCTCCTCCAAATGGCGTCGCCCACAAGCATCTCCTTCCTTCTCTTTGTCTCTTTCCTTCTTCTCGTCAGCTCGCGCGCAGAGAACGCGGCCAGTGGCTCAGATCTCGACGAGGAATTGGCTTTCCTCGCCGCGGAGGAATCCAAGGAGCAAAGCCACGCCGGTTCGTACCACGAGGAGCACGATCAGTACCGGGACTTCGAGAATTACGAGGATCTCGAGCAGGGAGGCGGAGTCGATTTCCATCACGGCGAGCACGGAGGCGGCGGCGGCTACGAGGAGGAGCCGTTACCAGCCGTCGACGAGAAAGACGTGGCGGTTCTCACCAAGGACAATTTCACGGAGTTCGTCGGGAGCAATAGCTTCGCGTTGGTGGAGTTCTACGCTCCGTGGTGCGGCGCTTGCCAGGCTCTTGCGCCGGAGTACGCCGCCGCCGCGACGGAGCTGAACGGCGTTGCGGCGCTCGCGAAGATCGACGCGACGGAGGAAGGGGATTTGGCTCAGAAATACGAGATTCAGGGATTCCCCACCGTTTTCTTGTTTGTCGACGGAGAAATGCGAAAGACCTACGAAGGAGAAAGGACCAAGTGAGTGGATTGTGTCTTTCATATGCTCACTCATTTCTGGATTAGCTGTTGGAATGTTGAGTTAGATTTAGCCAACGAATTAGGATGATTAGTTTTCTGAAACTTTGGCATTAGTGATTTCACGTGAGTTCAACAGGAAATTTGATAGAATTAGCATGGATCTAGAGAGATTTGACTAGAAATATGACTCTGTAGAAAGTCAATTTCGAATCCGTGAAGAAATTTCGAGAATTGTTGATGTTTATGTATCTGGGAAGAAGGTCAAATTATGAAATGGTGCAATAGAGGACATGTGATCTTTTGATTGATTGGTTTCTCATTGTACAATGCGTTTCACCATTATTGGTGTCTGACAAGATATAAAAACTTGATATTACAGGGATGGAATTGTGACCTGGCTGAAGAAGAAGGCCAGTCCTAGCATCCACAACATCACAACAAAAGAGGAAGCTGAGCGTGTTTTGTCTGCTGAACCTAAAGTTGTTCTTGGTTTTCTCAACTCCTTAGTGGTATGTATATTCTTTTCAAATCCAATGCGTTTTGTGCCAATTCTATCTCGCTTTTCTGTTTTCTCAGCATTGTAAACATTTGCTGAATCAAAGTGGTTATCGTGGGACTATTATCGTTAAGCATATATGCCTCTAGTGTAGAGTAGGTGAAAGATAAAAGTGGTTTCCCCTGCAATATATGTTAGAGTCGGTATTAGGACTTGCATTCAGATCTTTTGGTCTAGTGATTTTTACTTTGTGTGGCCGAGAGTTTTCAAGATGCATGATTGAAAAGTGTGAAGCTTTTGCTTTTAAAATCCTATCCTGCCATCCTTTTCACCATTTTCTCTTGCTCAGGGATCGGAGAGTGAGGAACTTGCGGCTGCATCCAGATTGGAAGACGATCTCAGTTTTTACCAAACTGCAAGCCCTGATATTGCAAAGCTATTTGAGATAGAAACCGAAGTCAAGCGTCCTGCCTTGGTTTTACTGAAAAAGGAGGAAGAGAAACTTGCCCGGTTTGGTTAGTAGACTATGAAATACATTACTTTGGCTACTTAGATTCCGTCGATGTCTCTCTCATTTTGCTCCTTTTTGTCAGATGGAAATTTCACTAAGGCGGCGATAGCAGAGTTTGTGTCAGCCAACAAAGTCCCACTGGTGATCAACTTCACCAGGGAAGGCGCATCACTGATTTTCGAGAACGCAGTGAAAAACCAAGTAAAGACCTTTCTTCTCTTCAGATTTTTTCCTCTGTTCATTGCTACGAGCTAAGGAAATAATAACCTTTTTTTGGAAAACCTTGTCAGCTCATTCTTTTCGCTAAGGCAAATGAATCAGAGAAGCACCTTCCCACTCTGCGGGAGGTGGCTAAGTCCTTCAAGGGAAAGGTAAATCTTATCTTTTATTTTCATGTGGTCATTTTGCTCACTTTCTGTAGAGGTGGTTGATAACTTTAGTTATTGAGTAGAAAGGGCAATCCTCTGTCTATCTGTCTGCAGTTTGTATTTGTTTATGTGCAAATGGACAATGAGGATTATGGAGAAGCAGTTTCCGGATTCTTTGGTGTTACCGGCACTGACCCCAAGGTAAAAAAGTTGATGTGAAATATCCATGTATCGGTTTTGTATTTGTTAACAAAACCAAAGGTTTTTTAAGTATCCAATTTTCTCCTTGCGTATGCAGGTTCTTGTATACACTGGAAATGAAGATATGAGGAAGTTTATCCTGGACGGTGAATTGACCGTAAAGAACATTAAGGTCTGCTCAACTTCACATGGTTTCGTAACGAGTTGTTCATCTTCAAGCAATGATGTTTACTATCGTTTCCCTCTTTAAAACAGACACTCGCGGAAGATTTCTTAGCAGAGAAACTGAAGCCTTTCTACAAGTCAGATCCAGTGCCTGAAAACGTAAGCCTTCCCACATTTCAACACACACACACACATCTTACTTGCATCCTAGTACTGATTACACTAGCATCTAAATAAAACATCAGAACGACGGTGATGTGAAGATCATTGTGGGAAACAATTTTGATGAGATAGTCCTTGACGAGTCAAAGGATGTTCTTCTCGAGGTAATGTAGAAAAAACGTTTCTTATTTTACACATGTTGGGTGTTATGTACCTAAAGTGTGAGAGTTTTGTGACAGATATATGCTCCTTGGTGTGGCTACTGCCAATCGTTTGAGCCGATTTACAACAAGCTTGGAAAGTATCTGAAAGGTATCGACTCGCTAGTTGTAGCCAAGATGGATGGTACCACCAATGAGCATCCTAGAGCAAAGGTAATAAATCAACAGCCAAATCTTGAAAAACCTTTTGGTGATTCAAAAGACTAAAAGAGAAGTTAAATTTTCAGGCTGATGGGTTCCCAACAATCCTGTTCTTCCCTGGTGGAAACAAGAGCTTCGATCCGGTTAGCAAATTGTTTTAAAACATTGTGAACGTTGTTCCCTTTACTTGAGTAGTGATTTTTTTTGGTTTGAAAAAAAAAAAACAGATCACTGTGGATGTTGACCGTACAGTAGTGGAACTGTACAAATTCCTGAAGAAGCAGGCATCAGTCCCATTTAAACTTAAGAAAGCGGAACCGATCATCGCGACCAAGAAAGCTGCTGATGAGAAGATTGAGAGTGATGGTGCCAAGGATGAGTTGTGATGATGCTTCTCAAGGTATAATAGAGTGTGTAACAAGCTATATGATTAGTCTCTCTCTTTTTTTTTGTTACAAGGTGAATGTTGTTGTTTGGCTCGCCTAATTGATACGAATTGATAATCGGTGACTTTTTATTCAGTTGTCAATCAGTCATAAATGAAAGTTGGTTAAATGAGTTTGATAAACAGATAACATGTAATGCTGCTAATCAGTTACAATTAGTCGATGGCTTCAATAATTGCATAACGAAAACGCACGTGGAAATGTATCCGTTAGTTGGTTTTCCCTCTTGAATCGGCATTGCTCTCTTTGCCAACTCTTAGTTTAAAGTCTTTACAAGGAAAAATTCTCAAAAGTATTATTACTCGTAAATTGTTTTCTAAAAGACGATGATGATGAGAAATCGTCGTCATTCCTCTGTTTTGTTTGTGCTTATTGCTCTCTTTTCGTCAATATTATCAAGTAGACAAGATCTAGAAATCTCAGGCAACGTCACAATTTCATCTCCGGGCAACATATTCGAGCTTGGTTTCTTCAAAATTTCGGCCGCAGAGACTGGAAATGGAGATCGCTGGTATCTTGGGATGTGGTACAAAGATATATCGCCGAGGGAGTATGTGTGGGTCGCAAACAGAAACCAGCCTTTGCTCAATTCGAATGGAGTTGTTAAAGTCTCCAACGCCAACCTCGTACTCCTCGATCAGTCTGGAAGCGTCGTATGGTCTTCTAATGTGGAAGCATCTTCTCCTCGATATCCTGTGATGGCAGAGCTTCTCAGTAACGGGAATCTGGTGTTGAGATACAAGGAGAAGAAGAAGAAGAAGCGTGCTTCGTTACTGTGGCAGAGCTTTGATTTCCCGACAGATACTTTAATCCCTGGAATGAGGATTGGTTTAGATTCGAGAAAAGGCGTCAACATAAGCCTCAGTTCCTGGAGAAGCACTTCTGATCCTTCTGTCGGAAGATTTTCGTATAGAGTAGAGATTCAGGGGATCCCGGAGTTGTTTCTGTGGGACAGGGACGCAGAAACACCGATTTACAGAAACACCCTCGGTGATGTCCGATTCAGTTTGACGAATACAAGCTACGCATTGCGAGAAGATGAGAAGGGATTGTTGCGGCTCAAACTGACGTCTGGTGGAAGATTAGAGCGGTGGTCGTGGTCTCCAACGACGGGAGACTGGACCTTGTTATGGGCATTGCCCACCGACTTGTGTGATCTTCTTGAGTGGGGTAAGTGTGGAGATAACAGCTTCTGCCGCTTGGAGCAGGGCATGGACAGTGAAGGCTGTGAGTGTTTCAAAGGCTTTCGGCAGGGGCGCTCAAGGTGCGTAAGAGAAACAGATTTACCCTGTAATGGAAACGGGTTTCAGAGGCTCGCGAATGTGAAGCTGCCGGACACAAAAGAGGCGATTCTGGCGAGGAGCATTGACAGCAAAGAGTGTAGAAAGAGGTGCCTAAAAGATTGTTACTGTACCGGATATGCTAATATGGTTGTGGATGTGGGGATTGGCGGCATAGATTGCTTGATTTACAGAGGTAACCTATTTGATACACGCACGTTAACCGCGGAAGGAGGCCAGGATTTATACGTCAAAGTGCCACATACTTACCTCGGTAAGTCCATATCTCTTGTAAACTACATCCAAACTAATTATCATCTCAATTTTTTTTATTTTTTCATTCAGACAAGGGTGCAAGAATAAACACAAAAAACAAACTTGTGATCGTTTCTGGAGCCATCCTTGTGGTTAGTTTGACTTTTGCCATGTTCTGGTGGTGGTGCCGGAAAAGAATACTGTCAGGTATAACAATCTTAATCGTATCATTTCATTTCAGTTTTTTTTTTTTTTTTGTGGCTGATTCCAACTTTATATTTTTTTGTCCTAAGATTTGCAAATGGACGGAGGAGACACAACAAACTCAAACAAGGATCCGGAACTTCCACATATGGACTTTGGAACTATCTGTGAAGCAACCAACGACTTTTGTGACTCGAACAAGCTTGGTGAAGGTGGATTTGGTATAGTTTACAAGGTATTAAAAATAAATAAAAAAAAACCCCATATTTTACTTTGACCAAAGCGATGATATTATTAATTTGACATACTGTATCTAATTTCACAATACAGTAGTAAGTAATTTGCTTCTCTTTTATAAATTTTACTCGTAAGTCGTAACTAACACGTGGTAAGCTACCGTTAAATTATTTAATCTAATATGCTCTGTTTTTGGAGTGTTGGCAGGGAAGGTTAGCTGATGGGAACGAAATTGCGGTGAAAAGACTAATAAAGGTGTCTCTTGAAGGAGCCTCTCAGTTTATGAACGAGGTGAGACTTATCTCCATGCTTCAGCACATAAACCTAGTTCGTCTTCTTGGATACTGTGTCCAGGGTGCAGACCATCTGGTGGTATACGAATTCCTTCAAAATCTGAGTCTTGACTTTTATCTCTTCGGTTAGTCTCATCGCTTTTTTCTTATTTGTTTTTATAACACAACTTATGTCTTTAGACTTGGACTAATACAAATATATATTCTCTAGGAGATACCGAAAGATCTAGGCTTACTTGGCCTGTACGGTATAGTATTATTCACGGGATCGCAAGAGGACTCACGTATCTCCACCAGGATTCGTGTTTCAGGATAATACACAGAGACTTGAAAGCGAGCAACATCTTGCTTGATAAAGATATGCTCCCCAAAATCTCGGATTTTGGGACGGCAAGGCTCGTTGGAAGAGACGAGACCCAAACTAGCACACGACAGATAGCTGGAACTCGGTAAGTCTTATTAATTTATTTACTTACTTTGAGAGTTTGATGAAAGATATCCCTTAACCTAACTCTACAATTGGTTTACTCAGAGGATACATGTCTCCAGAATATCTCTATGACGGTATATTCTCTGATAAATCGGATGTTTATAGTTTTGGCGTCCTGCTTCTTGAGTTATTAAGTGGCAAGAGGAGCTATATGTTCATCAACTCCTATGGGGACACTAGTCTCCTCGCCTGGGTAATCACTAGTCAATCCTTTATGCTTTAATCTTCTTTCTTTTGTTTCTTAGCTAGCTAGCTTGTAATCTAAGTTTTGTGTTTAAAATAATAATAATCGATGCAACACAGATTTGGAGAAAATTCGAAGAAGGGCGCTTGTTGGAGGTAATCGATCCAATCATTGTGGCCTCGTTGGCGTCACCAGCAACAGAGCAGAACCAGATAATCAGATATTTTCATATCTCTCTCCTGTGTGTTCAACGACGTGCGCAAGACAGACCAACAATGTCCTCCGTTGTTGTCATGTTATCAAGTGGAGAAGCGGTTCCTCGGCCTAATCCGCCCGGTTTCTGTGACCATTTCGTTAGATACTCTTCTTTCGAGATTGGTTCTACGTCCACCGGACCGTCAGCCGACGACTCGGTCCTAGAAGGTCGATAAGGTTGACCATTATAATATGTTTGATCCTTTTTCAAATTTAAGGTTGTTGTTACTTGCTATGGTTACGTTGTTTTACTTGGTGAACTAAACTCTTGTTATTATGTTATAGTTTCGTTGAACACAATTTTATTTAGATATACCCTAAAAAAAAAAGAGAGTCATAATTAGGATATCGTTTGAAACTACACTTCACAGTTCACACACATTTGTTTCATTATTTTAAATTTATCTCTCATTCTCTTTGTTCTGTTTCAAGATTCACCAAGTTATTTGATTTTCTTTGGAGTTTTTGTATTTTAAAACTGATTGAACCTCTTAAATTTAATATTTAATCAATTTTCATATAAATGTGACCGGTGTCAACAAATTTTTGCAAGATTAAGTGATTGACCAATTTTAATTATTTTATTTAAATGCCATTTCGTCGTTTGTAGTTCTGACTTTTGAGATTAATTCGAAAATATAATAAACCAAAGTCACACTTTAATAATGTAAAGTCAAAGATTCTTGAAAGAGTCTAAACAACCCTTTGGAACACAACATTTGTTCTCTTGTCTTAAGAGAAAGGTCTAATAAGGTCCTAACCTGAAATTTTCATCCGTACAGTTTCTGACTTCCTTCACAAGTAAACTACTCTGTTTGTGTATGCGTGTTTACTTATCCAAATAGAACTTATGAATTGCCTCGTCGAAGGACTTCGCTGTGTTTTGTGATGGAGATAAAAGAGGAGTAGAGTTCGTATATTAGGAATTCGAAAACTTAAAAGTTATGAAACAGTTAAAAAATATTATTTTTTTTGAAAAAAAAGTGGCACATTCACAACAAACAAAAATGACTCAACCCAATTGAAATAGAACCAAAATTTTCCTAAATTTGAGCGGATCTAAAATTTAGTAACCCGAAAAGACTCGAACCCGAATAGAACCAACCCAAATCTGACCCGAAATCCGAACGCCCAAGTCTAATTTAACCGATTGAGGAACAGAATAGTCAAGAAGATTAACAATTAGATTGAATAACACGTTTTAAAACCATGTTTTTAATCGGAGAAGTCATAGAGGGAGAAACGCAAATGTAATTAAAATATAATTTTTTATGTTTTCTGAAGAGTGATGAAATGAGTAATAGGAAAAGTCATGTCTTATATCAGATATACAGAACACAAAATTCTGACATGTCATCACCTCGATAGAAGTTATTCTCTTATTATAATATAGATGTGAAAATAAAATATATATATATATATAGATTGTTAATGTACTCACTTATTGTTTAAGACAAAAATTAAAAATAATGAGTACATAAATTATAAAAACAATTCTGGAAAATAATGAATGAATTTTTTATACGACATCCAATCAATATGGTTGAGTTTTGTGTAATTCTTGCTGGGACAGATCTAGAAATAGATTTTCTCTCCCCCCGATTCTTGCATGGGATTAACATACTCTCGTATTCGTCCCATTTATCCAACGATTAGTTTTCTTGAATTGGACGCAGTTGCAAAAAGTTACTTTCCCCCTAACAATACATTCGCCTCTTGTAAAACTTGCAGCTCGTTCCTTCTTGCAAGCTTCATCACAGAGGGCTGGTTTACTACATATCCCTTGCGGTGCGCGCTCAAGTGGATATCCGTTACAAAGACAATCACGCAATGTTCTAGGTTTAATACAATCATAAGAAGCCATTGTTTTCTCTGTTGGAATAGTGATATGAGTGAGAGAGAAAAAAAACATTAGGATCAATGTGATGCATAAAACAAAAATAAATTATTCAGATTCCAAATTAATAATCCACATAATTAGGACATATACAATTATAATTTCGGATGTAGTTATATCCTTGAGTAAGACAGCATTTATTTGTCTATAAACTTTGGTTTATAAATGGTAATAAGAAAACGAAAATTAACACATACTCCCTGCGTTTCTTATTACTTGTCGTTCTAGAGTGAAAATTGTATTTCATATTATCTATCATATTGTATTTTTTAATGCAAATTTATTACAGTTTTTCCAGTTTTATCTCTACTCTTCTAGCTCACAAAGCATTCATATCAACAAAACATAATATTAGTTAGGGTAAAAGAATAAATTTAATAATTTTCTTAATATGCGTAAAAATACTCTAGAACAACAACTAAAAATAAACAAGGAGAGTATCATTTATAAATCTCTATAGAAAGTCCCTGTAAATAAATGACATTGTTCAAAAACAGATTTGATAAGTAAGATATTTACGCTCTAAATTGATAACCTGCATAACAAAGACATTTATTGATCTCTTAAAAAGGTATCTTATCTTGTATAATTGAATTGTTTTTATATGTTTGATAACTTTATTAATGATAATAATTCAGAGTTAAAACTGATTAAAACAACATTAAAACTAATGATAGTGATAAGATTTTTTAACGAAAAATAATAATTTGATTTGGAGTATAAACGCATTCTGCTATATATAATAAGTTTTTTTGTATATTATAAATACCAAAACATAAACACAAATATAATTTCTATTTCTTTCATTTTCATTTACGTTAAGCGTTTGTAACTTAAAAAAAAAATGTTACATGATAAAAGTTATAATATGCATGTGTCAAATACACAAAACAAAAAGACAAAAGAAAAATTAGAGATTTCTAAATTGTATTATGGATTACCTGTCGAAATCAGAGAGAATATCATCAGAAAAAGAATGAATTTAAATATAACTTCAATTTTAGACATGTTTTTCTTGTTCTTTTTCCTGTTATAACTCATTCTTTTTAGTTGGATGAATGTTTGTGTATCTTGTTGTCAAATTATTCTATATAAAGAGATTTCAGTTCTAAAAAAAGAAAGAAAACAAATTAGTTAGTAGAAAATGCCTATGAAACTGCTATAAGAGGAGAAAAATAGAAATTTAATGAACACCACATTCTCCCCTCTATTTTTTTTTTTACTTTTACAATTAATAAAACATTATTTGAATATATTAGTTATTAGTTGATCAATTTTTTGGTTATCCAATTATTTATACGCTTTTCTTTCCAATCGTGAAACGAAATACAATGATGATAAGAATTCTTTGGTTTCGCTTTTATTTTATAATTTTGGATAAGTTTGGAAAATTTTAAAACTATTCAAAGTGGAAAAAAAATTGAAGAAAATATAATAAAATACAATGAACTAGCTTGAGCTTGAACTTGGGAAGAACTTAGCTATAAAACCAACTGAGCTAAGGAAATAATATATGTTTCCTCCACCTAAAATGTTATTCAGAGATTTAGTATGGGCCATGTGCCTATTTCTGGAAGTGATGCATAACTCATATTGGATGGTTTCTGCAGACTTTGCTATGTATCATTTACTTTTGTTCCATCTAATAAACCTTATGAAGTAGGTTATGTAGGACGGATAAATCAATTTGAGTATAACAAAAGTGTCTTGCTAAATTTTAAAATTCCATATTATAAAAAAGATTAGAGAACAACCTAGAACTTTGACTTGTCATATTTTACACCACTATAAAAACATATATAATAAACCAAAGTCACACGTTAATATTGTAAAGTCAAAGATTCATGAAAGAATCTGAACAACCCTTTGGAACACAACATTTGTTCTCTTGTCTTAAGGGAAAGGTCTAATACGGTCCTAACCTGAAATTTTCATCTGTACAGTTTCTGACTTCCTTCACAAGTAAACTACTCTGTTTGTGTATGCGTGTTTACTTATCCAAGAGGAGTAGAGGTCGTATATCAGGAATCGAAAAAGAGCTAAGGTGGTTCTTCTTCACAATGAATAGTAGCGATCTGATTTGGCACTGTACTCACTTATAAATGGTATTCTCGAATTCTTAATTAGTGTGATTTCGTTTTACGTTTTTGAGAATTGTCGTATTATGAATATATGAAAACAATAAATATATATAGATTCTTATTGTACTCACTTATTGTTTAAAAAAAAAAGAAGAGTACATAAATTATGGAAATTTGTCTGAAAAGATAATAAAGGATTTTTTTTTTTTACGATATCTTGTCAATATTGTTACAGTTGGTGTATTTCTTGCAAGGGCAGGTTCTGGAAATAAATTGTATCTTCATGGGGTCAGCTGCCCTTCCCCCTCCTAAGATAGGGTCTTGCATGGGATCAACAATTTCTTCGTTTCGTCCCATTTATCAAACGATAAGATTTATCCATTCGGGCGCACATGCAAACACTTACTTTCGCCCTAACAATACATTCGCCTCTCGTAAAACTTCCACCTTTTTCCCTCTTGCAAGCTTCACCACAGAGGTCTGGTTTACTACATATCTTTGGCGGTGGGCGCTCAAGTGGAAATCCATTACAATTGCAATCAGGATATGTTCTATGTTTAGGACACTCATACGGATTTTTCTCTGTTGGAATAGTAATCATAAATAAAAAAATTAGGATCGATATGATGCACAAATAAAAATAAAATATATAGATTCCAAATTAATAATCCGTAACTTAAAAATATATGTTACATGATAAAAGTTATAATCTGCATGTGTCAAATACACATCATGTATCATAAAACAAAAATAAAAGAGAAAAATTAGAGATTTATAATACATTACCTCTTGAAATCAGCGAAAATATCATAAAAAGAAGAAGTAAAGGAACTATAACTTTAATTTTAGACATGTTTTCTTCTTGTTGTTTTTTTTCCTGTTATAACTAATTTTTTTTATTGAATGAATGTTTATGTATTTCATCATTGTCAAATTATTGTATATAAAGAGATTTCAATTCTAAAAAAAAAAAAAAAAAGAAAAGTTAGTTCGTAGAAAATGCCTATAAAACTGCTAATAGAGGAGAAAAATAGAAATTTAATGAACACCACAATTCTCTCCCTCTATTTTTTTTATTTTTATTTACTTTTCAATTAATAAAAAAATAATTTGAATATATTAGTTGATCAATTTTTTTGGTTATCCAATTATTTATACGCTTTTCCTCCAAATAGTGAACGAAATACAATGATGATAATAATTTTGTGGTTACCCAATTATTTATACACGTAATTCATATTGGATGGTTTCTGCAGACTTTGCTATCTTCATTTATTTTTGTGCCATCTAATAAACCATATGGTGTAGCCGTGTAGGTTATGTGGAACGGATAACTCGATTTAAGTATAACAAAGTGTGCCTTGCCAAATAAAATTTCATATTGTAGAAAATATTAGAGAACAACCTAGAACTTTGACTTGTCATATTTTACACAACTATACATATCCAATATATTATTGAAAAGTTCTATAATCAATTTCTGGAGTCTCTCCACACGTTTCTGATGGATAATTTTTGACAAAAAAAAACTAGGCATCTCTTTTCCGTAAAGGTCAAAAACATTTGTATATAGCAATTATTATTTTATTTTTATTTTTATTAAGCATTTTCTTTCTCTTGATTGCATTTTATCTATGACTGAAAAGAAAAAAGAAAGTTACATGGAGTATATTTTGGGTACAGTTGACAAAGAACAAAAAAGGGAGTAAATATTTATTGCTCGTTCTTGATTAATCCGCGTTTTGTCTGCCTGCTCCTTTCTCTAATACAATTTGGGGTTTGGTGGGAGGTTTTAAGTAAAGCGTGCGATACAAAAACAGACATCCTCTGTTACTCCTGTGTTCTTGCCTATTCTTCTACTTCTTCTCTCTCTCTCTCTCTCTCTGATTTGTTCCTGCATAAAAGTAAAAGACTCGCCCTTTAAAGGCAGATTCAGATATACAGTCTTTTTCTATTCTCCGCAAAAGAGGAGCTCGTGTTGAACAAGAGAGCAAAGAAACTAAGAACTTGTTGAAGATTCCGCACAAAAGAAGAGAAAGACCAAACCTTTTTTTTCTCTCTTCTTTCCGTGCTCTGGTTTCTCGTTTTGAATTTGTTGACCAAAGCCGACTTGTTTGATCTGAATCTCTTCTTGTGTCTTCATATGGTAGACAGAAGGAATCATTAGGGGATTCATTTCTCTCAATCATCATGCAAAGAGTACGCAATAAACCGGTTAAATCCGACGGAGGAGCCACGACGGCTTCCGTTAAGCATTTAATCAGACAGAGAGGCGGCGGCGGTGATACGGCGGCTGTGGAGGTTTCCAGGTCGGCGGCGAATGATAACAGCCTCTTGACTGATATGCAGGAACCCAGCATCGATACCGACAAACTCAGCTACGAGATTTTCTCGATTCTCGAGAGCAAATTTCTGTTCGGTTACGACGACGGCCCCAAAATCTCGGTTCCTCGGAATTTGAACCCGAAATCCGAGCCCGAACCGGTGAATTCGGCGATTGCGATTGACGCCGCTCCTGGATCGATTAAGAACCAGAGAGGGAAAATCTGTATCCTGAGCATCGACGGAGGAGGCCTGCGAGGGATCTTGCCCGGAAAGGCGTTGGCTTATCTGGAACACGCTCTGAAATCGAAATCGGGCGACCCGAACGCCCGAATCGCCGATTACTTCGACGTGGCCGCCGGGTCCGGTATCGGCGGTGTTTTCACGGCGATGCTGTTCGGGTCGAGAGACGGTAAAAGCCCCATCTTCCCAGCAGAGGACACGTGGCAGTTCCTAACGGAAAACGCAAAGGGTCTCTACGGGTCCTCGTCTTCTTCTTCGCTCGTGAAACGGGTCCTGAGAACCGGGCCGGGTTGTTCCGGGACGTCCAAGCTGCAGAGAGTGATGATGGAGTGTTTCTCGGAGCTGACCTTAAAGGACACGCTAAAGCCGGTGCTCATACCTTGCTACGACCTCAAAAGCTCGGCTCCGTTTCTCTTCTCACGCGCCGACGCGCTCGAGACCGACGGGTACGACTTCCGCCTGTGGGAGGTTTGCAGGGCGACTTGGGCAGAGCCAGGGGTGTTCGAGCCGGTGGAGATGAAATCAGTGGACGGGCGTACCAAGTGCGTGGCGGTCGGTGGAGGATTAGCCATGACCAATCCAACCGCGGCTGCGATCACGCACGTGCTCCACAACAAGCAGGAGTTCCCGTTCGTGAGAGGAGTTGAGGATTTGCTTGTCTTGTCTCTCGGTATGGGTCAGTTCAGCTATGAATACGACCGGATCATCAAGTGGACGGCTAAGCATTGGGCTCGCCCCTCAGCTCTTATCTCCAACGACGGTGCTGCCGACACCGTCGATCAGGCTGTGGCAATGGCTTTTGGCCACTGCCGCAGCAGCAACTACGTTCGGATTCAGGTATAATAAAATCTTTTGTCTAAAACGAAACCACAAAGCTTTCTTCACAAGTTAGGTACTAATTAAGGGATGGGTTTTGTTGTAGGCGAATGGGACGAGCTTGGGACCGTGCAGGCCAAACATAGACACAGACCCGAGTGGGAGCAGTGTGAATATGCTGGTTGGAGTAGCGGAGGAGATGCTAAAGCAAAAGAATGTAGAATCGGTTTTGTTTGGAGGTAAAAGAATCGGTGAACAGAGCAATTACGAGAAGCTGGACTGGTTAGCCGGGGAACTTATTCTCGAGCATCAGAGGAGAAATTGTCGAATTGCACCAACCGTGGCGTTCAAGCAATCCGTCCATAGGGCAGATCAGAAGACTAGGGACAAGGATATCGGTGTGACCGCTAGAGAACGATGAACCAACCAAAGATAAAAAGCTTGTTGTTGCTACTTCTCTTTTGGTTTCTTAATTTTATTATAGATAAATTTAGGATAAGGTTTTCTTTCTTTTCTTTCTTCTCAGGTTATGATTTGTTGTATAGATTTGAGTTTGTGTTTTGAGTTCCGAGACATGAGGAGAAAAGATGAAACATCTACCATCTTACAAAAAGGGTTTGATGTTCCTCCATTCATGCTGCCAAAAAAAAAATCAACAACATGATTCCTGTAATTTCGGTTTGTCTTAGATTCCATATACTCATCATGATTTGTTTTCTTTGACATTTTCACTAAGTTATCCCATAATTTCACCATCCAGATGGATTTAATAATGTGTAAATTTTTGTGGTTTTTTTCTTTGCGTTCGTGGAATAAAATGACTAAGTAATATTACACGGACAAATGTAGCTTAATTTACGGGAACAAGAAAAGTTCTGAAACGTGATTCCACAAAATCATTGTGCTATTCCACTATTTTTGGTTTTAAGAACCAAATCTTTCTAAGGTTTTAACTCGTGGAAGTCATCCAATAAAAAACTCTTGGAGCTCGAGACACGACACTATTAATGACAAATTGACAAAGGGTCACACAACTTTGTGTCATTAATACTTATTCAATAGTACTAGTAGCTTCTATTATTAAATTTTGTCGGATTCTTTTTTAGTGTGTAAAACTACGTGTTAACAGCAAACAAAAAAACTCGTTGGTTAATTTGTTTAATTTCATGTGGACTTGGGGAATCTCTACTGAATGCAACGGATCAGAAAAATTGTTACGTGATCACAAAATCGGATTGATTCATAAACGCATTATCTTGACTTCTTGAAATTTTGGTTAGGAAAATGAAACGATTTATAAATGAAAGTCCAAAAAGAAAAACACAATTGTTGTCGTGTTTGGTTCTTGCGCGTGTGCGTGCGTCGAGGGAGGGACGGTGCGAGAGAACGTCATATATCTGTGAGTAGCCCCACGTCTTTGATTGTCGGTTCGGTCTCATCCACCGACACTCGAAACAATATTTTCATTTGTTTTACAACTTTATAAAATTTATATTGGAGATCTTTTCATTCCTATCAATTATGCGTCGGTCCAAATATATCTAGTAGCAAATTTCATCTTTGGTTTCGTTGCTTCTTTTACGTGTTGTCATTTTTCCCGATGGACAATTATTCGATGTTTTGTCTGTGCTCTCAACTCCGAACTATTGTTTCTGTTTAGAATATAGTTTGGTATCGAGTTCGGGTTATTTTAGTTTGAAAGAAATGTATCAAAGTCAAACCGAGATCAAAACCGAGATTCGGTTTTGGCTTAGTTTGATTTGATTATTCCAAAATATCTTATTCGTTAGTAGTATACCTAATTTTTGTTTGGTTTGTAATTTTGGTTAGATTTATTAAGCTGGTTGAATGCATGTTTAGGTCAAACATTTAAAATGCCATAAATCAGGGGATGTTTCATAATGACGCACTTCTCTAGAATCTCTACACATATATTGTTGTTGTATCCGAATGCAAAATCTGATAATATCTACAGAACTGTCTCCAACCCGGTAAATTAACCGTGTTAAGATAGTGAAAACGTTTTTATATGTTGTAACTTGTAAGTGTATATGTTAGCAAACAGTTAGATATATTTTTATATAAAAGAAAAAACTAATATTAGTTAGGTAGAATATTATGTATCTAGATTGAAGGATATTTGAAGTATTAAAAAACCAGGGCAAAAAAACAAAAGATAAAGAAAAGGGACACTATATAGTTATATTTTCACAAAATGGTTTAGCTTTTACTAATCGCATCAGAAAAAAAGAGACGCCGAAAGTGAAACTCTTTTTAAACAAAGTGGGTTCCGAGTTCGCACTCTACGTTCTTATTAGTCAAAAAAAAACAAAAAACTTTTCTTGTCTTTTGAGGGGTTGAAAAAAACTGAGATTTAACAAAGAAAAAGGAAAAGAAAGAAGAAGAGAGGTTTGAGACTTTTAGTTGAAGAAGAAGATCTTTGTAGTGGGATACTCTTGCCCAGCACCGGACAGGCATCGTAGGGCCCATTCTCACGTCTTCTTCAGCAATGCGACAACAACTTTATCAAAATATGGCAACCCGACTTGGTCAATTTCTTAACCATATTTGTAACTTCTCTTTTTTCAGTTATCTATTTATTAATGTATATTTTTTTTTTGTCAACAGCCTCTATTTCTAAACCAGCTCGGGAATCTTAAACCAGCTCGGGAATCCAAGTTGGCGAAACAGAGTTTACATAATACACATCAGTAGGTAGAGCTCGAGCACTATGTGCTAACTTGTCTGCCTTCGTGTTTTTTGTTCTAGGTATGTGCGCGATGGAGAAGGAGGTAAACCTCCTTTTACACCGGTCAACCTCGTCAAGAAATATTGCGAACGTTGACCACTCCTTTGACGTAGACACCATCTTCACCACACCAGAGCAATCCGTCTCAAAACGCGTTAACAATTTATTATGCCGTAGCATACAATGCATGGCCCAAATAAGTGCCTCCAAATATATGCATTCATAATTTAATATTCATAAAGGAATTGGAAAAAGGCAAACAAATGATAAAAAAAAGTAAGTAATGAGTATATTCGTCGTAGGATATTATCTACTTAATATATATAGGCAGGCATAAACACTGATCGCAGTTTTATTTCAAGAATGCTCGTACATCAAAGCTTAATTTGGGAAAATAACTCGAACATCAATGGTCTAGAGATTGTAGACAGAGATATATAATTTACAGATTCATAGTGGAGTAACGTCAACGTAATTAGAAATTATGCGATTTGAGTTATATCGACTTGTTTATTTACCAGCATGTCACATTTCCACTAATAATTAACCGAAACGATTAGATAGTTATATAACTTATAAGCATGCCACCACATTACATAATTATGTGATGTCACCCGATTATGTATACTTCTAAAATTCTTATAACTTGAATGCATGATAATCGTTTCTCTCTTAACCGGAGAAAAGAAGAAGTCATCTCTATTCGTTCTTAGGAAATAGTGGTCACATTTCAAGACTTATGTGACAAGAGCGAAACAAACAGATACCAAATGGACAAAAACCTACAAAAATCGATGAAGAACAGACAGAGGCTTCGACTGCTGTTGACCTTAAGTTCTAAAGCCGATCAAAAGAGAAAATCTTGGGCCTGACTTGGGAGTTAGATAGGCCCAGTTTTGTATCATCAAACTTGTCATATCAAAAGGTTGAAACAATATGATATATCGATTTATGAACATGTACAGAGTTTCCCTTCCATTCGAAACTTACGATTTAAATCCTAAAAATAAGTTCTCAATTAATATTATGATTTCGGGTTGCATTTTTACATAAATGAGACATCTATCTTTTAAAACATTTGAGTTTAACATTTTCTCTTCATCATTTTTGGCATTTTCTCTTCATCTTCCTTTTTCTATCATCCTACATGAATTGCACGATCCACGACCAATATCAATTAGTTGAGGACTAACCCTCTTCTCTCAAGTGAACACAAGCTTTTGCAGAAGTATTCTCTTGGCAAATCTTCTTTGGCTTCTCTTACTTTTGCTCTTGCTCGCCCGGTCAAGCTTCTCGATCTGCTCATCGATTCTTCTTTTGCCTCCAAACAAAACCGATTCTACATTCTTTTGCCGGCAAGGTGTCCTAAGCTCAAACCCAATCGCCTGCAAAAAACCCATCAATTCAGAAATACATTAATCTAAATTATTTGTCGAGAAGAACAAATCAGAACTTTTAAGATCTTATTTTAGTCATGCAACATTCTTATTTATGCAAAATATTTCACAACGAACGAACGAAATTTAGGAGAAAAAATGAGATCCAAATGACCAAATTAAAAGTGGAAGAATTAATGGACATAAAATGATATTGGTAAACTTACCAACTTGCTTGACCGGGCAAGAAGAGAATGCTACTCCAAACGCTTGTATTCACCTGAGAGAGGAGGGTTTTTTACAAGTCTTCTACTAACTGATATTGGTCGTGGTTCTAGAACAGGGAGGACGAAGATAAAATATCAAAAAAGTCAAACTCAAATCTCAGAAAATGGGTTGAAGAAGGGTAATGAAAAATTTAGATTGGGGAGGGACGTTAGGTCAAGAGCCTTCGTTGTTTGCAAGTTGGTGGAACTCATCGTGCCAAAAGAAACCTAGAAAGGGTTTCTAGTGAGAAGACTAAATCAAAAACGAATCTCGATAAACCATCTACATCTATTAGGAAGAGACGAAGAAGAAGGAGCGACGATGGAAGATCGACGACGGCAGCTACTTATTTATATTACTAGGGTTTAGGTTTTTCGTTTCAACCATTGCCTATCGGTTTAACCTAAGAACCAAAACCAGAACCGAATTGACAAAAAAACCTCCGTGTTCTGATACTTCGGTCCGGTTTATGAACTAGTAAGCCACATTGTGAATGAGAAATTTTAATTAATCAACTACAAGACAACGGGCCACACAAAGACTTAGCAAATTAAAATTCCATAAAAAAAAAAAAAAAAGAGACAAGAACCATCTAGGACTAAACTTGAGTGACAACCGCAGAGACCATCGAGTTAATTCCACACATATCATGGCCACGACACAACTTGTAGTACCCATCGTCTCCCCAATTCTTCCCCCACGAGTTCTTGATAATCCAATACGGTTTGTTACTGAGTCGCAAGATCGAAAACCCTTTTGATCCGTACCCAACAAGAAGTACCCCGTGGTTAATCTTCTTCTTGCTGCATATTAGCGGACACGACACTCCTCCTATATACGTCTGCATGAACACCGCGTTTAGCCCCACTGTGTTCAACAATTAAAACAACAAAGTATTAGTGTTCACAATCCACAAGAAGTGTATCTCTTTTTAACAAACTGCAAACATATTTGTTTTATCACCTGCTAAAGGACCATGATGTACTAAATTTGCTGTGATCTGGTCCTCGTCCAATGGTATATTCGTGAAGTTCACTACTTTTACTGCAATCTTTTCAGGATCAAACTTGCAATGGCCTCGTTTACCAGTGTAAGGATATGACTTTTCCTCTTCTAAGCCTCCTGCCTCCTTCAAATACTCATACGCATTTGTCATGAGTCCACCACCACATCCATCATCGCAGGCTTTCTTGTCCTCTGGATCGCACTATTGTACAAATATATTTTCGAGTTTTAATTTCCAACAAATTAGTACACTAATTACATATCTAAGTACGTTTTTAAAATGTTAAATGGATTAACACATGTACATACCGCTTTATCACAATCCACAAGTTGTTGTTCGCTAAGACTAACAAGCTCCCCGGTGGAGACAAAATGGGCTCCTTCAACTGCTCCTGTTGTGCTAAAAGCCCAGCACGATCCACATGCACCCTTCATATACACAGTCATTAAAAGGGTGGTCAGTAAAGTTGATAAAATTAAGATAATCAAGTGACTGGCGGCTAATAGATGAAATTATTAATCCTTTGACCAAAAAACAAGTGTACTATAAATCCTACTTATATTGGTTACTTCTAGAATAACCTAAATTAATTACCGATTTTTTTTTTTTTTTGTCAATCATAAATTTGTTACATGCTAAATTTCAAACAACGAAACAAATGAAAGAATACCAAGTATCATTGTTCTAGTTTCCCCCTGCTTATATTTTTGGCTGAATATCAAAGAAGTTATCCCAAGCTTTAAGGCTAACTTTATATAATCATTTAATTTCTCCGTAATAGATGTTGTACAAGAAATTACGCAGAATGTTAAACGTGGAATAGATGAAAGTATATCAAGGATCATAGAGAGGAACATACTTGATCCTTGACCTCAGTAACCGCACCTTTCTCCCTCCAATCAAAATCTTTAGGCAACCCCTCGACCTCAAGCATGGGTGCCTCCGCTCCAACCACACTGCCACGGCGGCCGCCAACATCAGCTACTCCAGTGTACATCCTCTTGAACTCCTCTTCCGTCAGGTCAGAGAACCGTGTGACTCCGTGGACGGCGGTGGGGTCCAACATCTGGTGCTCCGCCGCTTTGAGGACGTTTTTAGCGAATATACCAAGACGGTGGACGTACTCCTCCCGCGTAGAGTAGCTCTTGCCGTAGTCGGACATGAAAACCCGGAATTTTCTCTCCGTGTGTGTCCCGAGGAGATTGGGAAGTGGATCGTCTGTGACTTGGCGTATGGTGAGGTCCTCTAAGGAAGATGCCTCGCGGCAGAAGAAGATGGTGAATGTTATAACAAGTGCTAAGGTTTTCGCCACCATGGTCGCTCTGTATTGATGGATCTTAATTTGTTATGAGGCAGCCTTAATTTGTTAATCCCTTCGAGTCTCCATATAGCTTTGTGTGTGTGTGTGTGTGTATATATGAGTTTGAGGTAACGAAAGTCTTGGAGTTACATGCAGATAGGAGACACGTGGGATGTTTGCATGTAGAGTTGCACGATGAAGCTGCATGACACGTGTGGGTGTATCTCTTTTTGTCTCTTGGCCATTTTGGAGATTTTGGTACCGCCATGGCATTGATGCTTCTGTTGTAAACGTGTAGACAAAATTATCCGGTTTAGATTTGAGGGGAGTGACGTATGTTAGTGATCGCATTACGCGTTGTTAATTAGCTCTATAGTGATCGAGATTCCCATCAGCTTACATAGTACAAAATCGTACAAAAATACTATATACATTTGTTAATATGAAAATAGTAAGTTTAATTAATAGTTTTGTTGACTTACGGCATCAATTAAACAACCCAATCAAGACTCGGAGATCGAATTGTTTAATAATAAAGTCACTGGCTATACTTTAAGCTATAAAATATCGTACGTAAATATCTAATTGCCCGACCCCATTTTATACTTTCTGAATAGAAAATAGCTCAAACTTATTATTTACTCACACTCAGAAACAAATATAAATATCTAAAAAGTAGATCAATAAACCGACTGTAACACAAAAAAGAAAGATACTCTTCAACAAATCCATCTGAATTAGATTGTAATATAATACTATCGTGAACACTAAACACAATCCAACATAGAAAAACATACTACTCCTATTAGGCACACACACTATTTTTGAAGGTTTTTTTCAATTAATGCTACATTCATGCAAACTTAAAAGTGACAATAAAAAATAAAAGGTTAGGTGATTCTTGTACTAACTAAAAAAGGGAACCATACAAAACAAATTTTGAATCGTGTTATAGAGTCTTATTTGGTGTTAGACTAAAAATAGCTTAGATGTTACAAGCAACAAACTGAATTGTAGCACTAGCTCAGATTTATATTTATATTCCAGAGGTACACTATATTGGTTGCTTTGTCTCTTCAGTTTACATATGATTGATAATATGCAGAATAATTGACAGTCTTACTTACACTAATTCCACAACATTTTTATGCGAAATCATAGCGATTTATCAGAAAAAAAAAAATAACTTGTTTTTTTGTTGTTGTCAAGAAAATCATTTCTACCAAAGTTAAAAATCAATAATTAATTATCATTTTGAAAATTGTTAAAAATACATCATCTCCTCCTTCATCCTCGACACCATTCTCTCTCGGTTTCTGGTTTTGCCTGTAACAGTTTTCAACAATCCGGTCGACCTAATGCTTCTCCATCTCCGATCTCAGATTTCCCACCCATTCATCGCTTTAGAGGTAAACAAAAAAAATCAAAAATCTTATCCGTCTTTTGTAAATTTCTCTCATTTTCAATTCCTAGCGAAAGAATCAAAAACAATCTCATTCTCCTCTCACGACGAATCTTTTCTTTCTCTCTAGGGTTTTGATCAATCCACTTAACAACAACACACAAAAAGATTACATTTTTTATACCAAACCAAAAAAAAAAAATCCCAAAATGTTCAACAAAATCATGAAACTGGGTCAGAAGAAATTCAACAAATCCGATCAACACCACCAAGACATAAACTCCGGCAACAACAACGTCGTCCGCGCAAGCCGCACCACACCCGCCTCCGCCTCCTCTGCATCAAACGGCGAATCCCAGACGGCGGCTCCGTCTCCTTCCCAGACTCCGATTCACCCAATGTTCACATCAGCACCCACCCTCGAAGTCCTCCCGCTCCTCAAAGACGTCTCCTCCTCAGATCGTCCCCTCCTTTTCATGAAGAAAGCCCACATGTGCTCCTGCCAATGCGATTTCTCCGACACCCTGATAATGCCGCGCGAGAAAGAGATCAAGCGGCAGACCCTCCTCGAGCTCGTCGATTTCCTCCACTCCTCCTCCGGCAAAGTCAACGAGACCATGCAGAGCGAGCTCATCAGAATGGTCTCCGCCAACATCTTCCGGTGTCTCCCCCCGGCGCACCACGAGAACACCGGAGCTCCACCCGAAGGAAACGACCCGGAAGAGGAAGAGCCTTACCTCGAGCCCTGGTGGCCTCATCTCCAGCTCGTCTACGAGCTCCTCCTCCGCTACGTCGTCTCCTCAGAAATCGAGCCCAAAACCGCAAAAAAATTCATCAACCACACGTTCGTCTCGCGACTCCTCGACCTCTTCGACTCCGAGGATCCGAGGGAGAGAGAGTACTTGAAGACAGTCCTCCACAGGATCTACGGGAAGTTCATCTTCCACAGACCGTTCATCAGAGGCTCCATCTACAACATCTTCTACAAGTTCCTGTACGAGACGGAGCGGTGTATCGGCATCGGAGAGCTGCTGGAGATTCTCGGAAGCGTGATTAATGGGTTCACGGTGCCGATGAGAGAAGAGCATAGGCTTTATCTTGTGAAAGCGATCTTGCCGCTGCACAAGTCGAAAGGGATCTCGATTTACCACCAGCAGTTGTCGTATTGCGTGACGCAGTTTGTGGAGAAAGATTACAAACTGGCTGATACTGTGATCCGTGGGCTGTTGAAGTACTGGCCGTTGACGAATTGTCAGAAGGAGGTTCTCTTCTTGGGAGAGCTTGAAGAGGTTCTTGATGCTACTGAGTCGTTGGAGTTTCAGCAGTGTGTTGTTCCTCTGTTTACGCAGATTGGGAAATGTCTTAATAGCGCACACTTTCAGGTTTTTTATTGTCTCTCTCTCTCTCTCTCTCAACCTCAATTCATTATAGTTTGATAGAGAGGATTGTGGGGGAAATGCAGGTGGCGGAGAGAGCTCTGTTCTTGTGGAACAATGAACATATCGTGGGGTTGATTGCGCAGAACAAGGATGTGATATTTCCGATTATATTTGAAGCGTTGGAGAAGAACATGAAAGGGCATTGGAACCAAGCGGTGCATGGTTTGTCGGAGAATGTGAGGAGGATGTTTATGGAGATGGACACTGAGCTGTTTGAGGAGTGTGAGAAGCAACATCCGGAGAACGAAGCCAAGGCGTGTGAGTTGTTGGAACAGAGAGAATTGATATGGAAGAGGCTTGAAGAAGCTGCTGCAAACTAAAGTTGCCTCATTTTGATGATCGGATTTTTTTTAGCTTATCTTCGTTTTTCAAGAGTTAAATGTTTTTCTTTTTTTAGAAACTCTCTAATAATTTATTTGATTTGTTTGTTGTTTCATTTTTTTTTTTGGTCCCTTTGTAAATGGCGACCGGGAATATAAATCCACATGTCGCCGACCAGATCATGTCATAGAAGATAATTTTAGTGTTGTTCATTCATTGCAGCTTCTGCAAAATTTTGAAGTAGTATTTGACTAAGTGACAAGCATTGACGATGATGGCAATAATAAAGCATCACATTTTATATCTAGTTTTCTACAAGAACTACCTTTTAACGTAAATGTGGTTAAAAGAGAAGCAAGCATAGTGGAGAGTAACACAGAAAGAAAGATGAAGACGTTACAACTTGCATTTGATTCGATGGGACAAAGTTCGTCTTTGACGTTGCCTTTACATTCACATTCCAATTTGGGACTGGTTTGGTTTTGCTTTGTACTGTTGTGATTAGTGAACCAAAACAAATAAGAGAAAATAAAAAAATAATGGAGGGGCCACTTTACAGGCAAAAACTAACCAATCAAAATGAAGGGTCCAAATCCTATTAGTTATCCCCTTGCGGTCTACCACAATAATAGAGTTGATGATGACAAAACACAAATCATTAACAAAGACGACAATAATAATAACGTTAAACGCGGCGGAGGCGGTGCGTTGCTTCCGAATATCATTCCAAAGAAATTGTTGTCATCGCTGCTGCTTCCTCTTGCCGTACCACCCATACCGCTCATGCCTCCAATGCTACCGCCACCGCTGTTGCTGCTGCTGCCACCGCCTCCATACGGAGTATAAGAATCGCCACTTTGACCTTCATCATCCCTGCTCCCCAAAAAAACATTTCATTAATATAGAACAAGTTATGCCTAATAAAATCGACCATATAATGCTAAAACGAGGCATACATAATACATTAGTCAAAAAGGATACATTAATAATGTGATTTAGAAAAGGTGTTCATAGGAAAAGGAATCATCTTTTCTACGTAGGGGACCCTAAGGGGGGTCCCATCTCCGTGAACCACATTTTCCATCTTAATATCCCCCAAAAATTAATTGGCTTTTCGTATTATAAATTGACTAGGGGGCAAAAATTAACATATGATGTATCAAACAAAATGTAGATGCATCATCATTTACATGACTTAATTAAAATTTCCAAATTGTGTGACAGACAATTCGACCGTCCATATTCCCAAATTATAGTAATGAAAATATGGAAAATGGCAAGTGGGGTTTAATTCAGACACTAGTCAAGTTGGTCGGTATCCCAGGCGGACGATCACGTGCCTCTACTTGAATTCTAGAATACCTCCAAAATCCAACGTCGGATATTCTCAATGCGTTACTTTTTCTTAAAAAAAACCAGTGAGTTAGTTAAATTTGTTTACATTACTAATTCAAATTATTTTAGATTTACACATAAACTCAACTAACTATATTCGGCCTTTATTTGAGGAATAATGGGACATAAAACGTAATTAAGAAGAAAGGACCAGTTTTTTTAATCCTATTTTAGTAGGGTGACTAACTAGACAAATTAACTCGACCTAGACAATATCTAGTCTCCATAACTATTAATGTGAACGTAACTAGACTCAAAAAGGAAGAACTTCAAACACAAGAAAAATAGTAAAAAATACGATCATGCCCTAATCACACGCTTTCACAGCTAATCTAGTTACATATACTAATATACTACATTAGACATAGAAATGGAAGATCATGCATCATTTTTATAATTGTTTTTTTTGCTAAATAGATCAAAATAAAAAGAAGAGGAAAAAAAGGTACCTGGGAGCGCCGAAAACGCCAGCGTTTCGAGTGAGCTGGTCTACGAGAGCGGAAGCTTTAGGCTCCAAACTGGAAGCTTTAGAGTACATAGTGCTCATTGATTCACCAGACGCCACAAAGAAAGCTCCGTTCTCCATCAGATCTCCTTCCGTTCTCCAGTTCCAATTCGACCACTCCCCATCGTCCCTCGAGTCCACTCGCTTCGTCACCTGCTTTCACACCAAATTTTCACCACTGATTAGCATTCTGTGACCTCACGCGCCGCCGCCGGCGTGTGGTGTTAAAAAGGGTAAATTTTTATTTTTTAAAAAAGTATGTGGACGTAACAGAGAGAAGCATCCCACATGGCCTGTCATACACTACTATACATACCATCACTATCTCACACTCTCACTCCTCCTAGACCCGATTCTAGCCAATAGAATAAGATTCTTTTACTATTCATAGTTTTGCTCCAAGAAAAAAGATTTAACAACTGTCCATGTGGAAGATGAACTGGATTCAAAGGACCATACTTTCAACATTTAACCAGAGAAAACCCACGAATCAAGATTAGTCAATTAAACCTAACTAACTAAACCCTAAAAAGTTACAGTATGAATCAATTAAACCATAAAGCTACATACATAATCAAAAAAGGAAAGATTTTTTTCGATTTAATTGTGAAAAGTTTCTAAATTTATTTACCTCTTTGGCGCTAGGATCAGAAGGAGCAGCGTAACGATTCCCTTGACTGTTAATAGTTGGATTACCACTACCACCAATCGCGTACATCTTCCACGACGTGAAATCGTTGTTGACGACATGGATGTAGCCTCTCCGACACCTCGGCATCCTCTGAACAAGCCCTTGACCGAAATGGTTGAACGCAATCGTCACCTGCATCCCCGTATCCGGCGCGTAGCTATCGTCGTGGCCCAGCAGCATCACCTCGTCGTGGTGCGTGAAGTAATTGTTCGATATCGTTATCGCCGTCGAGCCCAGCACGGCGTCGATGAGCCCGTCGGAGCAGTGGCTCATGGAGCAGTGGTCGACCCAGATCTTCTGAGATCCGAAAATGGAGATCCCGTCTCCGTCGGATCTGCCTCGTTTTCCGGCTTTCGTGGGGGAAGCGGCCACGACGGCGCCGCCGGAAGGTTTGCAGTCGTAGATGTGGAGGTTGTGGATGATGACGTGTTGCACGTACTGGATTGTTAAGCAGCCGTTTCCGGTGATGTGAACGGCGGATCCGCGGCCGTCTAGGGTTTTGTAGCTGTTGATAATGAGCTCCTCTTTGAGTCTGATGAACATGTTGGAGGAGAAGACGATCCAGAGCGGCTCCTCTTGGATTACGCCGTAACGGAGTGTTCCTTGAGTTGGGTTAGCTGGGTTGTTGTCGGAGGAGTCTGTGACGACGTAGATCCGGCCGTTTTTGCCGCCGAGTGTGCCGCGGCCGAAGCCGATTGAGCAGTCGGCGAGTCTCTGGCGGTTGGATGCCCAGTCGGAGGAGTCGCAACGCCAGCAATCGTCGATTGGGTTTCCGGTACGGCAACTGGATGAGGAAGATGATGATGAGGAGGAGGAGCTGAGTTGTCTCCGGGAGAGGGATGCATTGACACTCCTGTGAGAATGGAGGAAGAAGAGAGCTTGAGATGTTTTCTATGGATTTTGTATGGAAAATGTGGAAAGGAGAGAGAAGGAATTATTGTTATTACCTTAAGACGTGGAGAGCGACGGAATCGGGAGAAGGGTGTTGGTGAGGGAGAGTGAGATTTAGGGAGTTAGTGGCTTCGAGGAGTGTGAAGAAGATGCAGAGGAGGAAAATGGTGCTTGAGAAGTGAGGTGGAAGCATCTTTAATGGCGGATTGTGACTTATTGTGCTTGATTTTAGGGAATTTTTTTAGCTATTTCGCCGGAAGGAAGCAGAGCATTGGGCTGGACTCTGGAAGTTGTAGGTTGTGAGTAAGTGAGTATCAGAAGAAGAATGTTGGTTGAGAAATGTGAGGAAATAGAAGCAGAGAAGGATTTGAGATCCACATGGGAGAGAGCTTTGGAGAAGAAGAAGAAGCTGCTCTCTACTCTCTCTCTATCTCTCTCTCTCTCTCTCTCTGCCTCTATCCTCTCTGCTGGAAACAAGACTAATAATAATAGGTTTTCTTCTTGAGCTGTTTGATTTTCTGTCTCACTTGGGAATTTGTGTCCCTCTATTTGTTTTAGCATGGAGGTTGATTAAACTTTGGGTCTCATACAAGCTTATATTATTATTGGGCCTAGAGGAGACAAGCACGGCCCATAATCAGGCCTATTTAGATCATTTGAGACATGCCCGTAATTAAACTATTCGCTAACCCGATTAATTAGAACCCGAACGGTTACGTTGAGTAGGACGACGAAGACGAAGCTTTGTCGTCCAGATTCCAGAATTCCGATCCTCAGCGATTCCAGTAACATCTGATAAACCAACTCCGTCAGTGACCTTTCTTCATCTTCGCCATTTCGATTCAAGGTTTAGTTACATTTACCCTTTCTCGATTCTTAGCTCAGACAACCAGTCTATTCACTATTCAGAATTGAAATGGCTCTTAATATCGACAAATGCTTTCTTCGAGCACTTCCGGTTTATCTTCTGATTTTGGTTCCCTGCATCCTCTTTGTATATGTGTATTTGTTTTTTTTCTAGTCTTAAAGATGTTTTCTTGTGTTTGTTTTTCATCTTCTTTATCAGGGTCCGGAAGAGCAAGAACAACAGTATCTTGGGTTTGTAAAGATATGGACAGAATCAGTGGCTTAGCTGATGAATTGCTTATCAAGATATTATTGTTAGTTCCGACAAAAGTTGCTGTATCCACTAGCATTCTGTCGAAACGTTGGGAGTACCTTTGGATGTGGTTGCCTAAACTTGAGTTCGGTCATCGTCATTCTTCACCCTCTGAATCCAAGAGTTTAGAGTGTTTTCTTGAAAGAAATCTGCCATTACATAGAGCTCCGGTTATAAAAACCTTGCGTCTTGACTTGGATTCAGATTTTAAATCTGAGAATATCAAGATGTGGGTTATGGTAGCAGTTTCTCACTGCATACGTAAGCTAAAGATTGTTTACAGTTCTTATCCGGAGAAGCCCAACATATTGCCGAGTAACTTGTATACCAGTAAATCTCTCGTGACCTTGAAACTCCAAGGTGATATTCTCTTGGATGCTCCTCGAATGGTTTCTCTTCCCTCTCTCAAGATTTTGCAGCTTACAGAAGTGAGATACTCCAGTGAAGAATCTTTTCAACGGCTTCTATCTAATTCCCCAGTTCTTGAAGATCCATCCGTGGAATTAAATTGTGACACACACGCCATGGGAAAGTTAACTGTTGTTGTGCCACCTTTGCAGCGTTTATCACTCTATATACCCGCTGATTATGAGATAGTTGGGGTAGTGATAAAAACTCCTTCTTTAAAGTATTTTAAACTTATAGATTATAATACAGAGAGTCACTACTATTTGATTGAGAACATGCCTGACCTGATCGAGGCACATTTAGATGTTGAATTCCCTAACATCGAGAGTCTCATGGCATCAGTCACATCTGTCAAGCGTCTTGCAATATGTTCAGAGGTGATCATTTTCCATCTGTCAACTCATTTTCTTTATATTAATATTTGTTAACAATTTTAATATTGTGCCTAGGCTATGTATGGTGAAGGTGTTGCCTTCACCCAGCTTGAACATCTGAAGCTATGCAGCTGCAAGGAGCATTTGCCGAATCTGCTCTTCCGGCTGCTCGAAGATTCTTCAAACTTACAAGTACTAAAGATTTTCCACATGAGTACTGTAAGTATGTTTGTTGAACTACTTTTCTTTTTGTCGGATGCACAATATGGCTTTAATCTTATCCTTATGTTTGGTCACAGGCTCATGAACTCACTGGAATGGGTTACTTGAATCTACCAAGTACTGTTCCTGAATGCCTTTTTTCGAGTCTGCAAACTCTCAACTGGTGGGGATACAAAGGAACACCGGAGGAGAGAGAGATTGTAGTTTATATCTTGCAAAATGCTCATCACTTAAAGACTGCAGCAATCACGTCTTTTGAACATGAGGTTCCAAAGTTTGAGATGATTAAGGAGTTGGCACAATCTTCTAGAGCTTCAGCTACATGCCAGCTCATGTTCCATTGAGTATTTGATCATTAATATTAGGCTTCTTCTTGCATGTGTTGGGAATTCGGACTCGTATGTATGCTTTGACGTCAACTCTGGGAACTTGTTATTGTCTACAAACATTCCTCTATATATGTAATATGTTGTCCACTGAAAACAAATTATGTTGCCTGAATTTTTATTAGTTTTTGGCTAAGTGCTGTTTGGCAGCAGGGTTTGTTCTATCCTTCTTCCCACTATGTGTTTGTGGCTCTTAAATACACTCTTACCTCTTTCAGTTACTCAAAATTCCAAATCTTAAAATCACCACGAAAAATGGCTCTCCGATCAATCAAAACGCCGACCTTGATAACTCCCGCCGGCGTTGTCTCCTCCTCAACTGTCACCAAGCCTCAGTCTTTCAGATTACCCTCTAAACTGACGGCGTCACTCGCCGTCCACAACCGCCATCCATCATCGATCTACGGCATCTGTTCGAATCTCAAACTCAAACCAGCAGCTCATTCTTCTTCCGCCGCGAAATTCCGGTGCTCAGCGTCGGCGCTGACGCCGCAACTTAGAGATACGCTGGAGAAACTGGTGAGTTCGGAGAAAGTGGTGCTCTTTATGAAAGGGACGAGAGATTTCCCGATGTGCGGATTCTCCAACACGGTGGTTCAGATCCTGAAGAACTTGAACGTGCCTTTCGAGGATGTGAACATTCTGGAGAACGAGATGCTGAGGCAGGGGCTCAAAGAGTACTCGAATTGGCCGACTTTCCCTCAGCTTTACATCGGCGGCGAGTTTTTCGGTGGTTGTGATATCACTCTTGAGGCGTTTCAGAGTGGAGAGTTGCAGGAAGTGGTGGAAAGAGCTATTTGTTCTTGAAGCTGATCAATAGTTTGTATTGATTTGAATTTCGATGCCTGGATTTGGTTTTTTTTTTGTGCTGTTAAGAAATTGATCTATCAACGTGCTGAACAAAAGTCTTCTTGATGTCTCAGAGTTTGTGGCTGTAACATAAGAGACATATTGTATGATGGATTTAGCTATAGAACAGTGGTACTTTGTATTTCAAAATCTATACATTAATAATGTTGATCCTTTTGAAATGTGCCTTTTTTTCCGTTTGTTTGGTCTGCACTTTTGTGTTGTTGAGATGTTGATGAGCCGAAGATCAATCTTTAAAGATTCCAGTATCTTTGTCTCTTTGAGTATTAGTCTTAGGTTCCTGTGTTGGTTCTTGAAGATGGGCTTGAATGAGAAACGGAATGAAAGAAATTTAGCTTCAAGGATTGTGACCAATCACTGGTACAATGTGATAGAGAAGGTCAAGTTGAAGACTTGGAGTCTGAGTTGTTGAAAGCTCAAAGTAAAGAAGCAGAGGCTGAGCTGGCAGTGGAATCTATTGAGCTTGCAGAGAAGAGAAGACTCAAGTTGTGCATTGGAGAAAGGAGAAGCGGTTATTCTAGTCAAGAGAAGAAAATTAGCTAGAGACTTGTTTTGTTTGCTTCATGCTTGTTTTAGGTAAAGGCAACAACATGTCTTTAGTTCAAGGGTATATAAAGCTCAAAAGTTGGAATCTGTAGTTGCAAACAGACCTGCGTGGAGATGATTTATCAAAACCGGTTTAACATTTGTTAAAAGGATATATTCTGGTTTAACAAGATCATCATCCTAGCAACTGATTTTTCAAATTAATGTCATTGAATATTTTGTCTTTCTATGATGTTTCCTGGATTGAATATTTGTCTTTCTATGATAGACCAAACAGTTTCACCAAACCTGTGTACTTTTAGAAATACTTTAAATTTAGCTGGTCACAAAAACTTGACTAGATTTTGTGTGACAATTTGTGTAGTTTTGTATACAAATTTTGGCTCCATCAGATTTATCTTTTTGCCTGTGGATAGATAGGTGGCAAAGAGGTAATTATAGATTCGGTGTTTATCTGAACCACACAGAGCAGATGAGAGAACATGATATAGAGAATACACGTGGCCCAATGAAAAAGCCACGCAGGCTCTCTCTAGCCAATTGCAATCTGATTTTAGATTCGCTTCCTACATAACCTTACTTATACGATCTCTCTTCCTCACTGACATTTCCAAACCACCTCTCTCCTTCACATATTTTCTCTTTGTGGTTAATAGAAAAGGAACAATGGCGTCGAACTCGCTCATGAGCTGCGGCATCGCCGCCGTGTACCCTTCGCTTCTGTCTTCTTCAAAGTCTAAATTCGTCTCCGCCGGAGTTCCGCTACCCAACGCCGGTAATGTCGGCCGTATCAAAATGGCCGCTCACTGGATGCCCGGCGAGCCACGACCGGCTTACCTCGACGGTTCTGCTCCTGGGTACGCAAAAATCACACCTTCTCAACTCTGTTTTGACAATCGATGTTCTGTTTCTTGCTCAAATTTGTTAGATTCGTGCTCAAAGAATTGAAATCCCTTTTGATGGGTTTTGATTGCAACATTGGACGGCTTTTGAAAGTTTCAGTTTTTAAGTTACTTGTGATACACATCACATGATTCACACTACAGAAATTAGTCTCCTTTTGCTCTGTTTCTGCATACTATGAAACCCTTAAGATGTGTGTCTAGAGAGAGAAATGATTGAAACCCTTTTTGATGACATCAAGGTTCTGATTTTAACGTTGGAGGCTTTGAAAAGCTTCAATTTTTAAGCTATTGGATGCAAATTTGTGCAGTGACTTTGGGTTTGACCCACTTGGACTTGGAGAGGTTCCAGCGAACCTTGAGAGATACAAAGAATCAGAGCTCATCCACTGTAGATGGGCTATGCTCGCTGTTGTAAGTTTCAGTTTACTTCAATATCAAATTCATAAAGGTTAAGTCTTTTTACGTTTTGATCTAATGGACAGTTGGTTTATGGTTTGGTGTGAAATGCAGCCAGGGATTTTGGTACCAGAGGCTTTGGGATATGGAAACTGGGTCAAGGCTCAAGAATGGGCAGCATTACCTGGAGGACAAGCCACTTACTTGGGAAACCCTGTCCCGTGGGGTACTTTGCCCACAATCTTGGCCATAGAGTTCTTAGCTGTTGCCTTCGTTGAGCACCAGAGAAGCATGGAGAAAGACCCCGAGAAGAAGAAGTACCCGGGAGGTGCATTCGACCCGCTTGGATACTCCAAAGACCCGAAGAAGTTCGAGGAGTTGAAAGTTAAGGAGATCAAGAACGGTAAAAACAAACACAAACACATCTTACCAACTTTCTTGAATCAGGTTTTGAATGAAATGTATATTCTAAATGTGATGTGTTTTTGTTTGTGTGGGTGTGTTAGGGAGGCTTGCGTTGTTGGCGTTTGTAGGCTTCTGTGTGCAACAATCGGCTTACCCAGGCACGGGACCATTGGAGAACTTGGCTACTCACTTGGCTGATCCATGGCACAAAAACATTGGCGATATTGTTATCCCTTTCAACTAGTGACTGTAAAAAAGAATGAAATAGTAATATTATCTTATGAGCTTTAATGTGTATCAAAACTCTTTGTGTAATGAAAGACAGATTGTGAAACTTGTATTTTGTCTCGGTGATGGATTGCTCGTGTGAGCTTGAATTCTAAGTAAATGAATGAATCTTTTGAATCGGTTTTACGAACCCAAATGTGGTTAACTTGTAATATCTGATCCTAGTTTATACTGAAATATTATGCTTCTTTGAAACCAAAATTTACATCATTTAGATTTTAGGAACGAAATGAATCACAAATTCCATTACAGAAGAGAAGAGAACATTGAAGGTGTTGTTACTTGTTAGCTCATGAATTTTAGTTGGACTTTTTCAACTCCATCCAAACCAAAAATAACTTTTCTTTATACATAACATGATAAATACACTATTGATCATCCAAACACAAGACGTTAATTCACACAAGACGTTAATCCACGCAAGACGTTAGTCCACGCATGTATTTTTACCTAATCTACATTTAAATATTATGATGTTAATCACTTGTTAAACGATGTACTTTATCAAAGTTCTAAAAAGTACTTTTCACGAAATTCACATACAACTATGTGTTTCCCTTTTCCGGTCGAGTCATATGTTATTTGGATTAACAATTAGGTGCTTAAGTTCTAGGAGAATGATGAGGTATTCGATGGATTTCTTTTAAGTTATAGGTTTAAATGTAATGGTTATATATTATATGATTAATTGTTCATTGTTGTCCCTATATAATTTATAGTAAAGAATTAGTTAGCTATAATATGTGTTTAAAATATGAAACAAGGTGAGTTTTCAACTAATAAATCTTCATATTCAACATGTGACAAAATTTCATCATTTCTTTTCACATATAGTAAAGGTCATGGAGTTATCTTCCTAATCACATCCACGTAAGATTGAAAGAGAGAGTTGTGCCTACTGTCATTTGTTTTATCATTTGCGTGGGACATGCTGCTTCAATTTTCTTTCCCATTGACCCCAAAGATAGATCTGTATAATGGTGGATAGATATAGATTTATTACTCATCTACCAACAAAGTAAACACTTAAAATTATTTTTTTAATTCCTTTCTCTTTTGGCTCTTATTCCTTTTAAGCCTTTATTTTTAGTCAAGATCTAAATTTACATATATACCTAAAAGAAAAGGGTACAAAAAATGATGTTTCAATCCTCCCACCAAAATTTCTGCTGATACTTCCGCATTAAGGTAAATCCTCTTTCCTCTTTTCTTCTTATCCAATTTTTTTTATCATTTTCTCAAGAACATTTTTAGCTTCTCCAAAGAAAAATAGTTAGATCTTGAATGCATTTCTGATCTTTTTGGATCTTTGAATATATACTTAACCGGAAAAATGCCATTTGTTTTTCAATAACCTTCTTAAGAAGATAGATTATGAAGGGAGTTTTCAATTGCAGAACTTGTTCTATGTGAAAAAAAAAAGTTTGGTTTTTGTTTTCTTCTGTTCAAATGAGTTTGTTGTTGGATATGATTTATAGAGAAATGTTGTTTGACAGATTTTTTCTACCTTCATAAATGTATTGTTTTTTTCTGAGAAATGTGGTGTTCTCGTTTATTGAATCTTCTAGGTTCTCCACAAGCTGATTGATGAAATTGTCAATGAGGTAAATTAAAGCAACCCCTTCTTGTAATTAACAGTTTCATTCTTTTTGAGTTTGGTTTTAATAAAGAATCGGTTTAATGTTTGTTTCCTATCAGCTTGTGTGGAAACCTTTGATGTTATTGTAAGAAGGGTGTGATTTGGTATAATCGAGTTTCTTTCATAAAGGAATGATCATTCGATTCAATCAAAAATGGAGCTTTTGACTGCAAATTGTGTGTCCACCGATAACAAACCTCTTGAGCTTTCCAAATTGGTCATAGAAGACAACAGCTCCGTTAAAAAGAACACCGAAAGCAACCTTACACTTGTCAATCATGGTACATTTCCACATTTCAAGCTTAAGATAATGATTTGCTTCTAATCAAATGACGTTAAGCATCTTTCGTGATTGTAGGTGCAAAGTTGTGGCAAGAGAGCAGGGAAAAATGGGTGGGAGATCAATCTCGACAAAGAAAAAAACCTACAAAGGATCAGATCATAAGGTATTTTTGTTTCATCCAACTTCTTTAGGTCATTAAATAATGGCATCATATTAAGATCTTGAGTTTCTTGCAGCTGGTCTACTACATATGAAGATCTTCTCTCAACTCATGAACCTTTCACTGAGTCGATTCCTTTACCCGTAAGCTTAATCTAATCTCCCCCATCTTATAAAAAGAAGCTGCTAAAATCATTCTACAACCTACTGAATTTGCCATATGATATTTATGCAGGAGATGGTGGACTTTCTGGTCGATATTTGGTACGACGAAGGCCTTTATGATTAGAAGAATCTAACAGTGCCACGGACTAGATTGACAAAAGAACAAAGAAGAAGAGATTCAATTATGATGTGAAGGTAATATCATTAGGAGTTATATCTCCTAAGAAAAAAGACAGTGACTCACATACTCCATTTGTAGCATTTATATGATTGTTGTTATATGAGAAGAAACAATGATTGCAAAATGAAATTTCCAAGTAAGATTTTGATTGCTTTACAACAAAGTACAACATCAGTGATGCATCGGTTTATAGCAAAGACGTAAGAGACTTGGCCGTATGAAATTTCAATCCAAATTGGGTATTGACTACAGATTTGTTACACAAATGAATCAAGAACGTAGCGAAACATCAAAAAAACAGTTCACAAAAATTAGCAATGGATAGAGTATATCAAATAAATGATCACAGCAGATAACCTCCTAACATTTTATCTTTTCTTCTTGGTTGTTGTCATCCACATATATCATCTCGATCACAAAGTCAATCTAATGACACTCTCACAGACTCAGCTAAGAATCTGTACCACTCGCCTGTTACGTTATGTACATGTCTTTTGATTTTTACCTCTTTGTTCAGCTTGAGAAGTAAGGATTTGATTTGAGTATCTTCTTTGCTAAGCTCCGTATGTCATCTCTACTCGACTCCACTGATATTCTTACAATCTCTGTCACGCTTCCCGTTCTCTTGAAATCATTCGCATTTTCCTCTGCATCGAAAAGAGGAGAGAAATGTATTAGTCATGTCCCAAACCACACACACAAACTTTTGATAACAGAACATGTGAAATCAGCTTTACTCGACTTAATAGTGTCTTACCATTTTGAGCTAAATGGCAAAGCGCAAGCTCAATGTGACGTTGTGTTGATGCAGAATCAATATGTGAGTTTGAGGTCAGCCATTCAAGAACACCCTCTTCCAGAAGAAGAGAACGTCCTTTTCTACGCCCTGCAATTCATAAGATCATTCTCAAGGCATTCTAATGATTGACTTGGACATGCATTTCTTTAAGGTATATTTGTAAGCAAACCTTGCAGAATTTCTCGAGTTTCACACTTTGCAAAATTTGCCATCCCTCTTGCCACTTGAGCAATGATATCTATGTTTCCGGACTGGGCCATCGTGAGTAGTCCCTTGATGCCTTCCTCTTCTTTCAGAAGCTTAAGAAACTTCTCTGTTTGTGCAAAACACAGCAAGAGTTAGATACGTACTTAACATCCCAACACAAAGCTTCTTCCAATATCTTTGCTTTTGTATATGCTGTATAGTGAACACATGCATTGGTGCAGAGAGAATAGAACTGATTAACAATGTCTGATGCTGGAAGTTATCAGAGCCATAATTCTTAGTCTCGTGCTCACCGTTTCCGCATAGATTGGCAAGTGCACCAGCTACCATTCTCAGAGTCTGTGGATCATCTGTTTTGGTCACCATCTTTGCTAGCAGTTGAGCACCTCCTTTGTTCATTATTAGATCTTGACTCTTCTCTGCAGTTGATAATTAATGAAAACATATAAATAAACTTTTCCATCCTTACCATGTAAATGAAAGCAACCATATTCTCGAAACAACTAATATCTTAAAAGCACTTGAACCACCAAGAGAAGTGCTCACCGTTCATTGCTAAATTAGCGATTGCACCAGAAGCCACTCTAAGAATCGTTGAATTCTGAGATGACTGCACAAGCATAAGCAAAGCTTCTACACCTCCTTCCTCCACAATCTTCGCCTGATTAGATTCTAAACAAAATACACACAGAGAATGCGAGTCATTTAGGTACCATGTCATACAGAGAATCCACTTGTAATTGTAGAGGGGAAATGTTTTTTTTTAGAATATATCACACACCTTCAGCGGCAAGATTAGCCACCACTTTTACAGCTTGGATTTGAACTTCCAAGTCTTCAGACTTAATTAGGTGTAATATCTTCTGAACTCCAACTGAAACCGAAGTAGAAAGAAGTTGTCAATTGGACTGTCCCATAATGTAACGAAATATGAGCATGTCTAATCTAAAAAGAGCTCAAATCCATGAGAAAGAAAAAATTATGCCTTCTTCACAAAGTCTTGCCATGGTAGCTCTCTGACCAGAAAGCGACTTTTTTAACCCTTGTGATCTCTGTGAGCTTGTTAGATTTCCAGATTCTGACGATCCTTTTGGATGATCTTCCTTCATACGCTTGTCCTGTGGAATGAAAAATGGAACTTAGCAAGACCATGAAGTACAATACAGAGTGACAAAGGTGAAACAAGCTAATTGTGTAATTCACCTCAACAACGATTTCACTTTCCCTTAGATTCTTCTTTAGTTTGGAAAGCTCACTTTCCATTTGCTTTCTCTGCTTTTCTTCCAAAAGGAGCCTTTCCTTCATATCCCTAACCTCTTCACCAAGTTGTTCCTATGTAACACAAATTTTGTAGATATATTATTAGCAGTTGGATGTTTTGAATATGACCAAATCTGAACAACAAGTAAGCAGATGTTTAAGCGTCATACCTTTTGGTGGAGAAGATCATCATAGTCTAATTTCACTGTCTGGAGTTCGTCTACTGTTGATTCATACATTTGTGAAAGTTCTTCTAATTTTTTCTTGAGTTCGTTTGTTTCTTCATTTTCCTGGATCCAAAACCAAGAGAAACAAAATTAGCGAGAGAAAGTTCTGCAATAGCTGACACACAAGATACAGTTTGTATAAATAATAAAGGTAAAACAATTCATCTGAAAAGAAAAGAGTCGAAACTATCATCCTTATTGATATCCAGTTTAAGAGATTAGGAATAAGCCTAACCTGTGATAAAACTTGACGATCGCTTATAATCCGTTTCATTTGTCTAAGTTGCTCTTCTGCAGCGTCAGACCGAGCATGTTCATCTTCCAATTTCTTCTGCAGCTCTGCGATTTTAGATTCATACGTGTATGTGGTTTCCGCAAGTTCCCTCTGATACTGATAGTTGCCTTTCTCTTGTTCCTACCAACAGCAATAAATACAATTTAGTTCAAACAGAAAACTAACGCATTCAAATCTAAGCTCTAACAATTGATGATAACCAAAAAAAAAGGTTTAGTATTAACTAACATGAATAGACTTCTGCTGATTACTCAAAACATTTTTCATTTCGTTCAACTGTTGCTCGGCGTTTGTTGACCGGGCTTGTTCATCCTCAACCCGCCGAACCAAATCCGCAATTTTCTTCTCATATGCTTGACTAGCATCTGCAAGTTTTTCCTGATATGCTGAATTTTCCAGCTGTTGCTGCTACTAACAATTAAAAGAACACTGTCAGAGAGTCCATCAACTACACACTGTTAAAAGCTAGAAGTATTGAGAAAAAGTGTACCTTGGTGTTTTTCAAGTTCATCTCTAACTGTATGGCTTTGTCATGCATTAGATCACATTGATCTTTCTGCAGCTGCAAATCCTTCAAAAGCTCTTTCATACGGAGCTCCAAGCGAGCATTTTCCTTCTCCAAGAACTGTAAGTCATATACACACCCCTCAAAGTATAAGCACCAGCTTTTGAATATTGTATCGAAAAATAGGTATCAATATCAAGAATCTCGACAGTAGTAGTTGAATGTCAATCACTTATCAAAAGAAGAGACATAGATACCTTGGACCTTGTAACCGCGTTCTTTTCTGCCTCAGCGAAAGAGTTTTCACATTCTCTCAACCTTTTCTCTAACTCGTGTTTCTCACTGTTTCTTAGTTTGTTTTGTCTTTCAACTTCTGCAGTAAGATGGTCCACCTGAGTCTCAAGCTTCCGACACAAACTTTCATAATCGAATTCTTCTTTAAGCTTTACCATGTTTACTATTTTCATTGCCTGTCAAGCAATACATGACCAATAAGACACTACTGCAGAGAACAGAGAAGAACAGATACTGTTGATTTAACATGATAACTGACCCTTTGTCCGAACATAATTGTGCTAGTGGTTTCTGCATGATACCGTGCAGATGGCCCAATGGTTATTATAAGTGAAGTCCTCGCAGAACCTATTTGTTCAGAGTCAAAAAACCAAATTTCAAAATTTATGTCACTGACACAAGAGAAACTAGGAAGACATGAAAAATGTATAAGACATATAAGTGAGCCACGCTTATGAGTTCTAACATAAATAGACATCTACGGAATTTTATAGATGGCTCAATAAAATTATGGTAAGACTAACCTCCAAAAGAATCACGAAGAAGCCTTGTTAGCTTAGAGTCTCTAGTCGGTATATGAGAACTGCCTTCAGCCAATGCATTAATGCATTTTCCCAGGGATGTCAGTGAAAGATTAATGAATTTTGCCTCTTCAATCAAGTGGCCATCAGTGCCTTCAGAAACAAAACAAAAAACACAGAATATAAGTCAATCATAAACTACTTGATTAAACATGAATGGTTATATGAACAGTGAAGGACTTCAAACCAGATTTATTAATTCTTTCAGAACCAGCAAGATCCACAATTAGCAGTTTGCTCTTTCTAACTCTGGGAATGCCTTTATCTCCCAAGGCTTCAGGTTTAGTTCCCGGGTCAGTCTTTTCGTTCATAGCCCGCCTAACGTGAACCTGCAAAGAATATCACGTTTCATTAATTGGTAGATAAAACACATGGATTTTGTCGAAGAACAAGAAACTATATAGACCAAAAGCACACCGTGAGAATAGCATGACTACGTGAGGATTCTGTATTCATCTTTGTATTTGCTGCATGACGGTTTGTCTCACCGACTTGCAAAACCTGCAAGAAATGGTCTAGATCTTGAACGTTAACCACGGTCGCGCCTGGTACTGATACTTCCCCAGTCTTCGCATCCTCATTGATTGAAATGTTGATTTTCTCAGGTGCAAGAAGATCTTGTATAGTTTCCATGTAAAGCTGTAGAGTTACAAGTAGATATATAGATATCAGGCATGGATCTTATATAAGCTCTACAAGCACTTCGAAATTCACAAGGTGACCAGCATCTAAGCATTGAAGTGATACTCTAAAAAAGAAAGTGCATTGTCACACCTGCAAATAAGAGATCTCCACGGAAACAGAAGCAGAAGTTGAGCTGACAAGTATATCCTCTAGAGCTCTAACCATAATACCACGCTCGGCTGCATCATCTTTACCGATTTTTCCTACCGTATAAGTTTTACCAGTGCCAGTTTGGCCGTAAGCCATAATAGTACCATTGTATCCATTCAAAACACCCTGCAGATTCAGTGTAGTGAATATCGACAATCAAACAAAAGAAACATTCTTCTCAACATCTCAGTAAATTCTACATGAGAAGGTTCTCTAACCTCAACTACAGGTTTTGCTACTCCTTCATAGACACGCTTCTGAGAAGCTGTGTCTGTAAAAACTTCGTCAAATTTATAGGACTCAGAGTTCCAGTTGTTCTTCCTCAACTTAAGCCGCTTTATCTGCATTGAACAAAAACAAAACTTTCTAAGGATCTTTGGTACCAAAGCTTTGGAGAGAGAGAGAGAGAGAGAGAGAGAAGCCATTGTTACTCACCTCAGGTTGTAACTCAACAAGATCAGCAAAGTCAGCATCAGATTTAAGCTCTTCTCCGTTTCGAGGTCGAACTCTTACAGAAACTCTCACCCTCCCAGGATCTACAGTGAAGTAGGAAAATTCAAATACGAATATCAAAGTTCCAATCCCACAATATTAAAAATCAGTACTTTGCAAAATTTTGACAATTTTATTGGAGGCACAACATTTAGGCGTCCTCTAATGTTATCTAATTTCAATTTCAGATAAATGAAACCAACCAAAATCCACCAATCCGAATCAATAATCCCCAAATCGACTGTAGCATTTGCCCTAGACTGAAAGTCAAATCCGTTGAAGAGCATGAAAAAGCTCTCATCTTTCAAATGTCGAATCGTACGGATACACGAAGAGAGAGGGAAGGAGAAGAGAGAGAAAAAAGGACGGACCATTGTCGTCGTCGAAGTCTTTAGACTGGGATCGGCGGACGGGAGTGCCGGAGCGGCGGGTAGAAGGAGAAGAGGCGGAGACGGAGGCGGAGGAGGCTGAGGAGGAAGGTCGATCTTTAGGGCGAGAAGAGTGGCTAATCGGAGCTCCTCCGGGAGCGATGAGAGAGGTTCGAGCGGGTAAATTCAAGGAAGAGGAAGAGAGAGAAGCGGGATTGCTGGGAGGCAAGTGCTGCTGGATACGCTCCGCCGCGTGTTTCGCCGACGATCTGACGGCGGAGGAGTTTGAGGAAGTCATAGTGGCTCGCACGAAAGGGGCAGAGCGAGAACAGGATAGAGAGATAGAGAGAGAGTAGAAGGAGACAAAAGGGAGAGAGAAAGAGAGAGAGTGGAGAGTTTCAAAGAAGGGAATTTGAAAATTTCGTGGGGAAAGAGAGAGAAGAGAGGGAGGCACGACGAGAGAGAGAGAGACTGACTGTGAGCGAAAATGGATTCCCGCGTTCGTGGATTAGTGGGGTGACGTTTTAATTTTTGTTTTTAACTTTGTTATTTGCATCTCTCTTCTTTTTACACTTGGCACAAATCAAATCAGCTTGTTCATCACAAATTTGAATTTTCGATAGAAGCTGAAAATCATAAACATCATTTAAATTTGTGGAATTTATACAAGTTGAGTGAGGTAGACAAAATTTCAAGGCCTAATGATCTTTGTCTCATCAATTATTTGAAACCTTAACATCAAAAACCCCCTTAAAAAAAATCATGATGTAAAGGTTAACATCTGAGATCATATGTTAAGTACGTATGGACCATACTTTTCTTGGACCCGCTTACTGATGACAAACGATGTCTCGGGAATTAATGTGAAAACATTCATGGCTAATGGCTTAGTGTTGAACTGAATTTTCCACTTAGTTGTTTGTAATTCATGAGTTTGGAGTTTAGTTTAGAGACTACCATAGATGTTTTTGTGTGTGATAATTTTTTACATAACCATAGATGTTGCTAGCAATATGTATGTACTTCCGTTAAGTTTTTGTGCACTTCAAAGGAGTCAATGTCATGTAAATCTTTTCAAAAATATTAACAAGCATATGCCCATTTACTAAGCCCATTTACAGACTTATGAGGCCCATTTTGTCTTTTAAATTTTTAATTATCTTCTCCACCGTGATCTTTCTTTACAGTGGACTAACGCCGGTGGTGGAAAATCCGGAGAAAGGATCGATCATCTATTGATCATCGTCCATGGCGCAGATCCCTAGCTTGGATAATGCTCCTCTCAATCTCAAATCTATTAGGTGAGTCGGGTTAATTTCGAATTCTCATAATGAGAGTTGAATTGATCGTTTCTCGTCTTTCTCTAACATGTTGCTCTTTTCTAATTCAGGGAGAAGTCACAGAGAGAGCTCGTCAACTTGCTTAAAGACGTAAGTTTCGTTTCTCTCCTTTTGATATGATTCATAAGCTCTTGGGAGATTGGGAGAAACGATAAGAAATTTCCGAATTATATTTGATTTAAACAAACTCAAATTGAGAATGTGAAATAAAAACCACTGCTTTCGTCTCACTTTACTCTGAATTCTTCTCTTTCCCGACGAACATGTTGAACCAATGTCGCATAATCGAGAATCAATTGGATGAATGAGCTTCGGAGGATTTACCGATTTCTCAAGACTTTCTTTTTCTCTTTGGTGCCGTTTATTGTAGATTCGTGGAAGTAAGTGTCTGGTTATTGATCCAAAGCTCAGTGGCTCTGTCTCGTTGATCATTCAGACGTCTGCTCTGAAGGTAAATTCAGAGCTTCCCGACTTATTTCGTTTATGTGGAACAATTAGCTGTGCTGAAATTTATAAAATTGAAATGCCAAAGCCTCAGCTTTTTCAGCTTTTTAACATCGATTACTCTGTTGAGGAGTTTGCTTTCTTCTTCTAATTATTGTTTTTGGTTTCAACATTTTTTTCAGGAACTTGGTTTGGAATTACGACATCTTTCTGCAGAACCAGTTCTGACTGAATGCACGAAAGTGGTTTATCTTGTTCGCTCTCAACTCAGTTTTATGAAATTCATAGCTTCTCACATTCAGAATGATATTTCAAAAGCGATTCAGAGAGACTACTACGTTTACTTTGTACCTCGTAGGTCAGTTGCGTGTGAGAAGGTATGTGTTTATTGTCATCCGCCAATACTATTTGTGTTTCTTCTTTGCTTATTTTACCACCTTTGGAATACGGAGTGATGTGTTTTTTGAATTTTACTATTTCAGATTCTTGAGCAGGAAAAAGTTCATGACCTGGTTACCGTGAAGGAGTTTCCACTGTACATGGTTCCACTAGATGAGGATGTGATATCGTTTGAGCTAGAGCTCTCGGAAAAAGTGTGTAGAACTTTCATTGGTCCATTTCTCACTTATGACTTCATGTGCCCTTTGGAAGCCTTAAATATCACAGCTTTCCTAATTATCTTGTTTTACTTGTTCTTATTTGAATGATAGGATTGCCTTGTGGATGGTGATGTTAGCTCACTTTGGCATGTCGCAAAAGCCATACATGAGCTCGAGGTATGAATCTTTCGTTAGTCTTTACATTATGATCCACACAATGCTACCTCTTGACTAACTCTTATCATAGTTTTCTTTTGGAGTTATATCGAAAGTGAGGGCAAAGGGCAAAGCATCAGTTCGTGTTGCAGATATACTTAACCGCATGCAAGTGGAGGAACCTGTCAGTTCAAATGATGTAAAATTTTCCTGCAATAGTTTGAGTGAAAACATTCACTGGCGTGGCTATCTTCCTATTGCAGCAAATGCTTTTTTTTTCTCTTTTTTTTCACTATTCTAAATGATGCTTGTTCTGTTTTAGGTGGCAAGGCCTGAAGTGGATGCACTCATTTTATTGGATAGAGAGGTAAGATCATCATGTCTTTTCCGTTATATGATATCCTTAAACACAAATATGTCCTTCATGTTTTATATGACTTAATATGCATATAAAGCTTAAGAGCTAGAGAAAGTTGTTACGATCCCACTTAATCTGGAATTTGGACTGGTTGATGCCTTGTAATCCTGTGGCTTTATTGGACAAACTCTACCCACAGACCTCATAATTGTTGGTTTTTAAGTTCATTCACTAATAAGGATTATCACGGCAAGCAAATTTCAGTAATTTAGGTTGGCAGTATTTTCGCTAATCCAATGGTTATTGACATTCATTCACAGTTGCGAGTCTCAATGTATTGAGCTAACAGTTTGTACGAATGTTCATGGTTTTGGTTTTCTGAAGCTAAAGCATGCATCCATTAAATAATAAGTCTTTTTTATTTCCTTTTCCAAACTAAAAACCATATGGTGCATACTTGTAAAAACAAGTGTACAAATGGCGCTAACAGTTTTCAACTTTTATTTTTCTGTTTCAGGTTGACATGGTTACTCCAATGTGTTCCCAGTTAACTTATGAGGGACTGATAGACGAGGTAAAGTCACAAAAATGAATTCTTCAGTTTTAACTAGAGGTAGCCTGAGTAGATTTTGCCAGCAGGGCAAATGGTGAACTTTTTACGCTCTGTAGGAGGAAGTGTGTCGTAGTTTTACTAGTAATTTGAGTGTAATTGAGTTATTTTTTGCTTTCTCTTCTCATAATAAAGTCTAACGCAAGTGTGAGAACCAAATTTGTTTTCTTGTCATTGTCCTACTGAGTCTATGTACTTTTCTGGAATTTGGGGAAGGTCAAACAATGGTGTATAACTATTTGGTCTCATTGATTGCACTGAGAACCAACAACCCTAAATTTGGATTTAAATTAAGTTGATCAATGTTGGATTTTCTGTAAGCTGACTCCAACCTTTATTTCAAGTTCTTGCATATCAGTAATGGAGCTGTCGAGGTCGACTCAGCTGTGATGGGTGCACAGCAGGAGGGAAAAAAGATGAAAGTTCCCTTAAATTCAAGGTTAGTTGCTTGCATCATATAAAAATTCCTTTGACCGTGTGAGACAATCTTCTATTGCACTGAAATTGTGGTTTTCTTTGATTGGATAAGCACATCCTTTTGCTATTACTCCTGTGTATGAATTTGATTTTGCACACGAAAGAGCTTCCTAAACTGGTAGCTAGATTAACTTTATCTCTTGATTTTTAAATTTACAGTGATAAATTATTCAAGGAGACAAGGGATCTCAACTTTGAAGTCGTTGTACAGGTTGACCTTTGTCCTTTTGGCTTTCATTCTTTGTGACATGGGATTCTGCTTCCTCATCTTCCAGACGCAGTCTGATTGCAGGTTCTACGGCAGAAGGCAACAACCATGAAGGAGGACTACACTGAAATTAATTCTGTAAGTTTCTCTTTATTTAGGTCAACTTGTATTCATGGTAGAGGTTATTGTACGTACATATTTGTGTTCAGTTTCATAGCCATCGATCAGGAGAGTTCGTTGGCACATTATTATATACATATTATTATAGACCATGTTTTTCCTTAGGATTCAGTAATCTTCATACACTTTCCCCTTAGATTATTAGTTGTACCCTGATTTTAATGGGTCATGGTGATATAATGCACAGACCCAGACAGTTTCTGAGCTAAAGGACTTTGTCAAGAAGCTTAACTCGTTACCAGAGATGACTGTAAGTATTGTCTTGTTTTCTTTAAGTTCATTCTATTTTGTCTCTCAGAACTAATTGGTTTATATACAAATTAGCTTCATTTTAACTAATTGGTTTTAATTTTTTTCCTTTCCCAGAGGCACATACATCTTGCCCAGCACCTGACAACGTTCACATCCAAGCAGTCATTTCTTTCCAAACTTGATATGGAGCAGACACTTGTTGAGGCAGAAAGTTATGACATGTAAGATTCTTTTAAAGGAAACACTTCAATTGTATTTAATACTTTTCACTCAAGAAGATTTCATGGTTCTTTTTGTTACAACTTACAAGTGATATAAACGTTGAGGGGATATATAAATGTCTTATGATATTGATTATTTATTAACTCTAGTTTGTAAATGCAGATGCTTTGAATACATAGAAGAGATGATCCATAAACAGGAGCCTCTTACTAATGTCCTACGTCTATTAGTCCTATTTTCTGTTACAAACTCAGGGTTACCCAAAAAACAATTTGATTATATAAGGCAAGTTAAGCTTACATCAACCATTCTATATTATATAATTCGGCTTTCTGTTTTTTTTTTTTTTTCCTTTACTCATATCTTGTCTTCGGGTCTCAACTTCCAGAACGGAACTACTCCACAGTTATGGGTTTGAGCATGTGATCGCATTGAACAACTTGGAAAAAGCAGGATTGTTGAAGAAGCAGGTTTGGTTATTCTTGGCATCTTTGTGGAATGGTCATTTTTTGTATTCTGTAGTTAACTGTCTCTGATATTCTAATGACTTGTTGTACCTTCGTTTGGTCTGTATAGGAGTTTAAAAGCAACTGGCAGACAGTGAAACGTACATTGAAACTTATAGTTGAAGACACGGATACGTCAAGGTAATACTATCTCTAGTCACGTTGTCTCGTACTGAATACATGATACATTCGTTGACATGATTTTGATAAAGAGATACAGCTTAGAGTTGTGAGAACTAAATTTCTTGTGCAGGCCTGAGGATATCGCTTATGTCTATTCTGGATATGCTCCTCTCAGCATTCGTCTTATCCAACAAGCTATTCATTCTGGATGGTTAGTATGTTCTTGCATTCTTCTAGCTAAAACTTTTGCCTAGGTAGCCTGTGAAGCTAATACGTTGGCTTTCCTCAGTAAGCAAATAACCATGAAAGAAAAATGTCTAGAATTCTGTTCAGATTCAATTTAAGAAGCGTTTAAATGAGGTGGACAGATAAAAACTGAAAGCACAAAAATCAGAACTTGAGAGAACTTTTACTAATCGATATATGAATGTTGAAAGAATGGTGCGATCTATTGATGACTCAATCTGCCTTACAGGCGTCCTATAGAAGACATACTGAAGCTATTACCAGGACCGCATCTTGAAACTAAAAGAGTGAGTACTCAGTACACAATTCTACTCAATCAGAGAGAAAGCTTCCATTTTTGCTATGCTATTTGGGTCTTCTCTTTTCCACTGGTTTAGCTTACCCATTGCAAATGTATCACTTATGTACCATCTCTCTGCAGAGTGGATTCCCGAGTAGTCCATTAATTGATTCATTACATGGAGCTTCAAATGGGTAAGTTCCTCATTAAAAATTAGGTTGCTACCACAAAAGTAGGTTCGTCTACACGATAAAACATTGAACTGTCCTAATATGTGTGTGAGACATCATTACAGGGTTGCTGATGGAAGACGCTCAATTGTTCTTGTTGTCTTCATTGGTGGTGTAACCTTTGCTGAAATCTCTGCTCTACGGTATCTCGCCTCTAAGGTAATATGCAAACTTCATGAGTTTCTTATCGAAAGACCTCTTTTTGGTCGCTTGTTATTTTGCTGAATCATCCTCCAATTCGCTTCTTCTGCAGGAAGGAATGGCTTATGATTTGATTATTGCCACTACAAAAATCGTCAATGGTGCAACATTGATAGAAACATTCATGGAAAAACTGGGCTGATCCGTTACAGAGCGTTACCCCTCGCGTGTTTATTTGTTTTGTAAGTCTTTGTTTGTCTTCTTCTAGATCATTTTGGTTGCAGAGTGTATTTATTTATGTTTCTTCCTTTTTTTTATGGTGAGATACAGTCGAGATCTTCTTGTATACAAATTCAATAATGTTCTCTTTTCATGCATTTCACTTCAACTTCTACTAATGAAAGTTGACTTCACTAGTCACGATTGTTGCTTTGCGTTGGCATTTTCATTTCAATGATCAGAACGCAAGAACTAAAAGAGAAACTATCATCTTGTACAAATTTGAAGAGGCTTTTATTGAATACACAAAACCTGAGTTGAAAATTACACATAACATCATTACACAAAGTTCATTAGTCAGATTAAGAATCCAAAAGTTTCCTATACACAAATATATAATCTACACTGAAACAAACAAAGATTCCCACCAAGAGCGAGGCTATCATTCAACAGTAGATGCTGCAACGCCTTCAATTTGCTGAATAAGCTCCAACAAGCTCCCAGCTTTCCTCTTTGCTCTATCAGTTCCATTCTCAGTAAGTTCCTTCAAGGCAACATCTGCACCAACCTCTCTCGCTACATTCAACCTCTCCATATTCCCAATACAAAGATACCAAAGTATCGCTGCAGCGTTCTCCCTGTTCCTAGGTGACCCTGTCCTGATAATCTCAACCAAAACCGGGATCGATTCCGCTTCAGCTATCGCTGTTTTCCCTTCTTGGTTCGTCGAAAGAATCGCAAGAATCGCCAAGGCTTCATCCACCATCCCACCACCTGCATCTTTCAGCAATCTCGTCAGAGGATTGACAATACCACCTTTAACCGCTCTTGACTTATTCCCCTGGTATATGCAAAGATTGAATATCGCTGTTGCCGCGTCTTTCTTGCCTCTTCTTGTA